CATTTAAGACATAAAGTGGAACCATTAGTTAGATTAATAAATTAAGAAATAAGTTAATTTGAGGAAGAAAAAGAATTAGTTCGTAAAGGAATAAAGATTTATATATTATTAGAGAATTTATTAGATTCTTAATTACATATGTTTATTCCATTTATGTGTAAGTTGTTAAGTAAAGAAGTTTCAAGTGTTTTATTGGAAGTTAGAAAAGATATAATAAATTTATTTGTATCTTTGTCTAGAAAATGTCCAACTACAGTATAATATTTATCATTGATTGTTAATTCATTGTTAAATCTAGTGGAATTAAGTGCAAAAACATAATAATAATTAGAAATGCATTAAACAGTATTAAATTGTATTGTCAACTTAATCTTATAACATAAGAATCTTATGCTTGTTTATTTACCAATGATTCATTTATAAGTATAGAAATATAAGATACATCATTAACAATATTAAAAATTAGTTGAAATCTTTTTGATGTATGGTAATCTAGAAGATTTAAACAATCTTTTAGATGAAGATTGTAAAGCTATTGAGTAATTATTTCCATCTTAGATTACTTCATATTATTCAATTGAACCAAATGCACCTATGTACAAAAAGATAGAGCCTGATGACTTAGTGGCTAAATTTGATACTGAACAAAGAAAATTAAAGGAAGAATGGTTAGAGTGGATGCGTAATACAAGTGTAGAATTATTGAAATTGTCTCCATTTCTTGTATTGAGTCCATGCTCATCGATAGCAGAGATGTATTAAACTTTAGCATATGAATTATTTAATATTGCATTCGATTCAGCTTGGTATTTTCTAAATGATAAACACAAAGAATTAATGGTTTAATATTTAGTTAGAGTTATTAAGGCAGAAAATATTCCCCTTTAGATATCATAAACTATTCTAAATTTAGCAGAATTCATGTAGCATGATAAAGAAGGATTACAAATTGATATTAGTTCTTTAGGAGAATTAGCTGAAAAATGTATGGCTTATGCAAAGGCTCTCTATTATAGAGAACATGAATTTGAAACTGCCAGCTTAAAAGCAATTCAATCATTAATATCTCTATATACAAATTTAGGATTATAAGAATCTGCCAATGGTTTATTAACTTATGCTAAATAATCTTTAAAAATTTAAGTTTAAAATACAGATTACGAAAGATTAAAAAAATGGGATGAAGCATTATAAGAATATAGACAATAATAATTGAAACATGAAAATGATTAAAGAATGGACTTAGCTATTAAATTAGTAGTTCCTAAGATGAGATGTTTAAATGCATTAATGTAATGGTAAACTCTGATTAGTTAAGCAGAAGAGATTTTTAGAAGTAATGAAGATGCAAAATAAAAAGAAATTGCTCATTTAGCTGCAAATGCTGCTATGCATTTAGGATAATGGGATAAATTAGCTACTTATAATGAATAAGTGAAAGCTGAAGAATTAGATAAACCATTTTGGAAAGCCGCTGTATGCATATCTAAAGGATAATTGGATGAAGCAAAAATATAAGTTAGAAAGAGTAGAGAGAGATTGGATGGTTTAGTAACTGGATTATTATAAGAATCATATGATAGAGCTTAGGATGGAGTATTAAAATTACAATAGTTAGTTGAAATGGAAGAAATTATTGAAATCAAACAATTTGAAAATAAAGTATAGAAAGCAGCATAAGAAAATGTTGGTGAATATTCATATATTAAATTATTGGATGAATTAGAAATACGTAAGAAGAAATTAAAAGATATATGGCATGATAGATTAAGTGGGGCACCTAAAGATATAGATGTCTGGTATCGTTTGCTTTCAACTAGACAATTATTTTTACCTAAGGTACATGATCTTGACATCTGGATTAAATTTGCTAAATTATGTTTGAAGAGATAAAAAATGGTTCTTTGCAAATCCACCATTGAAATATTAAAGGAATAATTTTAGAATTAAATATAGGCTCCTTTACCTGTCACTCTTCACATTTTTAATATGTAATTTGAATATGTACATGCTAAACATGAAATCTAAATTTTAGATTAGGTTAGAGAATATTTCACTAATTAAGAATAAATCAGTTCTATTGATTCTAAATTAAAAGCCAAAACATTTTTTACTCTAGGAAAATGGGCTTATGAAAGAGCAGAATCTACAAGTGATTTAGAATAGATTACTAAATAATTTGATGAATCTTTATAATATAATTCTACTTATGCTAAAGCATGGCATTATTATGGATTATGTAATTTTGAAGTTGTTGAATAATAAGAAAATAGATAATCTATGAATGCACATGTATTTGCAGCAGTTAAAGGATTTTTAAAATCAATATCTTTAGGTAGTAGAGATATTAAGAAAGGTAGATATATTTTATAAGATACTTTACGTCTATTATCTTTGATATTTAAATATGGAATGGAAACTGCTATTACTGATGAATTTAGATAAAATTATAAATAAATAGATGTTATTGCTTGGATTGATGTCATTCCATAAATTCTAGCCAGAATCTAAATTCAAAATCCAATAATTCAATAATTATTATAAGATTTATTAATTCACATTAGTCGTATTCATCCATAAGCTCTTATTTATCCATTGACTGTAGCTTGTAAATCTAAAAATTAAATTAAAAGACTATAAGTACTTAAAATATTAGATGATATGAAAAAACATTCTCCAATTTTAGTTAATGAAGCTTTAATAATTAGTGAAGAACTTAATCGTACAGCTATATTATTGAAAGAAGCATGGAGAGAAGGTATTCAAGAAGCATGGACATCTTTCTCATAAGATAAGAATAAAACACATGTTGAAAGAATTCTAAGAGGTTTACATGATAATATGAGAGTAAAACTTGAGAGTTTGAGTGAAATCTCATTTCATTAAACATATGGATAAGAAATATTTGAGGCTGAAGCATGGTTATAAAGATATTTAAGAACTGAAGATTAGGTTTGTTTATGTGTTGCTTTTGATATATATACTAGAATCTATCATAAAGTTTAAAAGAGTTTAGAAAAAATGAAGAAAGTTCATCTTGAAAATGTTTCTCCAAAATTATTAGCTACTTAAAATTGTGAAATTAGCATTCCTGGATTATATAAACCAAATAAATAATTAATTACAATTAATGGTTTTGCTCCTAGATTAGATGTTTTATCAAGTAAATAACATCCAAGATAAGTTAAGATGTTTGGAAATGATTCAAAAGAGTACCATTTCTTATTAAAAGGACATGAAGATTTAAGATAAGATGAAAGAGTAATGTAATTATTTTCACTTGTAAATCGTTTACTTACAAATGATACTGAAACAGAAAGAAAAGATCTAACTATTACAAGATATTCAGTTATACCTTTATCTCATAATACTGGATTATTAGGATGGGTATAGAATTGTGATACTTTGTAATAATTAGTAAGAGAGTATAGAGATAAATATGCAATCAGACCTAATGCAGAAAGCACTTTAATGGAATAGTTTTGTTCTTAGTATTAAAATTTACCTTTGCCTAACAAAGTCGAGATTTATAGACACATTTTAGAAAATACAAGAGGAGAGGATTTATAAAAAGTTTTATGGATAAAATCACCAAATTCTGAAGTTTGGCTTGAAAGAAGAATCAATTATACAAGATCTTTGGCTACAATGTCAATGGTTGGATATATTTTAGGATTAGGTGATAGACATCCATCTAATTTTATGTTGTAAAGACTTACTGGTAAAATTGTACATATTGATTTTGGAGATTGTTTTGGTAATTATTCATAATTGTATATTAATAGAAGTGGCAATGAAAAGAGAGAAATATCCAGAGAGAGTTCCATTTAGACTTACACGAATGTTAGTTAAAGCTATGGAAGCTTGTGGAATAGAAGGAGTTTATAGACATACTTGTAATGTTGTTATGAGAGTATTAAGAGAAAATAAAGAGTATTATTAATTATATAATTTAGATCTCTATTAGCTGTTTTGGATTCATTTGTATATGATCCTTTACTTACTTGGAGACTTTTGAATGCATAAGATCATAAACCTAAGAAAGAAGCTAGGAATGTAGATTTACACAAATAAATTCCATAATAAATGATCAATTAACTTAATGATAAAGAAATTAATTAAGGAAAGAGTTTGATTTAAGTGATTCCTTAAGCAAAAAGAAGAGGTAGCATAATTGATGATGGAAAGCAATAACAAACTCTGAAGAGGAAAGAAAGTGGAAGAGAAAAGGAAATCTATTTTGAATTTGCTGATGAAGAGAGAGAAATACCAGATGATTTATAAAATTAGAAAGGATTAGAAGTTATTGAGAGAATCAAGAAAAAATTATAAGGAAGAGATTTCAAAGAACATGAAGTGTTGTCAACTGAAAGTCAAGTCAATTAACTTATACTTTAAGCAACTAATCATGAAAACATAGCATAAGCTTATTTGGGATGGTGTCCTTTTTGGTGATTATTATTATCCATTTCAATATTAGCAATTATAATATTGTTTTCTTTTCAATTTAAATATTAAATGTTGCAGAAATCAATAAAATATAAGTTGTGTAAATCACAAATACTATGACAATTATTCCTTCTTTATTGGCTTTACTAAAAGTTCATCCATACCTGCATTTAAACATGCTGCCTTTGTCTTTGGATCTCCATCTGATATATAATTAATCAATATCTATTATTACCTCCACTTAATCCTAAAATTTTACATTTAGGCAACCCTTTTGCTTTCTCATGAGCTCTTATTTGTTTGGTCGACTAATAAAATGTTCACTCCCTTACATCATATCCATCCATAACTGGCATATGAATATCCATTAAAACATGAGCGAAATTAGGAGATTTTTAGTAAGCTTCCAGTGCTTCCTTCCCATTAGATACTACTACACATTCTACTTTAAGAGCTCCATAAAGCATTTTTAACAGATTCTGAGCAAAGGGTTCATCATCTGCTACCAAAACCTTCTTTCCGTCCATAATAATAAAATATATATATTTATTAATCACAATTTATTCTTTCTTTGTTTCTTCTCTATCTATCTACGTTTACCCTTCTCCATATTCTTCAATTTCAAATTCTTCTTTATTTTTTTAGACTAAAAATATATATTACAAAATCTTTACTTTTAACAGCTATTCTGGTCTCTTTATTTCTTATTTCCCTCCTCTTTATTGTCCCTCCTCTTAATTAAAATAATATCCTTTGCTTCTCATTTATCTCCTCTTAAACATCTCTTTTGCTCGAGAAACTATTTATTAATCCTAAATTTCAACCAAATCTTTACTTCTTCTTCTCCAACATTTTACAATTAAATGCTTGTTTGTTTTTACCATTTCTTAAAATTTTGTTTCCCTTTTTCAACCTTCATTCCACGATCCTCTTTATCTTATTACTAAGTTGCCTTTGGATTTACATATTTCTTTTTTTCCTTATCCCAAACCATCTACTTTTTCTTACGTAATGCATCAGTCTCATCAGAAATTACAAATGGATTAATATCTTCAACTGTAATCTTATGTAAATCTTCAAATTCTGACTTTTTTGTTGGATCCCTTTAAGTAGGAATAAAGAATTTTTAATCCATAAAATTTTCGATATTTAATGATTTTGGTTATTCTTTTAATTCTATCTTTGGAATTGGTTTACGTTTTTATACATCCTTTAAATGAGACACAGCTTTCATGAAAGGATCTGATTTTGAATTTTATTCAAATTTCTTTATTTCTATAACACTTTAAGTAGATTTAAAATTCTTAATCTAATTTAACATATCTTTTGTATCCTCTTCAACTTAAATCTTATCTTTAAATAAAGGATGCACTAAACTAGTATCAATATTTGTTTTAACTTTCTTAGCAGATCCTCTTGTCTTACGAAACTTTTCATTAGCCCTAATTGCTATATCTTTATAATTCTAGAACTCAATATCATCATTCAAATCATTCAATTTCTCTTGATTTTACATTAATAATTCAATAGGTAAACTACCATAAAATGCCAATGAAGGATCATTAATATCACCTTCATTCACTAATTTTCTACCTACATAAATCATAGTTTCTTTAATATAAAGAATCTCATCTGATGATATTAAAGCATATACATAACCTGCTTTACCTGCTCTTGCTGTACGACCAGATCTATGTATAAATATTTTAGGATTTGAAGGATAATCATAATGTATAACATTGGCCACAAAAGGTAGATCTATACCTCTACTTGCTAAATCAGTTACAATTAACACTTTAGCTTGATTCCTTTTAAAATTATCTAACTATTCTTTTCTGTCCAACTAATCCATTTTACCATAAACATGAACAGATGATATATGAAATTTATTTAAGGCATAAGAAAGCATATCAACTAAAAAACGAGTTGATGCAAATACTAAACAAGTATCTTCTAGTTATCTTATTAAATATATCAAAGCACTTAATTTATTATCATTTGCTGCAAGTAAAAAATGCAATTACATTGTATCAGGTAATTGAAATTCTTTATCTAATTTGCAAAATATGTAATCTTTTAGACCAACTGATGCAAACATACTTAGTTACTCTGGAATAGTAGCAGAAAACATTAATGATTGTTTTTAAGAAGGAAGATGAATTAATATTTATTTTAGTTGATCTGCTAAACCCATTTCAAATAAATAATCTGCCTCATCATAAATAACCATTTAGACTCTTGATAATTTCAATCTATCTTCTAATAAATGTTGCAACACTCTACCAGGTGTACAAATCAAAATATCAGGATTTGAGGCTAAACTTTCAAATTAACCTTCAAAACCATGACCTCCAACCATAATAGAATATTGAAGATCTGTAAATTTACATAAGACTTTTAAAACTGATGCAATTTGTAATGCTAATTCTCTTGTTGGAAGAAGTATTAATCCCCTAATACCTACAACTGTACTATGATTTTGTAGTTTATTTATTAGGGGAATCAGAAAAGCAGCTGTTTTACCAGACCCAGTTTTAGAACAAGCTACAATGTCACGTCCTGCTAATATTTATGGTATTGCCTAAATTAGATAAATGGTTATTATACTTTTCTTTAAATTGGAGTAGGAACATTAAATCCCTAATTCTTGATAGCTCTATAAAGTTCTGGGATTAATCCCATGGATTCGAATCCTCCAGATTTTTTGACTTTAGTTTAATCCATATATTAAATTATTAAAATGCAATTTGGATGATAATATTTATGCTATTTCTATGAATTTGATATTGTAAGACATAAATTTTAAATAATATTATATTCTTAGAAATTTTTTAAATGATCTCAACCATTATTGAATAATGTATTGGTTTCTTAAATATTTAAATTAATTTTTCTCCATAATTAATAATTAAAAATGGAAAGAGCTGCAAATCTCATATTAACAGCAGGATCCCTACTTGTAGGAGGTGGAATGTTATTTAAGTCCTTCTTTTATACAGTAGATGGTGGATAAAGAGGATTAATATTTGATCGATTTTAAGGAGTGAAAGAATCTGTCTATGGAGAAGGAATGCACTTTTTCATTCCAGTTATTTAAGTATTGAATAAAATGATGATATTTAGTCACCAATCGTGGCTGAAGTTCGTCTTTAACCAAAAACTGTGGCTTCTCACACAGGTACAAAAGATTTGTAAACAGTGGATATTGCTATAAGAATGCTACATAAACCTATTGAATAATATTTACCTGAAATTTATAAGTAGAATTTGCAAATAATATTTATCTTAGAACAATTGGTTTAAATTATGAAGAGAAGATTCTTCCATCTATTGCTAATGAAGTTTTGAAAGCAGTTGTGGCTTAATATGATGCAGATCAATTAATCAAAATGAGAGAAAAGATATCCTAAGAAATTAAGGAAGGTTTAATTGAAAGAGCAAAGGAATTCAAAATTGTATTGGAAGATGTATCAATTACACATTTGGGATTTATGAAAGAATATGCTCAAGCTATTGAAGCTAAATAAGTTGCTTAATAATTGGCTGAAAGATAAAAATTCATAGTGTTAAGAGATGAAGAAGAGAAAAATGCAAAAATTATTTTATCAGAAGGAGAATCAGAGGCTGCAAGATTGATTAATGAAGCTGTTAAATCATATGGAACAGGTATTAATATTTAATTTAATTAAATAGCCTAGATTGAAATCAAGAAATTAGAGACTGCTAAACATATAGCTGAGACATTAGCTAAGAGTCCAAATATTACATGGATACCAACTGGAAATGGAGTTTCAAATCTATTGAATTTGAAAACATTTTGAGAATGTAATTTATATTATTTGAATGCATATATATCATGCTTTGACGAGTTTTCTTAACACATATTATAAGATTCCTCCATGTTTATAATATTCAATTTCTACCTCAGTGTCTAATCTAGATTTTGCTTAGAATTTCTTACCAGTTGCTAGAGATTATAGAATATAAAATATTACATGTTTCAACAGTGTATGTTTAACCAAGAGTTAAATTACTTTCGTTAACATTGATAGTGAATTATTCTTTTCCAGTTAATCCAAGAGTATCAGCATTTTCACCTTATAAGAATTCAAGTGGTAAGATACCCATTCCAACTAAATTAGATCTATGAATTCTTTCAAATGATTATGCAATAACACATTTAACACCTTATAAATATGGTCCTCTATAAAATATTAAAAAATTTATTACTTTGCTGCCCAATCTCTACTACTTCCTGAACCATATTCTTAACCAGCTAAAACAATAGTTTGATTTCCTTCTTTCATATGTCTATCAGCTGCATCAAAAACATCCATCACATCTCCTGTTGGAACATATACTGTTTAAGGTCCAACTTTACTAACCAATTTGTTGATGATACGAGTATTAGCAAAAGTACCTCTAGCCATGATTTCATCATTTCCTCTTCTGGCACCATAAGTATTGAAATCCTTCTTAGAAACACCTTTGCTTTTAAGATAACGACCTGCTGGAGAATTTTCAGCAATTGAACCTGCTGGTGAGATATGATCTGTTGTGATAAAATCACCTAAATTCAAAAGACAATAAGCATTCTTAATTGGTTAAACTGGTTTTGGATTCAATTCAGTTGTTTAGAAGAATGGTGGGTTATGAATGTAAGTTGATTCTGGTTTCCATTAATAAAGATCAGTCTTATTGACTTTCAATTAATTCCATCTTTCTGTTCCTTAAGCAATTTTTGAGTAAATTTCTCTAAACATTTATGGTTTAAGTGCTTATTCAACAGCCTTACTACATTATTCTCTGCTTGGCCAGATATCTTTCAAAAATACAGGTTTTCCATTTTTATCAGTTCCAATTGGTGTTGTATCAAAATCAATGTTGACAGTACCAGCTAATGCATAAGCAACAACCAATGGTGGAGATGCAAGATAATTTGCTCTAACTTATTAATGGATTCTGGCTTCAAAATTACGATTTCCTGATAGGACAGCAGCAGCAACTAAATCTTTATTTTTAATGGCATCTGCAACCTCATTATCTAATTCTCCAGAGTTACCAATGCAAGTCATACAACCATAACCAGCAGTAGTGAAACCCAATTGATCAAGATATTTGTTGACACCTGATTCTTCAAAATATTTAGTAACAACATTAGATCCTGGAGAGAGAGTTGTTTTAATGTATGGTTTAACTTTCAAACCTTTTTCAACTGCATTCTTAGCCAAAAGACCAGCACCAATCATACTTTCTGGATTACTTGTATTAGTGCATGATGTAATAGCAGCAATAACAACACTTCCATGTTAAAGAGAATATTTCTATCCTTGATATGTGAATTCTACAACATCTGCTTATTTTTCTTATGGAATACCAAATCCTTTGAATCCTACCTTATTGTTAAGACAAGAACTCCAATCTTTCTTCATTTCACCTAATGGCACTCTATCATGAGGTCTCTTTGGTCCTGAAAGTGATGGTTATACTGAAGCAAGATCCAAATCTAAAACATCACCAGAAAAGTGAGGATCATTTCCACTCTTATAATCACGGAATAAACCTTATTCTCTAAGATAAGCTTCAATTTATCTAACTTTTGTTTCTGGTCTACCTGTTAAATTCAAGTAATCAATAGTTTTATGATCAATAGGGAAATATCCCATTGTGGCACCATATTCTGGAGCCATATTAGCAATAGTTGCTCTATCAGCTAGAGACAATGTTTCAACTCCTGGTCCAAAGAATTCAACAAATTTACCAACAACACCTCTCTTTCTTAACATTTATGTGCATGTAAGTACTAGATCAGTGGCTGTTACATTTGATGGCAATTTTCCATGTAATCTAAAACCTACAACTTCAGGTAAGACCATTGATATTGTTTATCCAAGCATAACTGCTTCTGCTTCAATACCACCAACTCCCCATCCTGTTACTCCTAAACCATTAATCATTGTTGTATGAGAATCTGTTCCTACAACTGAATCTGGAAACAAATATCCTTATTCTTCCATTACAACACGTGCTAAGTATTCCAAATTCACTTAATGAACAATTCCTGATCCTGGTGGAACTATTAAGAAGTTCTTGAAGGCTGTTGATCCCCATTTTAAGAATTCAAAACGCTCATAGTTACGTGTGAATTCAATCTTCTCATTCTCTTCAAAAGCTCTTGGTACTCTTGATACATCTGCTTAAACTGAATGATCAATAACTAAGTCAACTGGGCACAATGGATTAATCTTTTATGGATCTCCACCTAGTCTCTTCATTGCATCTCTCATTGCAGCTAAATCTACAACTGCTGGCACTCCTGTAAAATCTTGTAAAATGACACGTGCTGGCTTGAATGGAATCTCAATTTATTTTGGTGCATTTGTCTCCCAATTCAAGATATTTTACACATCCTTTTATGTCACTGCAAACTCATCACAATTACGCACAGCTGATTCTAATAATACTCTGATTGAATAAGGTAAATGATCTATAAAATATATATCTCAAACTTACTTAATTTTGAATCCCCCAAAGCTGGTAAACTAAAGAACTTATACTCCTTTCCATCAACCTTTAATGTTTTCTAAGCCTTAATGTATGGATTAGCTCTAGCTCCGAACCTGAATCTGGAAGTGAATCTTATCATAATTAAAAATTTATTTTAGGCATCACTCAACATTAATAATCACTTAAATACATCATTTTTTTATAATAATTATTCAAGGATATAAATCATGTATGCATTTTATAAATAATGATGAAATATTTTACAATAATCATTTTTCAAAATTCATTTATACTCTGATAGAAGAATAATGGAAACCAATTGGTTTTTAAATATATATTCTCAAAAATATATTAATTACTATATTTCAATATATATACATTTATTTTAAAAGTACTTTAACTAACTTTCTTGGATCATAATTTTATAGATATATCAAAATATATATATTTAGATTACTTTCAATTTCTATAGAATTTGTTAATAATAAAAGGAATAATTTTTTATTTAAAAAATTTAAAAGAGTTCTTATTTGAAAATATCTGTATTAGTGTTTTTAGTTAAGAAATTGCTTCATAATACTAATTACCAAACACTATTATTAGATAAAGTATTTGATATATATAAAATATGATAATTTTAATCTACAATATAAATCTACTTCTAATTATGTAATTTAAAATAGTTTGTTTAATAAATAAACTATCAAGAGTTAGGGAATCATATACATCCAATTTAAGTGAAAAGGTTTATGTAAAATAAACTAATTCTTATTAATGAATCAATACAATTAATGTTTATTAATTTATAATATTTATTAAGTTATTGTCATAATTTATTGTTATCTTAATGAGTATTACATAACTATTTAAATAATAATAAACCTTAATTAAACATTAAATAATATAATCATAATTATTAGAATAGATTAATATAGAAATTATTTTGTATTTATAATTTCTAATTATATTTATTTAATATCATGCTTATTATACTATTTTTGATATTAATAATAAAATTTCTATTTAATTAAAAGAAAGTATTAGTTATAATTATATATATTTCATTTTAATAATGAATAGTAATAAAATAGACAAAGAAAATATATTTAAAATCTTAACATAACTCAAAAGAGAAAGTAAGAAATTTAAATATGAACAAGACTCAATAAAAAATAAATCAAAATCTACTTCTTCATTTTCACTATATAATATTAATGATTAATAATTTTGGGATGACCAATAAGAAATGAATTATACAGAATAAACTCAATTAAATTCTTAGTAAAGCTTTCTATAAGTTGATTCAAAAATAACCAATATTGAAGAACATAATTATCCTTTAATGTTAAAATATGCTTATTATTATCTTAAATGGGTATATATGATATAATGTGGAATTAAATCTGAAGAATAAATAGATGAACTCATAGAATCAAATGATATATCATAATATTATCTTACAAGAGAAATTTAGAAGAAAGCACAATGTAAACATTTAGCTTTCAATAAAAATGATACTCTTATAGCAATTACATAAAATAATGAAATTGAAATTTTAAAATTTAATAGTGAAATTACAGATAAAATTGCATAACTAAAAGGTCATGTGAATGATGTAAATTGTTTATTATTCTCTAAAAATCAAATTCTTTAGTTTCAGCAGGAGAATAGATTTTTATGTGGGTAGAATCATCTTATGATAAATGGGAAACCAGATTTAATATTTATGCAAATAGCCCTATAAATTGTATGACATTTAATAAAGCTGAAAATTTATTAATTACTGGTAATTAATAAGGTTTCATACAAGCATATAAACTAGATTTTATTAGAGGCTAGATCTTTTTGATAAATGAAATTAAGAAAAGTCAAAATTTTGTCTATTAAGTTAGTTTTAATAAATCTGAAAATAGATTAGTAGCTTGTACTAAGGATGAATTAATTTTGATTTTGAATATAGGTTATGATGGAGGATTGACTATGTTTAAATTAATAAAGAGAAATAAATTTGCTTGTCGTATTATCTTTTTAGATGATGAAAGAATACTTTTGGCCTAAAGGTAAGCTTTGATTGAATTATAATTATAAAATGATACAATATAAGAAACAATAATTCAGGAAACTGACTCAGATAAAGATTGGTATTAATTTCCAATTTAATATAATTAAGCTTAAGATGTGATAGTAATAAAACAGAATAAATATATTTATATAATAAAAGAATTAAATAAAGGAAATTATTTATTGTAACAAAAATTAGATTTCGATTCTATTGAATTATTTGGAACTATATCAAATTGTGGAATTTATTTAATCACTTGGAATAATTAGAAATTATAAACATACATGTTACTTAAGTGATTTATTTTAATAAATTAAATAATCATCAGGTTTTAGATATGAAACATTATGTTACATATTTAATTTAAATAAAACATAATTTGGAATATATTTAACACACTTTTAGATTATTTTATTTTACTAAGTAATCCTATTTTTAATAAATTTATATACTAAAATAGAATATTGAATATTAAATATATTTCTATTTTAATAGTTTACAATATTTATCTTTTAATTACATATAACCTCAAACAATAATCTTAAATATGAATCCAAATAAGAAAGATGAGTAAAAATTATTTATGAATTTCTTTATTTTTATATAAATAACCTTAATGTCTTTTAAAAATAATAAATATTTGATTTATAAACATCATATTAAGATTTATTAATAAAATTAGCTAAAAAAATATGAATAAAATTAGAATTGTAATAATAATATTCAAGGTTTTATATGTGAAAATTATAAAAGAATTAATTATTTATATTAAGAAATAAAGGTGAAGTCATGAAATTTGTTGAATATATATATAAATAATTAAATATAGTTCATTACTAAAATATGAATTATTTGTTAACATAAATACACAGTAAATTACTTTAATACTTAAATTAAATCCCAAAATTAATAATAATTTAAACCATATTATATATATTATGAATACTATAGTTTATGACCTTTTTGTTTCAAATGAGAATCCAAAATTTGTAGCCAAATTGTTAGCTTAGTATAGGATTGTTTAATTTCTTGGTCAAGGTGCATTCAGTAGTGTATTCAAGGTTTTTCATGATGGTGAATTTTTTGCTATTAAGGTGATATATTTTATTATGATATTAGGCAGATAGTTGATAAAATGAAAGGTTACACAGAAAAGCTATAATAAGAAGCCTCAATTTTAAGTTAATTGAAACATCCTAAAATAGTACAATATTATAAGACTTTCGAATCAAAAAGAAGACTCTATTTTATATTGTCATTCATAGAAGGAAATACTCTTTAATAATTCATTGATGATAACAATATCAGATTTTCAGAATAAGAATGCATAACATTAATTCGCTAATTGGTTGATGTACTGAGCTATCTACATTCCAATCGTATTATTCATAGAGATATAAAACCAGGTAAGATCGGTTGTTGAAAGTAGATAACATCATTGTTGATAAGAACCTTAATCTCACTTTGATAGACTTTGGCCTAAGTTACATGACTACCTAGTAAATAACTACACATTAAAATTGTGGAACATTAATATATATGGCTCCAGAAATTCTAATGAAAAAGGAATACTTTAAATCAATTGATATTTGGAGTTGCGGCATCATTTAATATTAATTATTAAAAAATTGTCATCCCTTTTAGACTAATTTAATAAAAGAATAATATATTAAATAAATGTCTGTACCATAAAAAATAGATTATAGCGGTATGTCTAAGTATAATTTTATATTTGAAAGAGCTGCTATTTCTTTTTTTGAAAAAACTGCTGCTTTTGAACCTGAAGCAAGAATAACTGCTGAATAAGCATTATTACATCCATGGATAACTTCTTAATCATCAGAAACATAAATTATGACAAGTAAAGAAATATTCCAAGCATACAAAGGAATATTAATATTCACTAAAGTATTACAATTTAATTAATATAATCTAGTTTTTAAAATTGTTTGTTTTTCTACAATTTATTAAATAAAATAGTGAAAAAGCTATTAGAGCCATAGTTTTACCTTCATCTAAGCGTTTTTTTTCAAAACAAAAGAGTCCCAAAAAACCAAAAATTCTCTAAATACCTTGTTTAAATTCAAGCATTAGAAGTAGTAGAGATGTGAGTATTATTTTTTATTTTAGAGTTCAGAAAAACCTAAAATAAAATTACCACAAATTATTCATTCAAAGAATAGTCCAAAAGGTGAAGCAAGTCCTTCAAAATTTACTTTTTATTAAAAAACCTTTAATCCAATTTAAACAACCATAGAGTTTGAAAAATCTAATGTTAAATTTAAATGAATATCTTTTGTATAATTTTTATAAATCTAATAATTTAACTATTGAATTAACAATTCTTGATACTAATTAAATTAATAATTTACTTAAATTATTACATTTTTTAGATGATAAGCAACTTCAAATTGTTAAATTTTAAAAATTATCTAAAAGATCCATAATATGGAAATGTAAAATAGAATATATTGTAATTTATAATGAGTTACATATATTCAAAAGATAATTTCATGTAAAATGGATTAAATTTACAAATCATTTATATAACAAAGTATTCTTTTTTAAATAAGCATAGAGAAACCTAAAGATGATTTAAAAATAATTAATTTAATAATGTATGAACAGAATTTAAGTATTAAAAATCATTTATTTTTCTTCTTTAATTCTAAATCTCTCAATTTCCAATAAGGTGTATTTTCATTTTTTATACTTCCTCTTTTTGATCTAATTTGTTAACATTTAATGCTTAAAGATTCTTCAGTTTTTTATTTTCCTAATTATTCATCTAATCTATCAATTTTTAATGCTTTATCCCAAACACTACTAGTTGGAGAATTATGAATTTCAATAGGATTCAAAGCTATTTAATCTAATATTTTTTCTTTATCTTAGTCCAATATAATCATTATTTTTCTACATTCAAGTCTATTAGTAAAGTTATTATTTTGTATATCTTCCCCTTTATTTGATTCAAAGTATGGTTTAGCAAGTTATTATGTTTTTTGAACAGGTTTAAAATTATCCTCACAACAGGAAGGTTTTCTTTTTCCAAAAAAAAAGTCAAGATTTTTTTAAAGTGAAATTTAATTATCCATTATTTATATATCTTAAAAAGAGTTATTTCTTTCAAAGGGATTCCTTGGTTCTTATATATTATCATCTCTATTAGATTACATAAATTAAGCAGTTCCAGGTGTATCAACTGTTTTTTAAATTAGTTTAGATTCTTCAGTTTAAAGTGATGCTTAAAATGTAATTCTGTTTGAAATAGGATTAGTTTCTGGTCCTAAAATTTCTAGAGGATTAGGAACTTTTTCTTAAATTTTCTTTTTTAATTCTTACAACTTAAGAAGAGTTGTATCTCTATCACTAACACTTGGTCTCTTTCTATTAATAACAATGTTCTTTAAAGGCAAAGCTTCTTAACTAACTCTAATAGGTGACGCATCATTATTGTGAACTGTTTTATGTTTTTTTATTTCTTAATTGCTCACATTATCCTTTTATTGTGGAGGTTGATGTTAAGATTAATTAGTATGACATTTTTAATATTTCTTAAGTAATTATAATATATCTGGGGTTGATTTTTGTTTTTGTCTTTCAGGTTTGTGTATTTATGCATAAGAGCTTTATTTCTAAATTACATATTCAGACAATTTTCTTTTGATTGGAGTATGTATTTTGGAATATGAATCTTTGCTTCCATGACGTTAATGATCACTAAAATTGGTTGGGTTAATACTCATATGTTTCTGTTAATTTAATTTGAGTATATTTTTATATTATTAGTATAATCATAGTATTTCAAGATAATGAGATTTATGTCTATGTAGACTTGCTAATGATGTCCCAGATCTCAAATCTATAATGACTCATTATGATAGCTATTTTTAATTAATTTATATAGTATATCTTATGATAAACATTTACTATATTTTGGTTGTATTATCTATTACTTTTAGTTATCAATTATATAAATAATAAATAATCTCAATATCATTTTATTCATAGAACATTTTTGATACTCAAAATGTTAATTCATCATAAAAAGTCTTTTATGATACCATCTATATTTTATGTATTAATAATTTAATCATATTTGGATCCATATTAATAATACTTTAATTAAGAATCAAGAAGAGATAGAAAATAAATTTATGTTATTATTTATATTAAATCTGATTACTTATATTTATGTTTTTTTATAAAGTATGGAGTTTTAACTTTAATCATTACTATCAAACAAATCTTGTAGTGGATACTATAACATTTAAGATTTATTATTATATTAAAAACATTAAAATAGGGTTGAAGATAATAATATTTGTATTCTAATATTGAAATCTAAGTACACTTTTTATATATTAATATGTCTTTTAATGTAGCAATAATTAAGTCATTTAGTTTCTTAATATGAATTATTTTGAAAATTCATAACATTCCTATAAATTTTTTGTTTAGATTTTTGCTACTGCCATCTCTAATCAATTATAGTGGATTTGAAGTTTATCGCAAATTAATAATAACTTCATCCTTAAATTAATCATTCACCTCGTTTTCCAATTTGCTGTGTTGTTTCTCATTTAATACATTATCAACACATGTGCTCCCAAGTCTTTCCACCTTTTCTTGAAGCTCTATACTATCTACATCCCCTTTTATTAAATTTAAGGAGAGTGGTTGAATTTGTAGTGCTTTTGGAGAAAATTCTTCTTTAATAGAGATCTATCCTACTATCTATGATTCTTTTTCTTTGAAAGGTATCTGTTAACAACAACCCATAATTTAATTTATTTAATAGGAGAGACAAATTATATTATTTTCAAATTGGTTTTATTATAATAAGGTTGAATAAGTCAATTAGATTGCTTTATCTATAAAGTTTATATCAATTATTCAAAATTTGATATAATAGTATAAATATAATAGATATCTTTTTAATCATTTGATGAGATATAATACTGGATTGGAGGGGTTCCAAATTTTTCAATATATTGATATTTTAGTAATTTCTATGAGAAAGCATTTCTGATACTTATCATTAAATATTAATAAAAGTTTTTTACAATTCAAAAATTTTAATATTAAAATATATATTATATAGCAAATTAATTTAATTCTTGGTAATTAAGGTGAAAACATTAAATAATTTTTCAAATCTTTATGAGCAATAATTTATTCAACGTACTCAACTTCTCTGACACAGAAGAAGTCCCAGAATAATAATAGAAAAAGTCTAAGAAAAATAATAACAATAAGGAATAGATTATCCCAGTTGAGTAAGTACAAAAAGAAAATACTAAACATGATAATCCCGCTCCTAAACAAAAAGGTGTTCCTTCTGATCCACATCCAAAGGATAGATAATCTGGTACTGGAAGAGGCAAAGAATAACGTAAAGAAGGTGGAGGCAGAAACAATTGGGGAAATTACAAAGATGACCTTAAAGAAGAGAAATATGTTGCAAAAGAATAAAAGACTTAAGATACACCAAAACAAGAATAAAATGAATAAACAACACTACCAGTTCAACCTCCTGCTCCTGAAAAGACTCTTGCTGATTATTATTAATAAAGAGGGGCTGTATTAATTTTAATTTTAAATTTAGAATGTTGAAGATGTTCTCAAAAAAACTGAGACTAAACCATAAGTAGTCAAATAAATTGATGAAGAGGCATTGAAAAAAGACAAGCTTTTTGTTATGAAAACAAGAGAAGACGAAAAAAAACTATAGGAGTAAAAGCAGAAAAAAACAAGACAATAATAACCTTATAGAAGTGAGCTTAATACTTAAGCTGCTGAATATTTGGGTTTTACAAATTAAGTATAAGAACCTGAAAGAAAGAATGAAAGAAGAGGAGAAAGAAGATAATATGATAAATAAGAACCAGTTTAAGAATAATAATAATAATAATAAGAAAGTGAAACTTAAGTTTAAGGTGAAAAAGGAGAAAAAAACGAAAGAGAAAATAGATAAGATAGAGGTGATAGATAAGGAGATAGATAAAATAAAGGATATAAGAGAGATAGATAAGATAGACCATAACATGATAGATAAAATAGAGATAACAATACAAGAGATTAAAGAAGAGGAGATAAATAAAGAAGAGGAGATGATAGATAAGATAAAAAACCTCAATAAAGATAATAAGTATTATAACTTATTAATTATTTTAGGAATAAGGAATTCAATTGGATGACAAAGATTTCCCATCTTTATGAGTATGATGAGTATTAAAATATCAATCATTATCTAAAATTAAAAGTATATTTTTATCATTCTTTAAAAATATTATTTGAACCATCTAATTATATTAATTTAAAAAAGATTAATTTATATATATATGTACATAAATCATTATTATTTAACTAATAGTCTATGAGATGATGTTAGGACTTTACCTTTTAACAATCTGTTCGAAGGTGCTGTACCTGGTCTAGGAAGTGGTTTTATTGATTATCTATCTGATTTTATACTAAATAGATTCAATTTTCTTTATAATTATTCATCAACAATTTAATTTAAAGTATATTTTTTATTCATCCAATTATTATCAGAGGGTTAAACCCTCAATTTGATAGGCATGTATGAATATTGCATTTTAGGTTATGGAGTGCTGAATTTTTTGAATTCACTTTCATTTAATAGTTCAAAAATATTTACATCTAATAATAGGGCGGAATGAATTAAGACACTAGGTTTTATTTCCATTAAACTTTTTTAAGACCAATTTCTTTCTTTCTCTTTGACTCATTTGAATAGGTACGTTAACTATTTAGATATGTGTTTCTTGCTAATATCTCATCCTCATTATGAGCAATATCCCAATTTTAACTAAGCTTTGAGACATGAAGCCACTTTTCATAATTGAGTAGTTATTGAAAAACATTAGATTTAATTTCGAAATCGTTTTTTAGATTGTGTATATATTGTAAAGTCTTTTATAATGTCCATTTAAATCTAGGAGTAAAATTAAGAGTGCATACTTGCGCATTAAAAATACAACAACTACAAAAACTGAGCGATTTAATGCTCTAATAGAATGAACTAAAACAGCTTCTCCTTCTTCAAGGGCATCATTAATGAAGGCGAAACAGCGGGAATGGTCAAATACAAATTGTGTTTCACTTTCTAACCACTAATAAGACAAATATTCAATGCCGATGGATTCCCAATGGTTAGGAATATGTTTGGCAGCACAATTAATTATCTTGGTTATCTTGTTAGTCACCAAGAACTCTAAATCCTCATGTTTTAGATCACATTTACATGGGCTGCACCCTAATCTCCAAGGTAAAGACCATCAATGATACGAGTGGGCAATTACATTAAAAATATATATTTATTATATATGCTTTAAGAAAGTATACTCAAGTTGAATCAACTCTTGTAGTCATATAATTAGTCTAAAATTAATGAAGCATCAGAACTTCTTACTCTAGAATAATAATTACAAGTAAGACAGTTGGTAAGAGTGCTTTTAGCATGCTACTTCAGAATTTCATACACTCAAAGTATCTTATGAGAAGTACCATGAGATTTGGAGAGAGCTTCTATTAAAGAATGAGTATCAACCTACTAATACTATTCCCATTTCTCAAATTGGATCAGCAAAGAAGAGTCTCCTCAAATAATAACTTAGTTCCAATATCGATCCTCTACTGTATCCAAGCATATCATAAAAAGTGCTACTGTTTAACATTTAAATGTTATATCAATTAAAGAGTTGAACACATTAACCAAATTAATTGGAAGGGAACCAGTTTTTCAAATTCCAACTATTCTCACTGATTCTGAAATCCAACTTGATCGATTAATAGAAATAGTAAGGAATCAAATTACAAGTGAAACCTCACCAATATGTTTATGGATAATTGATTTTTGGTCATGTATTGAAAGATTCGAAAGGATATTTGATCAATACATAAATCTAATTAGCAAATATGAAGCTAGACTTGAAAGTTCTATTAAAACATCTTCAGAGTTAAGTATTCAGAAGTAGCTGAGTAATATCTCTGTTTATTCTAGAATTATCATATGATGAGATCAAAAAAAAAAGTATTTCTGAAAAAGAATTGAATTCCTAAAAAGATTCTTGTATTAAATGTTGTATATTCTGAAGAATTCAGTAGATTTTAAATAATGATTAGTTGTATGTGTATATCTATACAATATTAATAATAAACTATTAAATTTAATTATGAAACAGAATAATTATAAAGTAAAGGAGGGATATTCAGAGAAAATCAAATAACCACTATATGATTTTCAAAAATTTCATCTTCAAGTAATTTTAAATATTTATCAATTCAAGAATCATACACAATAAAACCAAACCTATTAAACTAAAGAAAAACAGGGTACAATTAAACCTCTTTCTAAATTATATAATTAGCATGCCATTCTATATTAATAGAAGACAAACTAGAATCTCTTATTAAAATTTATATAATCTACTAAAACAACATCATAACATTTGTTATCTAAAAAGGAATAGCCTAAAATTAATGTTTGCACAAAAAGTATGAATGAATAAATACTTATTAAGATAACTAAATCAATATTTTACCAAAAGTAAATGATAGCTAAAAGCAAGAAAAAGATTAGAGAAAACATTTAAGTGAAGCAGTTTTGATATAAAAATATCACACTACACGATTGATTGAATATTAAAATTAAAAGACCTTTTCAATACTCAATAAATTGACAAACAATAAATTTAATAAAAGCAGATATTGCAATCTCAATTTTCTATAATAAATCAATAAACAATCGAAATTTGTCATATTTGTTCTATAAAAAATGGAGTTGTATGGTGTTAAACATACTTCTTCCTTTATTGGAAAAAATCCACCCACTTATTAATGTTCATTTTTTTCAGATCACAAATTACTATATAGAAGCAAACCTGTAGAATATACTGAATTTCTAGAATCTATTATAGGTTTTCATTGCTAAGAATTTATATCTATATATGTAGTGATTGAAAAGATTAAATAAAACGAAGAAGTAATACTTTTTTTATTTTATATTTAGTTTTAAGTAGGAGAGGTTATTTATATTGAAAGTTATTCTCATATTACAACTACTCCCTTAAAAGATAATATAATGATTAAGGTTAGTGATGAAATAGAGGGTGAAATAAAGAAGACTATATCTGATGAATAAGTTACAATAGGTAAACTTCAATATAAAGTATTGTAATTATGTTAATAAAATAATTAAAACAAATTGCAAGCTCCTTAATCTATTTATGCAATTTAAATTTAACAATAAACTCCTCGGCCCTCAGCTAGATAAATAGATGAAAATTCATCTTCACAATTACAATGATTATTAATTTGTTAACTAGTTACATTATTAAATTAAAAGTTATAAATATAATTTATTATAAGTAGATTAAAGTAAATTGAAAATAATATTTTTCATTTTCTTGTCATTAAATTTAGATACATGATTGATTATATAATTATAATAATTATATTAGATTTAAATATGAAAACTAAACAGATTGATAAAATGATATAAATAATAATATAAATTCTTATTTTTCTAACCAAAATAATAGTCAAACTAAATATTTAAATATCAAAGAATTTATTAACTTCTATTATATTTTTTCAGTTCTTGGAACTTTGAAGAATATTTTTTATTTGGTTAATTTTTAGCAAAGATACCATCAGAAAGTAAAGGTTGAATGTAAGGAATGTTTATTGACTTTTTAAGTATTTTATAAACAAGAATATTTTTAGCCTTTAAAATGATTTTGACAACAAATTTAACTTAACCTTTGATTAATGAATATCTCTTAAATCATCCTCTCATTGCTTAATAAAAATTTATCTATTAATGAATATTGGAGATATTAAATTGATTCAGATTTTTGTTATCTTTTATGATTTCATATATTTCTATATATATCTAACCTGCTTTTATGTATAATATCTTACTTAATCATCTAGAAAAATGTCTATTTTAAATAATTTTTCGTTACTTAAGTAAAATTATCAAGAAGTTCCCTCTACAATTGATTTATTCAAAAATATTTTAAATATTAATTACATGAGTATTAAGTCTAAAAATCCTTATCTTTTATATTACTTCTATTGTATAATATATTTTGGATAAACTTATTAAATAAGAATAGGCTATATAATTTTTGATAATATTAATTATTAAATTATAAATCACACAGCCATAGAGTAATTATTTAGTTTGTAAAGATTTTTATTTTTGGCTGATTTGATCAAATTATCTACTTGAATGTACAAAGGACTTTTTGGAAATTTGGGAGAAATTAAGGTTACATTTTTTGATTCTCGAAGGACTGAACCTCTGATTAAAAATAAAACATAATACTCAGTGCGAAGTCGAGTAGTGCCATTTTTGCTTTGAGATCTGGATTTATATAATGAATTGTTGTTTGATCTATTTTCATTGACTGATGGTTGTTTTTTAGGTTTGAGTAATCGTATTAATAATGTTTTGCTAGTCTTAGGCATAGTACGTTCTGTTTCCATTGATTTATTACGGATTGGTTTGCATAAATTGTATATTCCAATATTTTTCAAAGAATCTAATGAATCATCATCTGAAAAATCATTGCCTTCTCGTTCAAATACATAATTATGGTTATGACGACTCTTTGCATATCGCTTCTCTATTTCTTACTTGAACTCGATTGTTTGTAATCTCACAAGCTCCTCAGACATAATATATCGTTAGAATTTTAATTAAATTAATATCAAAATGAATGAAGCCATAGACATCATTTTGATAAATTCATAAATAAAATTAGTTTAATAATAATATAGAGAATGAGCATCAAGTATAGTAAATAATAAAGAAACTTATCATTATCATAATGAAATTTTGATTAGTAATTTGTATGTTACTAATCAAATTATATTTACTAATAATACTATAATTAAGATTTCTATAAAGGATTTTATTTATAATTTATAGTATTAGATTTAGTAATATATAAAGATCAGTAGGATTTTTAATATGTATAAGAAATAGGTATTGAAATAACATAAATAAAATCAATAAATTTAATATACAATTGGGTGATATTTAATTATACGAAAATATGTGTACACAGTGATTAATTAAAGAATCTATACATATTTATATAATGTGTCAAATATTTCCATACATTTAGGCTAATAAAATTTATTTAAATTATTTGACCAATTATTTTAATGAAAATAATGAAATCATAGTAATTGCAAAAAGACTTAGAAGCATTTAAAAAATAACTCAAATAAACACTTCCAACAATAATTAATAGAGTGACTAAGGATATAGGATAAATACTTTATTTTGAGAAATTGTTTAAAGATTAAAAAGCAAATTCAGTTTAAGAATTATATTTTTAAAGTCTTCTTAGATTGGATCCACATATAGCAAGATAATAACCATAATTAGATGANTTGCTTTGAGATCTGGATTTATATAATGAATTGTTGTTTGATCTATTTTCATTGACTGATGGTTGTTTTTTAGGTTTGAGTAATCGTATTAATAATGTTTTGCTAGTCTTAGGCATAGTACGTTCTGTTTCCATTGATTTATTACGGATTGGTTTGCATAAATTGTATATTCCAATATTTTTCAAAGAATCTAATGAATCATCATCTGAAAAATCATTGCCTTCTCGTTCAAATACATAATTATGGTTATGACGACTCTTTGCATATCGCTTCTCTATTTCTTACTTGAACTCGATTGTTTGTAATCTCACAAGCTCCTCAGACATAATATATCGTTAGAATTTTAATTAAATTAATATCAAAATGAATGAAGCCATAGACATCATTTTGATAAATTCATAAATAAAATTAGTTTAATAATAATATAGAGAATGAGCATCAAGTATAGTAAATAATAAAGAAACTTATCATTATCATAATGAAATTTTGATTAGTAATTTGTATGTTACTAATCAAATTATATTTACTAATAATACTATAATTAAGATTTCTATAAAGGATTTTATTTATAATTTATAGTATTAGATTTAGTAATATATAAAGATCAGTAGGATTTTTAATATGTATAAGAAATAGGTATTGAAATAACATAAATAAAATCAATAAATTTAATATACAATTGGGTGATATTTAATTATACGAAAATATGTGTACACAGTGATTAATTAAAGAATCTATACATATTTATATAATGTGTCAAATATTTCCATACATTTAGGCTAATAAAATTTATTTAAATTATTTGACCAATTATTTTAATGAAAATAATGAAATCATAGTAATTGCAAAAAGACTTAGAAGCATTTAAAAAATAACTCAAATAAACACTTCCAACAATAATTAATAGAGTGACTAAGGATATAGGATAAATACTTTATTTTGAGAAATTGTTTAAAGATTAAAAAGCAAATTCAGTTTAAGAATTATATTTTTAAAGTCTTCTTAGATTGGATCCACATATAGCAAGATAATAACCATAATTAGATGAACCAATTTAGAATATTAATGAATAAATACATCTATATTTTGAATAACAAACAGAGAAATTATAAGAAATGGTTTTGTTAGAAAAAGAACTTAAAATGATGAGAGAATTAGAAGAATTATAAGTAAGTTAAGAGAGTACTTAAATATAAAATGCTTCAATAGAATTAGAATAATAAAAAGGAATGGAAATTGAAAAATAAAATATAGAAGAAGTATGTAATACAATAAAAAGGAAATATTGGAGATAAGTCTAAACACCAAATTGTGATTAATGTTTTTGTGGAAATCAATTACATTATAAGTAAATAGTTAAATGTCATTTATGTGAAAAACATTTTCATGTAAATTGTTTAGATAAAAGTTATGATGAAAGATATGTTAAAAATTTTACATGTCCAAGATGTACTTTATATCATATGGATTAATTTTGTGAAGTTATTTCTATTATTATAGAACCATTTTCATTTAAGAAAACAGGTTTAACTAGCACAAAAACTATTAAATTTAAATCAGATACTAATAAAATTGATATCAGATGTATTAGAATGGATTGTCCATTATCAGCAGAAGAAATTACATGGCCAGATTTAGGAGAATTACATATTAATAATAAAAAAGTGGCTGAATTTATTCCATTAGCTTAATAGAGTTGTCAACATAAACGAAAAGATGAAAAATTGATATTCACAATTCCATAAAATGAAGAATGTACTTTAATGATGAAAGAAATTATACCTGGTATGGAATAAAAAAGAAAATATAGAATTTAAGGTGAATAATTACATTATGTTGCTGTCTATAAAACTAAATAATATAATGCAAAATAACTTATAGAAAAGATTATTGTATCTAGTGAAAATTGGATGAGTGTAGAATAAGCATAGGATTTTATTATACTTTAGATGAATTACATATCATCTACTGGTATCAAATAAATTAAATAAACTATTTCTTTATTGTGTTGTTTATGTTCAACATTAATGATCACTCCTGTCAGAGGAATCTATTGCAATCATATATAATGTTTCTCTTTAGAAAATTATTTAATGATGCTTGAATTTTCAAATCCAAGAAAATGGAGATGTCCAATTTGTAAAGCTAAATTATTTAAATTACAAATTGATGCTTTATAATATACTATCTTGTAGACTATTAGATAATATAATTTATAAGATAAATATACAGAAATATCATTTGATCATATGGGAAATATTTTGGATGATCTTATATAAAAATATTTAGATTTTAATATTTTACCTGAACATGCTAAAACTAGTAGAAATAGAATATTACAATTAGAAACCTTAAGTAATTAAGAAAATGAAAATGAAATTGAAACTAATGAATCTGAATAACAAAACAATAGACCATTTAATCCTAACTCAATTGTTATAGAATGAATATTCAATTATAATTATATGATGAATTATTAAATAATATAATAATTATCTTAATCTTAATCTCATATCACTAATTTTTTTTATTAAATATAGATATATTTACTTTTTGATGTATATAATTAAATTTAAATATTATTATGGTTCTAAAACAAAATATATATAAGAATATTAATAGCCCAAAGAAACTAAACTTACAATTTATAGAGCTCTAAAATTTAATTTATTTGAATAAAAAAATTATTCTATTTAAAGTAAACTATTTGATATTAAAAAAAGAACTTCAATTACAAATATTGTATTTAATAATTGAATTAAAATATTTAATATCTTAATTTACTGACCTATTTTTTTAAATTCTTATGAATTTTTGAATAATTGTATTATGTTAATATATAATATGCATATATTAATTTGATATATTAATTAAATTAGATTCTACATATTATCTACTTCAACCATAGTAAATCTTTTATTTTTCCCTTATGTGTTAAACTTAATCCCTTATTTATGATGGACACGAACCACACTCCTCAAGTCCAAAATGATACTTTTACACTTCACAATCAGTAAAGTATGTAAGTACTAAGGCATCTGCACTTTATCCAAACATATCCATAAATAGAGTGGCTATTGACAAAGTTATAAATGCAATAATTGCAAAAGTATACAATTAAAGTGTAAAATCAGTCTATTCCTTTACATAAATAAATGTTCCAAGAGTTGTTACTAGAAATATAAACATTTTGCTGTAATGAGTAAATTGTTCTCCCAATCCTGAAAGAGTTTCAAAATCTTAATAGTTTCTTTTGATTGTAAAATGAACAGCTTTACTTGATTCAAAGTAATCTGCTGATGTCATTACAATATACACAAAAGCATAATTGTTAATGTACATTATGAAATTCTCACAAATACAACATAAACACAAAGAAATTGATGCAAAACAATTTAATATAATATTATGTCTCTTCAATCTGCATCGATTAAGTGAATCCTATCATGTAATTTATAATTTTACATAAATTAGATTGAATGCTTTTGATATACCACTAAAAAAGAAGCTGTAAATTGCTTCAGCTGTGATACTACCATTATGATATCTAACAGCTAATTTGAAACTATCATATACAAATCCTTTGTTAGAAGATGCATGAAAATACCAGAGAGTGGCTGTTGAAGCATTAAGGAATCTGGCCAATGATAGTATATATTGCATTAACCAAATTAAAGCAAGTACAGTAATCATTAATTTAATTAAAGTATCAAATTTGAGTTAAATCTTTTCAAAGGGATAAATTTATTAATCTGATGAATAATCAATTTATTATTCTGAAAGTACTGCCAAAGCACTTGCAATCCATATTAATAAAGTAGACATTACTAAGAAAAAGAATATTATAGGCACAATGATAATAGTTTTATTTTAATACAAGAATGTTGTTGCCAATTTAACAAGAGATATCATAAATTTCATCTTCCTTAAGTTCCAACACAATGTAAATATAGCATATATACATAATAATCCAAATGTTATTGAGGCTCCTAACATATATGGACTCCATGCATATGTTAATTTATCAAAGTAAGGAAATAAACTAAATAATATTAAAAGAATATATACTCTAAAGGTAATTTAATGAAATATAATAGAAAATATGCACTAAGGAAACCAGTTAAAGAAATATAGACTAATATGAATACATAAACTATGAATGTAGTGCACAATCCAATCATTATTGTGAAAAAGAATGCCAATAAAAAGGCAGCTCCTCCACTCATGGCTATAATTGGTAAATTTGCTTTTGTATTCACTAAAGCTTATTAAATTTCCCCTACTAAAATTGCTGGTTAAACTGCATTTTTTAAATTATCATCCGTTGGCAAACAGATATTACCAGAATATGAATGAGATTCATAGACTAAGACTCGCTTCTCTGGATTTGTTGGACTTGGATTATTATGACATTCTATGACTACTTTATTTGGAGCACATAACAATTGCTAATCTACTTTTTTAGGACATTTTTCAACACATACTGTTCTATATAGATATTTCTATAGCTATATATGAAGAATCTAACCTCTTCTGGAGTTACGAAATAAATGAATGGAAACTTATTCAAATTTCCTTATCCACATTCTCTTCCTTCAGAATCTACAGGTGTGTAAAGTCTCTCGATATGTTGACTACTATATGTCAAGAAATAAAAATATCCCAAAGCTCCAATAGATAATAAAAACAATAAGCAACAACATAGATTAGTACATGATCTATTTTAATTAGGACCATTTTTTAAATAAACAGGAGGAATGTAACTCATATTAGTTTATTAAGAATAGAGTGCTATAACTGTTTCTCCTTATTCTTCTCTAGCCTCTGATCTACGTTGAAACATTAATTTTAATATTAACTTAAGAATTGTATAAAAATTAAATGCAATAAAATTTATATAAATGTGTGATATTCAATTTTATTTTACTAATACCATAACTTTATTAATAATATAATGTTAATAAAAAAAATAGTCTCATAATTTTGTAGTCAATTTGAAAAGAATATTCAAAAAACAAGAAGGGCTCCATAAATTATTAATTAAGTAAAAGAAGAAGAAACAACAACAGAAGAAAGAGAATCTGATTTTTCATTGAGGAGAATGCCTTTTTATAGATTTCCATTTGGATTATAGAAGAATTTGTATTAAATGTTACAATTATTTGTGAAGCTATTATTTAATTGGGCCATTAATCTATTTTGATTTTACTTAAATGTAAAACCCTTATTTCTCTTACCAACTCACAAATGCATTTTGCTAATTGAATGATATATATATATTTGGCTTTGCTGGAATAGTTGGTGCTATTGTAGGATGTCATTTTGTATCTGGCAAACCTTTTAAATATTTAGGATTATATAGTACAAGCTAATTAATATGTCTATCAGGGAATGGTGTTTTAATGTATTACTTATCTCCATATTTATTTGGATTTTATTTTGTTGGCATTTTATCACATTTAATTTGGTATAATAACACTAAAGGTTTGATTGGTGTACCAAAAACATTCAATAATCTTTATCTAAAATCTATGGTATTTTCTTCACTTTTTATATTTGCAGTATATTTTATTATAATTTAATAGGCTATAGGTGGGATAGTACTATTGAATTAAGAGATTAAACATATAGAAATAAAAATAGAAGAATTACAAAAACTATCAGATTCGTTAAAATAAGGACTATGATATATGTTAATTAATTAAAAAAAGAAATAAATATAATTTTATATAAAAATTTTTATATATTAATGAAATTAAACTTAACTCCATAAACTAAAGTTTCTAGAATGGATGATACATTTTCAACAGATATACATAATATGTGTTATAGCAGAGTCAACATTCTAACAAGTGAAGTAGAAAAGTTAACAGATGTTTTGGGAACAGCATCATAAGAAATGGAAGTTCTTAAAGAACAAAATCGTGATTTGTAAAATTAATTAACTGAGATGGAACAATCAAATTAAATTGTAAGATTTTAATATAATATATTAGATAAATTAAGAGTTTGATAATATTTGTGAAAGATTAAAATAAAAAAGTATTGAAGCAGAAGAGTATGCCTTTTAAGTTCAAAAATTAACTCTACAAAAATAAGTAGATTATTATTTATATTATTATTATTATAGGAACTTACTTAAAATTTGAACAAAGTATTGAATGAATTGGAATAAATAAATTAAGTGATTGATATAAAGGATCAAGAAATTCAATCTGGAAAATAATAATTTATAGCAAAAACAGAAGAATTATAAAAAAGTTTATAATAAACTTATCATTTGGATTAAGCTTTAAAAGTAGTAAAAGAAGAAAAATTATAATATATTTATGAATATTAATAACTACAAAAGTTAGTTGAAGAATAATTATAATAAATAAAAGAATTAAATGAGTTTAGAAATGCTTATGAAACATTAAAAGTGGATTTAAATATCCTTAGAGTAAATTATACAAATTTACTGAATTAAAAATTAGAAGAAAAGAAAGAGTTGGAAGCTTAAATTGATGTATTAAGAGATATGCATAGTTATACTATTGAAGATGCATAACTAAAATATGCTGTATAATGAATCTTATTATATTGATAGGATTAAATTAAATAAGAAATAGAATCATTCAAATAGCTATATGATGAATAATACAAATTTGAAAGAATGACTTATGAATCTACATTAGATTAATTAAAAAATTAAGTAGGTACACTTTCAATGTAATTATAAAATGCTGAAATTTTGATTAATACTCATAAATAAAATTTGATGAATTAAACTTAATTGAGTATGTTTGAGAAAAGCAATTAAGTGAGTGAATTAAAAGCATAAAATTATGTCTTATAAGAAACTCTTATTAAAGCCAATAGAGAATTAAATGAATTGAAATAATAGATGGAAAATGGTAATATTATTAGATTTGATGAGGATGTGAGGAAATAGATTGAATATAAATTAGATTTATGTTAAAAATTACAAAAAGATAAAGAAGAACTTAATAAAGAAAATGAATAATTAAAAAGAGAAAATAGATTATTAAAAGAAAATAACTAATTGATGTAATAATAAATATCATAACAGTAATCAAATATAAGTTAATTACCTTAATCTGTACTAATAAGTTAAATATCACCATCAGGTATTAAGTGATCATTAATTAAGGTATTTAATATGGACAAAAGATTAATGACAGCGAAAAAATAAAGTATTTATTAAAGGCTGTTGATTAGTTGCAAAATGCTATAAAAGACAGAGATTAAGAGATTACAAAGTTATCTTAAATGGCTAGTACTAATGTTGGATTGTCTTCATTGCTCAATAAACCAAATTCAAAAGTAGGATATTACAATCTCAATTCAGAAGATATAAATTCCTTTGATAAGTAATTATGAATTATATAATCTATAATTAATGAAAAAAAATAATAAGAAAAAATCGGATCCGAAAGTTAAAGTAAATCCTTGTTCAAATGATCGTTATTATATGGATTAATCTATTGATGAAGAGGTCTACATAAAAAATAACTATAAAGTTGTAAGAGAGTTGGGTAGAGGAGGTTATGGAGTTGTTTATAAAGCGTATATAAATCATTCTCATTTTGTAGGGTTGGATTAAATCAAGGTCAAATTGATAAAAACAAAAAATATGCCATCAAGGTTAATTTCTCTACTGTATCTCCAGAACTAATATTTGCAGAAATTGGATTTTTGAAATTAATTTATGGCAAAGAAAATATGCCATAATTGGTTAATTTATTTCTTATTGATCAAAAAATATATATCGTCATTGAGTACTTTACATACAAACCATTCATTGTATCAATCCTACAATAATTTAGACTTTCTTTGCTAGTTTTGATATGATGGAAATTAGACGATATTTATATGAATTACTTAAAGCCTTAAATGTATTGAAATTAAATGGTATATATCATCGTGATGTTAAACCTGGAAACTTTCTCTATAATCCAAAGACAGGCAAAGGAATCCTTATTGATTATGGTCTAAGTGAAATCGATAGATCATTTGTTGCCAAATTGATTGAAAAAGAGAAAGAATTATCAAAAAAAGTATAAATATTCTATCAATTTCAAGCATCCTCAATCAGATGAAGTCTAAGAAATCAGAAGAAAAATTAATCTATATAATGAAATCTAAAAAACAATAGATTAAATTGGAAATAATAAAATTGGAACAGAAAGTTTTATGCCTTTAGAAAGCATATTGCATTATCATGTATATATAGATAATAATAATTGAAGGATCAATCATATGAAGTGGATATGTGGGCTGTAGGAGTGATATTCCTACAATTTTTGACTAAGAAGTACAATTTATTTAGCAATGTCCGAATGATTAATAAACCTGTAGTAACTAAAAACTTTTTTTATGTTAACTTTATATTAGAATTGGCTAGTTTGTTTGGTTCAGATTAAGTGAAATAGATTTGTGAACAATTTGGTATAATGTAATTCATTTATAAATTAGATTATGATCTTAAATTGCCTTCAGTTGTTGCAACCAAACCTGTTTAATGGAAATCTATAATACATATTGATGGATTTGATAGTGATGCTGAAGATCTGCTTACAAGATTGCTTTGCTTGAATCCAAAATAGAGAATCAAAGTTGAAGATGGATTAAAACATCCTTTTTTTAAGCCTTTATTAGATTAAGAAAAAATTACTTAAACAAACTTTTAGGATGATTAAGAAATAAAACAATAAAAACTTTAAGAAATTTGAATTTATATGATATTTTATATACAAAGAGCTTCTCATATCATATAAGATAGAAAGATCTATTTATTTATATTATAAAAAATACATAAAAATACAATATCTATAATTTCTTAGATATTATAAAATAGTTAATGGATAATATAAAATATTTTAATTTTAATTTAATATATAAAGGTTGAAAAAATTAAATATTAAATATATATATTTATATAAATACTTAAATAATCCATTTGATCTTTAATTTCAAATGTTATGAATTATAAAATACTTGTTTCTAAAATATATGTAATTCTTTTGTGTAGTAATTATGTTGAATTATTTCAGTTATATTAATGCAATATCCTTCTTTAGTTATTTGAAGGCATATTGTTTCAGTATTCAAAATAGATATGATATAATATAGATTATAAAGAGAGAATGATTACTAAATATGTATATATGGAATTATTTCAAATTAGAGTATTAAATAAGATACTCTGATTTTGAAACAAATAAAGAGTATGAATTAGTTGATTTATGTATGATTAATATGCATTCCTCATATAGATTTGAGATTGAATTATTGTGATATTGTTATTCTGTTATGTGTGTATGAGTTTAAATTTATGATTTAATTTAGAGCCAAAATGGGATGATTTTCTGTTTGGATTTACATGTTATGATAAATTTGACAAAGACATTAATAATAATAACCTAAGGAAAGTAAAATGTCTATGATTGCAATTATTTTATTTATAAATATTTGTAATGGTTCTGAGTGAGGATTGAATAAAAAAAAAATTAAAAATTAATGACTGACTAAGAAAAGAGCAGTGATGTTAGACTTATCTAGGATGGTTTAAAAAATGTCTAAAAACAAAAGACTGGATTAAAATAGATCAATCTTGATAATCTAGTGTACAATAAGCGGGAACGTAAGCAAACTGGCGGTCCAAGTATTTAGTACTTTTTAAAGTCTTAGCAATTCAACCTATTCCATAAATTTAATAGAAAAAAGTCATTTAGAATAAGCAAAGTTATAAAAAGAAGAATGTTGAACTGTAGACTCCTCCTCGTGAAGAAGTTCAGCAAGTTCAAGAACCAACTTTGATCAAATAATAAACAATATCATGCCAATAATTGGTCTTTGAATCTGATAACTCATCAGATTTTGATCCAAAAATAAAAGCCAAGAAGTCCAAAAAGTTTAAAAGAACACATAAACGTTTAGATATTGAAGATTCATCAGATGAAGAATAATATAAAAGAAGACTTATATTGAAAAGAGTAAATAAAATATTCAAGAAATCTTATGAATAAAAATAGATCTTAGCTTAAGGAAGTGAATAAGAAAATCTTGTAAAAGAACTATTCAAAAATGTTTATGTAAAGATATTTTAAGGTATTATATGATCATATCTTATAGACATTCCCATATCTGCAGCAGAACTTAAATAATTATCAAATCCAAATCCAGAATATTCAACTGGATAAATAAGTGAAGGCAAATAATAGGATGATGAGATGAAACCAGAAGAAGAGTAAATTCGTATTCTAACAGAAGATGGAACAGATTTTGAAACCAAAAGAAATTTAAAATTATTAGGAATTGAAAATTAAGAAATTCTATCTAAATTGGGGGAAGTTAAGTCTTATATTAATTGTGATATAAGATATTTTAATTTAGACTTTTTAGTTGAAAAAGTGGGTGGATTTGATGGTATTCAATATTAATATTCTATTAAGTTGTTTTGATGGATCCACCTTGGAGAATTAAAGGAGGTTAATAGAATGATTCATCATTTATGTTTACTAATAGTAAATTCTCACTTGATTACAATACAATGAGTAATTAAGAGATTATGGATATTAAAATTGAGAAATTGAGTAAGAAAGGATTTTTGTTTCTTTGGATTTTAAATACATAATTAAATATAGCATATGAAATGGCTAGTAAATGGGGATATGAGATTGTAGATCAAATTATTTGGGTTAAATTAAATCCTTAAGGGAATAATGTGTATCTTTCTACAGGATATTATTTTATGCATTCTTTTGAAATATGTTTAGTTGGGTATTATATTATGGAATATTTAATAGATATAAATGTCCTCCAGGTGAACATGTAGAATATCATTCTAAAATATCTAATAATATAATTTTCAGTCCAGTAAGAAATAAATCATAGAAACCTATAGAGATGTATGAAATCATAGAATTAATGATGCCTGGAGCTAAAAAAGTTGAAATATTTGCTAGAAACAATAATCTTAGACATGGATGGTTTTCTATAGGTAATTAATTGGGAGAAACATATTAAAAATGGTTAGTTTAAATAAGTTGCAATATATGTAGTATTGCATTGTAACCTGGAATATGTAGATACAAATCTAAAAAGATAGCTAATTTTGATATTTGTTAAGAATGTTATAATAAAAAGATAAGTGAAGGAGAATTAAATGAGAATGAAATGTTCTTTTTAGCTAATAAGGCTGAAGAAGAAGTGTTACATTAATATCATTAATGTAATAGATGTGATTAAAATCCTATTTGGGGTCCAAGATTTGAATGTATAACATGTGATAATTATGATTGTTGTGAAGCATGTTTTGATATTTTACTTTAATCAGGAGATTCAACTCATAAGGATCATGATTTTAAGGTTATTGAATTACCTACTTTTGCTGAAGGTATACCATGTCATGATGCAAAATGTAATGGATGTTTTTAGAAACCTATTTTAGGTGTTTAATTTATTTGCAAATAATGTACTAATTTTAGTTTATGTAATAATATTTATATATTATGTAGGTTAAAATTGTTTTTTTTCTAGATCTTAATCTGAATTAAATGGTCCAAGACATAAAGCAGATCATCGATTTGAACCAATATATGAAGTGTAGAATTTCTCTAAGAAAACTTATAAATGTTAAGGATGTGAATTAGAAAAGGGAGGATGTGTTTATAAATGTGAAAATTGTTTTGGATTTTATTTTTGTGAAGAATGTTATGCTTTTAAGAAAGATGATTGGAAATGTTATGTTGCTACAAGTCATAAAAATTATCATACATTTATAAAGATATGATATTATAAATTATGAATCAAATTTTAATATTTAATTTCCAAATTCCTGTGATAGTATTAAGATTTGTATAATAAGTACTAATTGAAAAATATATACATTTACCCTCTTCCATTTGCTTTTCCTAATTGAAACATACCATGAAATCTAGAATTATCACTAAATGTCCATATTCCATATCCATGAAATAATCCATCCTAAAATTCTCCTTAATAATTAATCCACTTATTTCCAATTTTATCAAGATTATTCACATCTATCATACCTTCTTCAATATTTTCATTATTTAAATGTCCAAACCCATTATAATTATCATCTTTCCAAAATCCTAAATTTAATAATTTCATTATTACCCATATATAATTTCTTATCTCCTTTTCTAAGATTACCATATCCTTATTTCTTATCATTTAATATAGATCCAAAATAAGTTGTGTCATCTAAAAGTTAGATTTTATGATTATTGGATAATTATAGATTTTTAGGAGATTATTAAGAACTATTAGTACTGCTGTTTACAATTACTAATTTATTACCATTTGGTGAGGAACATACTTCATGGAACGAATTGGTATGTCTTCTTCCAGGTTTATTAAATTAATTCAAATTAATATTTAAAGTTTAATTTGTTTATTTGTTAATCTTTTATTATTTTTCTACTATTTATTCTAATTATTATATTTTCAATTATTAACATTATAAAGTTTTAACATATTCCTCTAATTAATTTCTTTATTAATTTATTTATTCATTTAAATTTTTAGTACTCTTTTATTATTTATCATATTCATCTTTTATACTACTATTTTCTAATTCTAATTCTAGTATTTTTATACGTAATTATTTTATTTAATCATATTAATCTAATAATTTAGATTCTTATATCTCTAATTTATCTTTAAGAAGATCATTCTAATCAGTTATTTCTTCAATTTTATTTTATAAGTCTTTTACATTAATATGCAAATCTTCAAAATGAGGAGATGTTGCTGATATTCTTGAAATAGGAGAACATAAAGTTAGATTCATTTTGAAATTTAAATGTTCCAATGCTTTCTACATTTAACATAACACATACTTTTAAGACTTTTTGTTATAAAATAAATCTATTTCTATATTCATCTTCTTGTTCATCAAAAGTAAAATGTTTTTCATTACAACAATTATATGGTATATCATTTAAATAATTCTTAACAATATTTACTAATTCATCTGCCATTTGATTTACTTAATCCAATTATTCATAAGATGAAATTGTTTTGCAACAAAAACTATTTTATAGAGATAACGCATTGAAATTAAATTGGTTTTCTATTTCTTGATATACATTTGTTGTCTAATATCCCTATTATCTATCTTACAAATCCATTTGGCCCTTCAAATTAGGAGAAAGTTATGAAGTCTCTCCAATTAAATCCTCCTACACTTTTTCAGGTATTGGGATGGAACGTTGTCTCCTGTATTTTTATTAGGTAATATTTGCAGTTCTACTTGTATACCTTTACTTTAATACTTATCTGTTGGTTCAGAGAAACGAACCTGTTTGTAGCTTGTATAAGACTGATTATCTTCTGGAATGTAATATGATATTACTTCCTCATCAGGAATACAATTCTCACATCCTGAGTTCGGAGGAGAAGAAAATGACACTGTTAATTTAGATTCTTTGAAGTATTGTTCTTTCTATTCTGGACTTTCTGCTTATTAGAACATAAATCATACAAACATCAATTGATACAGTCTTGCGAAATATCACCTATGGTGCTTTAAGTGTATTACCTACAAAAAACCTAGTTCCATCACAACACATACCTTATTCTTGCATAATTATATAATATAAATTACGCCAACCAAATTAAATCAAATTCATGTCAGAAATATTTAGAGTCTCACACAAAAAATAATGATGTCGGTTCATCAAAACAATGACCCATTAATACAATAGACTCTAATAATATACATAACAATTATATGAGTACAAATATTATATACATCCATAATTGAATATTACTATGTATTTACTATCATCAAAGTTATACATACATTAAATGGATATAAATTCTAAGAGATTCAACTTAAAAGTCATAATGTATGGCATAAAAGATAAAACTAATTAATATGATTTAAAATATTATAGATGAATTGATAGAGAAACTACTTATAGAAAATAAAAATTAACAGAGTTCATCTTGAAAATGATATTTACTTATTGATTTTTATAATATAATGCTATCATGCCATCAAAATACCTTTAAAGAATTTCAAGTAAACTATAACTTATACTTAGAATTAACTTACTATATTTAATATTGATTCTACATATCATCCAACTTATTAATATTAAAACAACTAAAGATTTATTATTTTAATACTATCTTTTTTCTTATTCAATGATTTTATTTCATTTATATTCATATTCCCTCATTATTTAAGTATGATAATAAAAAACCTAATATCTATCAATTATAATTAATATTATAAAAGAAATAATTTGATGTTGAAAAAGAAAGGTTCTGAATAATTAGATATCATATTTGAGGCAGGTGAAGATCTTTTGAACTTCTCTAAGAATCAAGTCATCATGATCAAGAACAATTCTATCAAGCTTCCCATTATTAAACCAAGAACATTTTTATCATATAGTTTTGAATTCTGTGGGATTACAGGTCTCAATTACAAGATGCTCAGATTTTAATCCTTAGGCAGAGATATTAGAGTATATTTAAAATTTTATTATAAGCCTGAAACTAGTATCATGACTTCATGTTTAGTCAAGGTAATACATACAACAGAGTTTTCATAAATGGCATAAAATCCTTTAAAAACTTCATTCTAAGGGTTGTTTATACTAGGTAGTCATAGTGATATCCTGATTTAAATTAATAAAGAAGATGTATTATGATTTGTTAATTCAAAGCCAATACCTTTGCATAAATGTATTTTGGCTTGTAGATCACCAAAGTTTAATGGGATGTTTTCTTCAAATATGAGTGAAAGTAATTAAACTTTAGTTAAGGTCGAACATAGCAAACCTGAATTATTTAAAGTCATGTTATAATGGATATATTGCGGGTATTGGAAAGAAGTACTTTTATGTTTTTATTTTTAATTCAGTTCCCAGAAGAGATAGAAGATACTTGTGATTTAATGTTACTAGCTGATGAATATTTAATTACAGACTTAAAATAAAAATGTGAAGAAGATATCATTTCAAAATTGGATAGTAGCAATATTTTATATATATTGTTATTTGTAGAGAAACACTCAAATATTATATCTTAACCTCTTTTAGAAAAAACTAATTCTATGTTTATAGATGAATTTGATAAAATCCATAAATTAAATCCTAATTTAGAATAAGAAATAACAAGAATGCCTGGTTTGATGACAAAATTATTTAAAAATTTACATCAGAAAAAAATAAGGAAAGGAAGAAAAGTTCATTTTGTGGTTGATGATTTTGAAGAATCAGATTCAGATGACTATGTTAGAAATTATACACAATATTTCTACTAATGATTATAGCAAAATATTTCTTATCTTTTTTTTATATTTATATACAATCTACTTGAATTATATTTATTATAAACAAAAAAAAGAATATATCTCAAAGATTTATTTATTAATAATTCTACTTTTTTGTTATAATTTATTTTCATAGAGACAATTTATGAAAATTAGATATATTGTTTTTATATGATAAATTAAGATGTTATTATGTTATTAAAATGTAATTAGAATATAATATTATCAAAATATCTAGAAATAATATTTATATCTTAGATTGATGCTAATCTTCATTAGTTAAACTTTTGGTTTATTAATAACAAAGTTGATGTGGCCGAGTTGGTCTAAGGCGTTGGATTTAGGCTCCAATCCGCAAGGGCGCGAGTTCAAATCTCGCTGTCAACATAATTTTTTATTTAAAAATTACATTATTTTTTTCACAAAAAAAATGATTAAGCTAATTTAATGAAATATTCTATGTTGTAATAATTGAAATTTAGATTATTTTTATTCTAATTTTTATCATTCAGATCTGAATGCATTACTTAAGATATATAATTATTCATTTTCATATACACCTTACAATTATTTATATACATATTTTATATTAACAAATAACAATACTAAAATATCATTTATTATTTATCAATAAAAGTTTAACATTAAAAGATCACTACATAAAATAATAAATAATTTATTTATAAAATGCAAGTTTCTTGTAGAACCAAAAATGTTAATAAGTACTATAAAGTAATTGGAGAAGTTGGATCTGGTACTTATGGTAAAGTGTATAAGGCAAAATGTCTAAAAACCAATGATTTTGTGGCTCTAAAGAAAATTGATACTAAGGATTAAAAAATAATGGCTGAAGGTATTATTGTAAAGCATATTTTAAGGATTTCCAATCACTGCAATAAGAGAGATCAAATTATTGAAAATTATGAATCATAAAAATATTTTAAGATTAAGAGAGATAATTATAAGCAAAGCCTCTTTTAGAAATAATTTTAGAGGATCTACCTTTTTAGTTTTTGACTATTATGATCATGATTTTGCAGGTCTTCATAGATTAAGAAATATCTTTACACTACCACAAATTAAATGCATTTTTAAATAGCTTTTAGAGGGAGTTAAATATCTTCATGAAAGCAAAATTATTCATCGGGATTTGAAATGTGCCAACATTCTTATGAATAATAAGGGATAAGTGACTCTGGCTGATTTTGGTTTAGCCAGAACACTATCAAATGTGAATAATCCAAAATATACTTATAAAGTAGTGACTTTATGGTATAGAGCCCCTGAATTGCTTTTAGGTTAAACTAATTATAACACTTAAATTGATATGTGGAGTCTTGGTTGTATTTTTGCTGAGTTGATTACAGGAGAAGTACTTTTCAAAGGAGATATTGAGTTTAGATAAATGGAAAGGATTTATGAATTGTGTGGGAGTGCTACAGAATAAAATTGGTCTAATTGTGTTAATTTGAGATAATGGGAAGAGTTTAAACCAAGAAGAAATTATGAAAGATTATTGGTTAAACATATTAAAGATGTTTGTCAAGCACTAAATAAATAAATTGATTAAGTAACTTTAGATCTAATAGATCATCTTCTAATCTTAGATCCAAATAAAAGGTTAAATGCAATTTAAGCTTTGAATCATGATTTTTTCAAATAGGAACCTAAAGCATGTTAACCAAATGAAATGCCCTAATTTGAAAAGGAATTTCATGAAACACTTTTAAAGAATGAAATGAGATTACAATAACAAAGACTTGAAAAACAATAAATGAGACCATCATCTAATACTACATAGAAACTATAAAAGGTTGTGCGAGATGAGAGAAATATGTCTAAGCCTTAATAGTCTTCTCCATCAAGAGATCAAAGAAATAAACAAGAAATAGATTTTGAAGATATAATAAAATTTGAACTTGCTGAAGAAAAGAAAAAAGTAAAATTAAATTGAATATGATTTCTATATATCAAATTAATGTGGTGCTGTTCCAATGTGTAACAATTTTGAAATATTGTCAATCTCATAATTAGAGGAGACAGTTATAATCAAAATTATTCTCAAGAATGTTTAATTAATTAAATTTCATAATTAGTTCTTTTTAACAATATTTTAATTCACATTATAAACCAAAGTTGAGCATATATGTTTATGTATTTTCAAAAATTATTAATTAAAGATATTCTAATTTTATATTAAAATCATCAAATATCTAAGTATTATAATATTTACAATAGCCTATTTACTTATATTATCATATCATATTATATTATATTATGTAAATAATAAAAACTATAACTATACATAAATTATGAATAGATTTAATATAAATAAAAAACCAATTTTTACAATCACTTATTATGATAATTTTTATTTTTTAAGTTCAAATAATAATTATTTTATGAATTTATGGTATCTCAATCATTTTTTGCAAAATATACTTATTTGTATTTTTAATCAAATTACTATTTTATAAAAACCTTATAATATACTTTTAAATAAAATAGTATTATTTAATAAAAAATAAGTTATTTTATTAAAATTTATTAATAATCTGGAAATTTCTTTCATAATTTTAACCTATATATGCTTATAGAATTCTATAAGAATAGTCTACTTCTTTAAATTTCGATAGGTTTTTTTCAATTATTATTTTAATTTAGTTTACAAATCGTGCTTTTTTTAAGATTATGGAAAAAATAATATTATTTGATAAATTTGAAATATTTAATATATATTATTCATATCCATATTCATATTCAATAATCTGGTTTTTATTAGGGTAAATATCTTTCAGTAAAATTATTATCTAATTATTTTTTCTCATCCTTTTGAATTTCCTCTTAATAACTTTTTCTTGTTTCTTTAATATCTCCCTTAAAACAAAATTTTTGTTTTTTCTTACACCACCAAATCATAAAGCAAGTAAATATACAAAATATAGGAATAGTTGTACCAAGAACAATCAACAAAACCTATGAACTTTCTTCTTCTTTTAATAAACTACATTTTACGCAATCATAATTTTCAGACCAGCTGTATGTGAAATAAGTGTTAATTTAACAATCATCTTTAGAAAAATTAAATAGATTATTTTCTTAAACTTCTTAACATGAATTATTTGACCAAAAACAAGTTGTTATCAATGTTTAATTTGTCAAAGTATATTAACATTCTTGTTCTAATTTTATGTCAGTACATTACTTCTCTTTACACATATTATTTTCATAAATGCAATGATATTCTTTGCAATAACTCTAAGAATCATAATATTAAGGACATATCAATTTTGAGTTATCAAATAATTTACATTTCCCAAAATCATTTAAATAACAAAATAGTCCTTTTCCATTATAGGTAGAATTACATTAATCTATAGGTATAGCTGAGCAATTTAATTCATTTGTTGGATATGAACAAATACCATTTATAAATGAGCATTTTTAAATCGGGCATTATTTATCAATTAAACAATCAAATTTCTCACATGATTCATTACTTGTCCATGAGCAACTAAAATTATTAATGTAAGAATTGAAGCAATCAGATTTTTCACTTATATCATCACAATTTTAATAATCAAAGTCTTCACATTCTTCAAATTTCTAATTCCATTTGCACTAATAATTGGTTTAATCTCCCTAACAAAGAGTTTAATTCAAATTTTGACATTGCAAATCTTGACAAAATTCCCCATTCCATGAACATTTAATAAAATGATCGCAGATTTTGTAAGAGTACTCTGAACAAGGACATTAAGATGCTAAATAATGAAATTTCAATCCAAAACCTAAATAGCAACTTACTATAATTATTAGCAATACCATGAATTACAAAAAATTTATTTAAAGAAGATGCAAATGACAATAATATATTTTTAGATTATTAATTCAAAAAGATATTTTGCTACTAAATAAAGAATTAATTATTAATATATAATTATATAACAAATATTTAATGAGACATTTCATCAAATAGTTTTCAGAATAATCCATAGTTCCTTCATTATCAAATTTTATAAGAATACCTAATTTGAGTCCATAGTTTGATAATTAATGGTAATAAAATAAATTACTTGAAGAAGCTTGTAATCATATTATTAAATGGATTGAAAATGAAACTATTGAAATACAAAAAGAAATCTAAATATTGTAAATTCCAAATTCTCCAAATTGTATTTCTATTAAAATATTTGGAAATTAAAAACAAAATAAAACAATTTTATGTTATGGACATTATGATAAATAACCTCATTTTGTTGGTTGGAAATACGGTCCAACTACTCCAATCATAGAGAACAATAGACTTTATGGAAGAGGATCCGCAGATGATGGTTGTGTACCTTATGCAATTATTTCAGCAATTAAAGCATTAAAAGAATTCAAATAAAATTATCATGATTGTTATCTAATTGTAGAAGGAGAGGAGGAAAGTGGAAGTCATTAATTAATTTAATACATAAAAATGTTAAATATATCAAAAATAGATCTTATGATTGCAATAGATTCAGGAATTGTTGATTATGATAGATTATGGATTACTAATTCAATGAGAGGAGCAATTACATTTGATATTAAAGTATTCTAAACTATTAATCCATTCTAATATTTAAGAATTTTGTTAAATAAATTAGAAGATTCACTAACAGGGGAAGTTAATTCACAATTTTAAACTATTATACCAAAAAGTAGCCTTGAGGAATGTTAAACAACAGCCTAGCTTGTTCCTCTAGAATTTCCAATGACTTGCTAAAAAATGGAATCTGATCATGTTTAATAATATATCAATAGAGCTTGGAAACCATCTGTATCTTATATAGGTGGTTTAGAAGATTTGGATTAAGATAATGATGAATTAATAATAAGAATTTCTATGAGATTACCTCCAAATAAGGATGCTTAAGAGGCTTCTCAATAACTAGTACAATTATTAACAACTTAATGGAGTTAAGTTGAAATCATATAAGCAAAAACAGGTTTAGCTGTAAAGTCATTTAGTAAGGAACTTAAAAATATTTTGAATGAGGCTTCAATAGAATATTTTGGAAATGAAATGAGAATGTTTCATGAGGGAGCATCAATTCCATTTTTAAATTCTTTATATTAATTATATCCTGAATCTGAATTTTTAATATTAGGAGTTCTAGCTCCTGATTCAAATGCACATGGTCCAAATGAAAATTTAAACATTGAATATTTCAATAAATTAATAGGTTGTTTGACTTATATATTCACAAGTTAAAACATTTGATTAGAATTTCTCATTATAATTTTATTATTATTTATAAGAATTACTAATTAATTTAAAGTTAGAAATTTACTGTGATTAATTTTCTTTTTTTAACATAATATATTTGTTATATATATATATAATTCGCAACTTTCTTCATAGTAAATCTCTGAATCTTATTTTTTATATCTTGTTAAATGTATTTTATTTAAAATGAAATGCCTTTTTATTAATCTAAATTTACTTTAAAAATAAAAAATGATCTAAATGTTTTTTCATTCCTATAATAATAAACAAACATAAAGATAATTTCAGCTTATGATATTTTAAGTATACAAATTGATTATGATTCAATTCCAAAATGAAAATGATAATAATAAAAATGAATTATATTTTCATCACTCCAACATATTAAGAAATTTTTTATTTAAATTTTTTGACAAAGGAGATAACTTCTTATCTTTAAAGTCTTCTTTTAATTCTTCAACGGGTTCTTCATCAATATTAAGTAATATGTGACTTTCATACTTAACTTCTTATGAAGGTTTCGAGAACAAAACTTTAGAAGTATTACTTGTCTATGATCTAATATAATTGCTCTTTATTCCTTATTATATTTCTTTTTCACTTTGCTACTTTGCACAGCATGAACTCCCCATTTTATAATTAAATATTATGAAATAATAATTAGAGTTCAATTAAAATTACAATAAGCTTTGAATTACCTTATTGACAATACTCTAAACACATTTAACCCCCATTAATTTATAAAAATATGGAAAGAAATAAATACAATAAGAGAGCTTTGAATTACAAATTAAAGCCAATTCAGGGAATGATTTCACATGAAATAAAGAGTCAAAAAACTTGAAAATAAGATATTAATATTGTTTTGAAACACTTTCAAAATTATTACTAAAACAAATGTTTCAAACTAATCTTTAGCCATTTGAAGAATAATATTGTAAAGAGAATGTAATAATAATGAGACTTCTTATTTTTTATAGGATTATTGTGAAGACAATCTTATAAATTCATTAATAATGTAGCTAATTTTTATTCCAATATAATAACATTTATGAAATAAATCCATGATAAAACTATATATAATTAAAAGTAAATCTCTATGCTTTATTGATAACAATTATGTTTCAAATAAATAAAATTAATAATTTTTAAGTATGTTTGTTTATTAAGTATAATATGAGTTAAAATATATGTATTATTAAGTTGGATTTAATAATTAAATTTATAGAATCAAATATATTAATTGTAATGTATTCATATATTCTATATATAAGAAATATAATTGTAAAACGAATAGCAGAAATATCAGAGATTTAGGATTTGATCTTTTAAACTAAATGATACTTTAATATAATTGTATTTTATATAATACTTATTCATTAGTTAGATGAATTAATTTCTTCTACTCTGGTAATTGAATTAGCTGATGGGTTCCATGGACTAATTTAAAAAGAATTGATTACACAACATATTGTTAAACTTCAAAAACTCTTTTGGTATCCTCTTTTGCATATTAGACAAGAACTTTATAGTTGATTCCTGCAACAACTTGAGTTGTTACTTGAAGTAACTTTTCATATTGATATCCATCTTTAGATAAATTAAATTTATCTTCAATAGCATCCAAAGTGGATTTGATAATATTGTTGTTTTGTTGTTCAAATTCTTCTAATGGTTACTAGAGAATATAATTATATATTACTTTAATCCATCCACCTGACATTTATTTATCTTACAAACTTGTTTAATGTTCTTGAATAATTTAGGACAATTTGTGTCTCAATCCAATAGTTTCAAGACTACAATTGGCAAAACAAAGGATTAAACCTATAAATAATATTGCTTTCATTAAATAATAATAATAATAATAATATATTACAATTAATAATTACATAAATTCATTCAATTTGTGGGTATAAGACCATCATAATCAGCAATCAAATACATAATACTAGCAATGGCAATAACATTATCATCCATATCATCAGCATTCATCATCCACATGGAATCTCCAGCAGAATGATGATATGTGAAATAAAAGTCATGAGTATCATTATCCACTATTTTATTGTTCAAAACAGGAGTTCCAGTAACACTTCTTAATGCTGCACTATCAGCTGACATTCCAGCATTAGGATATATTTTCTCAACTCCAATTTCAGTCAAATACTCTTAAGCCAAAGAAATAACAAGTTCTCTAAACTACTAAAAAAGTGAAATACGTGAATTTTTCTCCTGCTGTTACACCAAAACCATATGGTTAAGTAGATCCAAAATCTGATTCAAAAGCAACAATATGATTTTCTTAAGAATGAGTTTTTGCATAATGTTGGGCACCATTATTAGCCATACCCATTTCTTCTCCACTCCAAGCTATAAATCTAATAGTTCTTTTAGGTCTTATTCCTAAATGTTTCAATATTTTCAAAGCTTCTAGACATTCTAATACTCCAGCACCATCATCATTAGCACCTGTCTAAGATCCAACATCCCATGAATCCCAATGACCACCCATCAATAATATTTCATCTGGATATTTTGATCCTCTAATTTCTGCCAATATATTATCACTTGTTGTTTTATATTATATTCCACCCGTTTTAATTTCAATCACAACTTTCTAGCCTCTTTATCTCATTCTATCTATCATATCTGCATCTTCAACTGTAATTGCAACAGCTGGATATTTTATATCTTAATAGTTTGTCATTCCCTTTATTTTATATTCAATAATCATACTGTATGTGGTGATGAAATAGATATACTTGCAACACTCCTTATAATAGTTCCTATTGCACCTGCATCTTCTGCTATCTTTGGTCCATTTGTTCTAAATTATAAACCAGAAGAATATCCTTTCCATTCATAATTAAAACAAACTATTTTCCCTTTAACATCTATAGATTTTAATTCCTCAAAAGAATGAACTACTTCAACTTCTGCTTTAATAGTTCCTGCTGGACTCCATCCTAAACCAATCATATTTAATTTCTATGGGTACTATCTTGGATCAAATAATGTCACACTCTCTTCTCCTCTTTTCCATGATGTGATTTCTCCTAAATTCTCTTTCCAAACCCTATCAAATCCATAACTTTGTATCTCTTCAACTAAAGCATCTATTGAATCAGCCATATCTTCTGAACCCCACATTCTAGGACCAAATGTATCTACATAATATGCCAATCGATTGTATGATGAGTGATACAATGGTGAATGGGGATTTTTTATAGTTTCTCTAATTTACTATATATCTACAAGAGAATAGTACTAAGATCTTTTGTTATTTCATTTAATCTTTCCTGTTTCTAAGCATATATGCATTTATGCTTAAATATAAAACTAAAAATATGACAATTTTCATTTTTCAATTATATAAATTAATGGAGAGATAATAATATAATATTATAAAATAAAACTATTTATAGGAACTTTTACCGAATTTATTTCTATATTATTACTAATTATTAAACATGATTTCCAACATTTTTAAACCCAAAAAATAACAACTCATACAAGAAAGTCAATAAAACATCACTTTAGGTAAATTAGTGAAATTTTCTCACTATGAAACAATCTTCAAATATTCTTTCTTCGCGGTTTTATGTAATTTAGAAATTTATCGGTCATAGTTGTTATTTCATTATACAGCCTTGATGTCATTCAATTTTAACAATTCCTTAAAGAAAAGAACCTTAGAAGATTTGATTGGACTGATCTAAAGTGGTTGGTTATTGGATTAATACTAATTCATGTAAATTAAATTCTGTATTAATTAAGATCACAAAGATAATCAATGGATATTTGGTATTTGATTATGTCTCAAAATCATTAGATAAAAAATATATTGGTTTGGATAGATAATTAAGAGTTTAAAAAATAATTAAATGGATTTATGATACTTTTTATTATTCCGTAGTTACTATATTTGCATATATAGTTTTTAGAGATGAAAAATGGTTTCCTAGTCAATTAGGAGGCACTAAATTTACAGAAACCATGTATGATTTCCCTAACATGCCTGATGTACAATTTTAAATAATTTCTAATAGAACCCTTGGGTACCATTCTATTATATGATCTAAACATCAAGTCATATTCATGCTCTATTGTTATTAATGATTCATGGTACAAAGATAGAATTGAAATATTGGGAATATTTACTACATCATTTTCTAGCAGTAAGTCTGTTATATTTTTCAACAATTTATAATTGCGAAAGTATTGGAATTGTTGTTTTGGTACTTCATGACATAAGCGATATCTTTCTGGCATATGGAAGAACCTATGCTGATATTGGAAAGAATAAAATTCTTGTTTATATGAGTTTCTCTGCTATTCAAATTTCTTGGTTGTACACTAGAGTCTATGTATTTCCTATTAAAATATATGATATCATAGTAAATCATCCTGGATTTTCACTTTACTGGTATTATTACAATATTATAATAATAATAGGGAAAATACAAAACATGCTTTGTACAATCAAGTAGGATTAATGATAGTTCTATTTGGAATGCACATTTATTGGACAATATTTATGGTTAAAGTAGGTATTGGAATCTTTTCAGCAGGTAAATATAAAAATGTATATGATAACAGAGAAAATAAATTAGATAACAAGAAGGAAAAATGATTAATAATAATAATAATAATAAATATAGATATATATTTTAATTAATAATTTTATGTTTATATTTTATCATTACTTCTTTCTTGGTTTTTGGCCAAATTAAGTTACTGTGAAAAATGCAAATAGAATATAGGTTGTTAAATTAAAAATGTAACTAAGATTATTAATATAATTAATTACTATACTGATCCATAGAATCTTAAATTATCTCTTACATTCATCAATTAAAATCCTACTCCAAAAGAATTGAATAATGAATTTACAAAATAAAATCTTACAGATCTGAAAAAGATATTTTTATCCCAAATTTTCAATACATTTGTATTCTATCCTAGTTTATGGATATATTTATTGATCATTCCAATTAAATTCCAATGGAAGAAAGAAATATAATAACCTGGATAAAATCCATGCCAAAATGCTGAGACAGCAAATGTTATTAATTGAGCTTTTTATGATTTAGCTGCACTTGATTTTAATACTGATTCAGGATACACTCTCAAATAAACATATTTCTTTAACCAAACTTAAACTGAAATATTCCATAATTCAATTTTATCTTTTGGATTTGTAGTCAAATCTATTGTAGGATCAATTGATCTAATTCTTAACCATCTATCTTTTCCATCCTACTATCCATTATAAGTAAAACCAGCAGCAGCCAATCCACTTTCAGAGAATAACCATCCTGAAACATATTTTGTTCGATGTAAAGTAATAGTTAAATTTAACCATAATATCTTGTATAACAAACAGGCCTCTTCATATTCTGTAGATAATAAAGATTCCAAAGACCATCTTGGATATACAACAACAATGAAAAAACTATATATTAATGCATTTCTAAATAAACGGAATGTTTCAGAGAATGTACTTGGAATATTCTAATATACATTAGTCCTTTTAATAAAAATATCATAATCGTAATAATCAAAAGATGGCTAAATTAATTAATTTATCTTACTCCAGCTAAACATCCACAAAAGAAAAACATAAATCCAAAATAATCTGTATATGATGGCATTTTTGATAATTTTCTTTCTTATTGATCAGAATTCAAATCTTCATCTTTTCTTAAACCATCTTCATAATTATATGCAAAAGATGTCCATTTTACTGTATTCATCATTAATATTGTTGTTATATCTAATTTCCTATTCATTATTCATATATTTACCATCCACCATAATCAGTATATTGTCTATAAATATGATGTACTGCAACATAAATCAAGGTTTCATAAAATACCCATTTTGCTTTTATGCCAATTTTATTCAATGAAATTCGCTTAGTCATTTCATACACAATGATATTCTATATTATTACACTAATCAATTTTTCCTAGTATAACATATATGATAATAGCAAACCAATAGTCAAACCAAAATATTTTCTTAATTGAGCACCTAATGTTTGTTTCATAATTTAATCTAAATACTCTTTAATGTTTTAAATAGGAAGCCTAAAGGTATTGTGATTATGAATCCAAACACCATTCTTGCTTGATCTTCTGGTAGACCAATCAAACCTCCAAGCCATTCAAAAAATGAAAGGAGCATCACTATTTAAATTAATATATTAATTAGAAAATATCTGTCTAATTTAATATGTATTTTTATTGATTTACTATAATATTTATAGTTTTTATAAATTTTACATTTATCAAAATGGATGTTCCTATAAATAATTTCAAAGGAGTTATGTTATGCAATAGGCCAAATGAGAATGTAATGATAGTAAAGGAAAAGTATCATTATGAGAATAATTCAGACCATTCTGTTCAAGGGTCTAACCTTATGATTAATGGGGATTGACAAAAAAGTATGAAGAACCAAAAGTTGTTGTACCTCAAACTAATCCTGTATTAGAAAGACATAAGAAATGGTTGGAGGAATTCAAACTCTAAAATTAGATTAAGAAACATGCTAAAGAAGAATTATAAGCAAGAGAAGATGAGAAATTTTTAAGAGTTAGAGAATTAGCAAAGAAAGATAGAGAAGTAACTAAAAAAATGAAGGAAGATTATAAATAAATGAATGAGATTATTAAAAAAGAATTGTCAGAAGAAATACCAAAAAGTAAAAAGTAATATAATTATAATATTAATTAAGTGTGGAATTAACAGCAGAGAATCTTAAGAAATTAGAAGAAAAATATACTAAATCTGATAGTAAAACAGGTGATAAAAAGAAGAGATATAAAACAAAACCTGTATGGGCAATGACTAAAGAAGTAATTAACAGTTATAAATATTAAATGTTAGGAAGAAGAGTAACATGTGAAAAATGAAGAAGATGAACTCTTAAATTTTGTTGAAAATTTAGATTATGATTCATATATTAATGATTTAGAAGTAATTAATTATAATAATTTAGGTTAATGTTATGCTCAAAGCTCTATAATAAAGAATTACTGAAATTAAAAAATAAGAGTATTAATAAGAAAAATCAAATAATCAACCAGAATAAAAGTAAGAATAAAGAGAACCTGATATTTATGATAAAATTAGTTAATCTTTAAGTAAAAATGATGAAGCAAGATCTGTTCATTCAGAAAAGACATAAAGTAATTATAATCTTTAATTTAGATTCAATTAATCAATTAAAAAAGAAATAAGAATTAATAGAATAGGGTAAGTAAGATTGGGATAAGACAACTACAAATGGAGATTAAAAAGCATCATTGGAAGATAGAATTGCAAAACATGTTGCTGATGAAATTCTTAATCAATATAAAGTATAGATAGAAATGGCACGTATTAGAATCTATCAAATATACATTCCAACTCTTCAATCAGAAAAATATTAGAAAGAGAAGCCAAAAAGACTCTTATAGAGACTGGTTTACCTGGACCTGTTATTTCAGTAATAAAAAATGAGAAGATGCCAAAAGATCCAAATACTTTACCTTACTTACATCGTAATCCAGCCATTTGATTTTATAATGAAGCATTTTCTATATAAATAGAATTTTGTTATTATAATTAATTAAGAAATTATAATAAATCTTTGAGATATAATAAAATCAAATTTCTTTTTAATTTAATTCTTCTTCTTGATTATCATAATTTAAAATTTAATCTTCTATATGAGGAGTAAGTGATGTGACTAAAGGAGCATCCCCATATTGAAGTACTCTAACTGTAATGTTAAAGTTTTCTTCATCTTATAAAACAGATGATTTTGAATCTTATTATTGAGCAAATACTTCTTCAAATCCTACCTTTTTATTATTCTACTATCTCCTAAAATAAACAGCTAATAACATAACAAATAATCCAACAAAAGAATAATACATCAATGCAAATACTGCAACTTGAGAATTATATCTTTCCATCAAAAATCCATAAATTGATGGTGCAGGTAAGAAACCAAACAAATTTTAAAACATAGTTGTACTTGAATTTGCAAATGCCTTCAAATGTTTAGGAACTGAAGAAAGCATAATTCCCATTAATGGTGGTACTATTGCTCCTCCAAAGAATAATAAAAACCATAGACATAATGCTCCAAACCAAAATGTCTCTGTAAAAGGTACTGGAGCAGCACTTAAACAACAAAGCGAGCAATATAAGACACACACATATAATGATTTAGTTCTTTAGTATCCACCTAATTTCTATGCTATTAATCCTCCTGTAATACATCCAAATACAGGAGCAGTTATTGATACTATTGCAAATACAATATTCACTGTTTATTTCTCTTAATGCATCTCATGAATCATATAGTCTGTCATCCAAAATTAAATACCAGTTACAATAAAATACAATATGCTTATTACAATTGTACAGCATAACCATAATTTTATAGAATATAATTCTTTCATCATTTAGCAATAACTTTTTTTTGAAGTTTAAGCAAGAAATGATTATTCTTCATTGATTGATTTACTTCCTAATTTGCTTTTAGTACTTTTTTTTATATCAAAGTCCTAATTTCTAACAAAAATAATGAAAATAGTTGCACAAGCAGTTAACATGATAACTTAAATGTAGAATGCTGCTTACCATTACCATAAACTAGAAATAACACTTGATAAAGAGTAACCAACAAATATACCAAGTGGAATTACTCCTTGTAGAATTGTAATCCAAATTGTTTTTGATTCTCCACCAAAATTATCTACCCAAACAGGAAAATAAATCATCATAGGTGCCTTTTTTTAATACAATTAAATACTTTTGAACAACCTGTGAGGAATCTAAAAATATAAAATGGCCAACTTGATCCATAATTTAATGGAAATAAGGTTAAGGAAGATATCATTCCAATATAACTAAACATGACTATCATTTTTGAATTGAAATGTAGAAACAATTTTCCACCAAACAAACAAACCAGAGTGACACCTGCATAAACTTATGATCCTAAATAACCTAATTATTCTGAAGTTAATTCAAGAGATTCTTCTATCTATTATATTGCTTAATAAAAAAATAGACGATACCTGCTGGAATGATACCTTAGTCTAGATTAATAATAATATTTGTGCAAAGTAGCAAACAAAAAATCCACTTTGGTTTAATTTCCATATGTTATTTTAATGAATGTTACGTCAGCAAAAAAATGAATAACTATTTTTGATTAAATAGAGTACAATTATTTTAGGAAATTAAGAATTTTAATATAATTCAGATAATTCTAAGAATCAACCACAATAAAAAAAGTTAAAAATAAAAAATAATCATTTATTTATAACATTAAGTTAAATGTATATAATAAATAATTAAAATCATAACTTAATAGATAGATTATATCAATATTTTTACTTAGCTAATTCTGAATATAATTAAACCTTTGATAATCATTATTTTTTTTACATCATATGAGTAATATTTGCTTTTTAAGAATTATTTTAATGTAAAATCAATAAAATGTAAAATTTTTATACAGAATAATAAAATAAAATTTGTGGAAAATATTTTGATACTCAACAAAAATATAATTATTGATTATGATAAATTATAATCATATAAATTTTATATCAATATCTATTATGGAATTCCACCATCTACACTACTCAAGATGATTCAATAATTTTCATTTTTAATATAGATTATATACTTTGAAGTGTTCTTTAAAGAATTTTCATTTCTTCTGACTCATTAATTTAGATAATTATTTAAGTTAAAACATATATATTTCATTTTTGCATTTAGATAGGAAATAGTTTCAAAACAATTAATTATATTACGGGGGTTATCATTTTGATATGATAATTTTCAATAAACCTAAGAGAAATTCCACTTTTTCTTAATTTCTATAAATTATTTTAACGGATGCTACATCAATTTTAGGAGTTGGAAAAGCTAGGTTCAGGGTCGTTCAGTGAGGTTTGGAAGGTATTTAAGATTATGTAAATAGGTAACAAGGAGAGCTGACCATCAAATTTATGCAATGAAGAAAATAAAAATGGGAACTCTTAATGAGAAAGAGAAATAGAATGCTCTAAATGAAATTAGACTATTAGCTTCTTTAAATCAAGAGTTTATTATAGGATATAAAGAGGCTTTTTATATTGATGGTATTGTTCTTGTGCATATTAAAGAAACTTAAACTTTGGGTATTATAATGGAATATGCTGATGGAGGAGATGTTGCTAAATAAATTACAAATAAAAAGAACAAGAATTAAAAGTTTCAAGAATAAGATATTTGGTAAGCCCTGATATAGATAACACAGGGTTTGAAAGAATTACATGAAAAATTGATATTTCATAGAGATGTTAAATCTGCCAACATTTTTATCTAAAATGGAATCTATAAATTAGGAGATTTAAATGTTTCAAAAATAGCCTAAAGAGGTCTATTATACACTTAGACAGGCACTCCATGTAATTTTAGTTAAAGTAAATTGAGACTATGCATCACCTGAAATTTGGAGAGATGAACCATATGACAATAAATCTGATATCTGGTCCTTAGGGTGTGTTTTATATGAGATGTGCAATTTACATCCTCCGTTTCAAGCATTAGATATGGAAGGTCTGTATAAAAAGATCCAAAAAGGAATGTACCCTCCTATAAATGGGTATAGTAATTAATTAGTTTCATTAATTGGTTAAATGTTGAGGCTTAATGCTTCAGCTAGACCTAGTTGTGATTAGATTATAAATAGTAATTTAATGAATTCTGATTTTAGTAGATTGTACATCAAAACACCCTCTATAGCTATTAATAAAAGAATGATGAAAACTATTTAACTTCCAAAAAATCTTAGTACACTCAATGATATATTACCAACAAAGAAGTATTATAATGAAAATAAAGAAAATGATAATGAATCAGTTAGATATAGTGTTTAATCTTCAAAATTAATGCCATTAAATAGAAAATCAGTTAATAATTCTTGTATTGAATATGAGAAGAGATTCTATAGAATTGCCTCAGTTCATGAAGAAATATTACCAACTCTGCCATCTGAATATAGATAACCAAAAGTTGTAACAAGAAGAAGACCAAGTAGTTAATATAAAGAAGAGGAAATAAATTTAGAAAGAAGAGCTGAAGCAATTGTCTCAAGAAAATAGTTACAAAAATAATTATCTGAATAACACCCATTACCAAAACCTATATTAAAGAAATAAATGAGTAATCTACCTTATTTATACAGAAATGTCAATGATTCAGAAAGATAAGAAAATAATAAATCCAAATATCATTAATCTCCTAATAATTATGCTCGTAGGAATATTAGAAAATAAATAACATCATAATAATGATTACTATTTTAAATTGTAAACAATATATTTTTAAGATCATATCTTCAATAAATATATATTTATACTATATTTATTAAATATCATATTTTATAATATCAATAAAAATTTTAAATTATAATACGTCATTATATAAATAAATCTATTGATATTTTAATGATAATATTCTTAAGTTTTATTATCTATATCCAATTTTCTTTATAATAATAAAAATCATTTGTTCAATAAGTAGAATTCAAATTAATTAAGAAAAATCTTTTTTTAAATATAAAATGCTTTATATTATATTATTATTAAGTATATCCATTTGATAATAATGAGTTCATTTTTATTAACTATTATTGAATTTAATCCAAATAGTTCAATTAAAGTTGATAGTTCTCAAAAAAGTGATCCTACTTATAAAATCAGGTTTATTATTGAAGGTGATCAAAATAGTATATTAATGAGAAATATCAATATTTAATCAAGATTTATTAATAATAAGGATAGATAATTTGTGAATTAAAAAAAAAGTTTGAATTTTAATTTATTATTTTTCAAGTGATAACAACATTTCATTAGAAATTTAATTTAAAATTTCCAAAATAAATTGCTAAAAAAGACAATCAATTTTAATTAGTTATTTTATAAATGATTGCAAATATTAATAAAATAGGAAAATCAAAGAAGAATACTCTTATTAGAAATTTTGCAATTTAATAAAATTACTAAAATTAATAATAATTTGTTATACATGATAAACTCAATTAAGAACTAATTTAAACAATAGTTGGAATTACTTCAGGATAAGAAGTACAAAAAGCCTGCTTTTGAAGCTTATAATATGAATAGAGCTTTTATCACATTGGATCAAGCATTTGAATATGTTGGAGACAATTCTAAATATCAATAGAGGATCACATTATTATTATGCATACAGTTTTTGTTTTATTCATTTTTTGTAATGGGTATGCCCTATTTATTATAAAATCCCTCCAGATATTGCACTGATGGGATTTGTATCGAATATCCTAATTGTAACAATAGAATAGATAGTTTAATTGGATTTGACAGTATTGCAAAAGAATTTGGATTATTTTGTAATGGTAGAAAAGCCTTTATAGCAGCATTATTTTTTGTTGGTTAAATGTTTGGAGGATTTACATTTCCAATATTAGCAAATATTTTTGGAAGAAGAAAAATTTTATTATTTGGAATGAGTTTAGGTTCAGTATCAATTTTTGTAGGGTCACTTTGTGAGAGTTTATTATCTCTTTATACTTTATTCTTTATTGCAGGTTTTGGATTAAGTGGATATGAGACTGTAGTTTATGTTTACATTACTGAAATAAGTGCATTAAGATTTAGATCTATTGCTAGTTCTTTATTAATTGTTATATGGAGTTCTTCTATGTTAATATATCCATTTATTGTTGATATTTTATAATCATGGAGACTTTTAATGATGTGGAGTATTGGAGTTCCTCTATTAGTAACAGTAATATTGGATTATTTTTACTTTGTTGAATCACCTAGATGGCTAATTTCTAAATAATAATATGATGAATGTAGAAAAGTATTTAGATTTATGAGTATTTTTAATAAAAGAAGACCATTTGAATTCAATTTTATGGAAGAATTAGATAAGTTCAATAGTAGATGTGTAAAAATAGCATCTGTTAAAAGAGTGGAAACTTAAGTTAATTTAACACAACAATCTAATTAGAATGTAGGATATTGGGAATTGATGAAAAGATCAAAATTACTAATATAAACATCTATTCTAGTTTAAATGTGGTTTTTGAGATATTTTACTTATTATGGTTTACAATTTTCAGTATCTACATTTGGAATATCAATGACAACTACATTAAGAATGTTGGCTTTAGTAGAATTAACAACTGGAATGTCAAGCTGTAAGATTATATTGATATTATTAATTAGTATATTTTAAGTTGAAATATCCTAGAATCATTTCATTATAGTTTTGTTTACTTACAATGATATTGAGTGCTACATTAGCCTATATTGATGTTCCATCAGAATGTTTAGGTTCCTTATGTTGGCAATAGATTCTTCATTTACTTAGTGCTATATTGATCAAAGCAAGCATTACTATATATAATTCAATGCTTAATACATACACAGGAGAAGCTTATGTAACAACTGTTAGATCATATGGGTATGGAGTTTGTATGACTTTTGGATAATTGGGCAGTACTTTTGCTCCTTTGTATGTATCTTATATGTAGGAAATATATCAATAAGCAAATGCAATTACAATTGTTGGTTTATTGGCAATAGTAGCTCTTGGATTGACATGGTATGTATTAATTTTAATAAGTCTAATTTAGGTTTTTGCAAGAGACATATAAAAAGGATATGTATGACAATTTGACTGATGAAGTTATGGCAAACTAAACTCTTCCCCTTATTAATCAAGATATGTAATTTGATGAAATCGAACTTTAACAATTAAGCAGATGATTAATATAATTATATTTTTTTTATGCAACAGTTGAGGAGCAGTCATTTCTAATTAGGTCAAACTGATTAAAGTATAATGTTAATACTATATACACTTAGAAAATCAGTTCACTTCAACAATGAAAATGAATTTCAAAGGGGATAAAGTAAATGATTAAGCCACTGGAGTTGGAGATTAATTGAATTTAAGAGGAGTTCATTTTCATTTAGGAGAGTCAAAACGTATTATTTGAATTCCTATTTTAGCTTCCTATAACACAATTTTTAAGACTGATTTTTAAGGTAAACAAATAGGTGAACCTGCTACCTTGAATGAAGAAAAAAAAAATGACTTAAGAACAAATCATTTTGTACTTGGTCATCAATAGGCTTAACAAGTATCAATTACAAGAGCAACATATAATGAAAAACCACTCCAACCAGGATTATAAAATGAATAAGAAAGTAAAATGCATATATCCTAAATATGAGTACAAAAAAATAAAATGAGATCACATCATCATAATTTCGCTGAAAGTTCTCATAAAATGATGCAAACTAATTATAACTAATAATATCAACCTCAACAATTAGAACCAAAATAAGATTTAGCTGAAAGAGCAAGATAGTTAAGGGTTTCCAATATATTTCTAGGAAAGGAGGTAATTTAAACCATAAAATATTTTATTAGTAAGTTCCCATGATTACAGCTTAACAAGAAGACTACAGTAAGAAGGAGGGTGGAGCTTAAGCTTCATTTAAACCAGGATTTTAATCAACTCATTTTAATTTTGGTAATGCTAATCCTGATTTTAAAACAATGAATCAAGAATTCTTTCATCAATAAGAAATAACATCAAATCCATTTGCAGAAGAAAATAGATAAAATTTAAGAGGTTATATTATTTTAAATTGTTTTAGCAACTCATTTTACTCTTGGAAAAGATAATTAACCATATTAATCTGAATAAATGTCACATTTCAGACCACATTCAGAAAATAAAATTAATTATATTAATAATACTGCTGCTTTATAAGGAAGTCATTTTACTATTGGAGATCCAAGATTTATGAATCATAAAACTTAAACTTTCTATAATTCAACTATGAAACCACCTGAATAATAATAACATTCATAAGCAAGAGATTAATAAATGGATAGAGGATCTAATTTTAAAGTTGGAACAGATAATAAATAATATAGATCAGAAATGCAATCAAAGTAATATAATTTTATGAATATTTAAGTTTTAAAAATCCATCAGGATAACCAGCTTAATTGTCTGATAAATTATTAAAAGATTTAAGATCTTCTCATTTTGGATTGAATGATAATTTTAGTAAAAATACCTTTATGACAACTAAATAAATGGAAGCATTGAATCAATAATAAGGATAACCAAATAAGTTAGATCCATAAGCTAGTGCTAATTTAAGATCTCATCATTTTAATCTTGGTTAAACAAAAGGAGATTTAATTTCATAAACACATGATATACATCGACCATTAATAGGAAAACCTAATACATTAAATTAATAGTAAGCAAATAATCTAAGAAAACATCATTTTGCATTATCATGATATCATAAGATAATAATAATTTATGAATATCATCATCTATTATCAAGTTTAGGTGTAAATTATGATAACGTTTAATCAAAATGTATTCTTAATTTTTCTATTGCATCATTGGTTTGCATAGTTAGTTTCTCTTAAAATTATTTTTATTCCATTAATAATCTATCTTCCTATTTCTACTATTTGATTCTTCTTAATTATTCAAATGAATCTTATTTTAATTGTTTTTAATTCAATAATTCTTATTCTAATATCATTACTTTTTTTCTTTGATTTTCTAAATCACCTAATAACTCTGATATCATTTATTTCTTATTTTTTTAGAAATAATAATTACATTGTCATAATTTTCTAGCTTAAGTTTTTTAATTTTGTCATTTGATTCATGACAATCCTTTCTATATTTTAAAGCCTTCATTTTATAATTAGGATAATCATCATCATCAGAACTTTCTGGATACTCAAGAAGTGCTTTTGCATGCTTTTTTAAGTTCATAGATATTCGTTAATAATCAATATAAAATTATATATACTATTATTTAATGTATTTATTTATCAATTTACCTAATCAAAGATCTAAGTCTTATTTCTTATTTTTCTTAGACTTTTAGTTTCTCTTTTCAATTTCTAATTTCACTCTTTCTAAGTCCTAAAATAATTATTAATTTTACTTTATCAACTTGATGAGAACCAGTTTATGTTTTTTTGGCTTTTTCTGCTAAAACCTTTTTGATATCAACTTTTTCAGATTATTATTATTATTATTATTATTATTATTATTGTTATTATTCAGGTTATTTTTCAGGTTATTTTTCAGTAGGAACTTAAGCTGGTTATTTATCAGCTTCCTTATTTTTATTTTTCTTCTTCTTTTTTTTCTCTTAATCTCCAGCTTATTCAGTTTCTTTTTGTGTAAACCCTAATTCATTCAATATAGCATCTAAATCATCATTTTCTTTTTTCTTTTAATCTTTCTTCTTTTATTATTATTATTTTTCTTCTTGAGCTTATTTTTGTTTCAAAACTATTGTATATATTAAATATATATACTTTAGTATTAATCAACTTTCTCTTCTTTTGGTTATTCTTATACTTGTGTCTATTATTCAGATTAGACTTATTCTTCAGGTTTTTATTCCTCTTCATCACTTTCATTCATAAGTCCTTAGAAATTGTTTTTCTATAGATATTTAAATTTTGAATACACTTGGTTTGATTCTTCGAGCCTCTAATGCTGCTTATTACTCTTTTTAAATTTGCTCAGCCTATTTCTTTTACAACTCCTTGAGTTTAACCCATTCTGGCTTATGATGCTTTTGATATGGTTTTTTTGACTATTTCTTTTGTTCATTATTTTATTCTTATTCTTATTCTTATTTGACTTCTTTAACCTAATTTTCTTAAGGTTATGTTTCTTAAGCTTATGGTTGAACAATATCTTCATCATCTGAGATTTCTGCCCATTAAACATTTGCAGTGGTACTTTCAGCCATTTCAAGATATAAATAATTTTTAAATATTTTACAAAGTTAATAATCAAAATCATCTAGGTACATTTGGATGTAGTGCCAATTCACGAAGATTACAATCTTCATTATCTTAAACAACAACTAAAATCCTCTCTTTATTAATCATTTATCTTATAACAGCACCAACTAATCTCTCATATTAATGAACTTATTCTTCATGTTCAATTTAATCCAATTTATTAGTAATGTACCATTCAGCTAAATCCTCCCATTTCACACCTTTAGCTTCAGTAATTTCTTCTTACATATCTCTCTCTTTCTGTATCATGAATGAAGTTAATGCTCTTACAATATCTAAATATTCATCTTAAGCCAATTGAATTTTCTATCCTTATCTTCTCCTCTCTCTTTCTTTCTAATGCAATTCTTCTTCTATGATACCCATTGCTCTAGTTTAAATAGGTTATTGTTCTTCTAAATCATCAATAAACTTGGGTGTTTCATCCACTTAAAGTATAGATTAACCTAATAATTTCTCTGCCTCTTAAACATAAGAGACTTTAATGAAATCATCACATTATACTCTTGCCAAGGCTTCTGATAATCGAATCAAAGATTCCAACTATCTAACTGTGATACGATAACTTGTTCTCTAACTTGTTTGATCATTCTCTCTTAATCTTATATAAGCTTCCTTTACATATTATGCACTTTCATAAGTTAGAATTGGCTTAAATGTTCTAGCATATCTTATATATTTTCTAAGTTAATCTTAACTAAATCTTGGTTCTAAAGCACCTTCTTATTAACTATGTAATCTGACAATATGTGTAGCAATTTATTCATCCACAAATGGTCTACAAGCATCTGTGATAATGAAAAATAAATCAAATCTAGACATGATTGGCTATGTCATATTGACATTAAATTTAAGAGTTTTAGATCTATCATATCTACCAAATATTGGATTTGCTGCAGCCAAAATGGATGTTCTGGCATTTAATGTTGCTTAGATACCTGCTTTAGCTATAGATATAGTTTATTATTCCATAGCCTCATGAATTGCTACTTAATCCTTAGAATCCATTTTATCAAATTCATCAATACAACAAATTCCATTATCTGCCAACATCAATGCTCCTGCTTCAATACAAAATTCTCCATTTTCAATATCTCTATGTACTGATGCTGTCAAACCTGCAGCACTTGAAGCTTTACCTGAAGTATAAACTGATCTGGGTAAGAGATTACAAGTAAATTTGAGAAATTAAGATTTTGCTGTTGATGGATCTCCAACTATACATAAATTGATATCTCCTCTAATATGTACTCCTTCTTTTGTAGTCTTATATACTCCTCCCATTAACATTAATAGAATTCCTTTTTTTATATCCTCATAACCTTATACAGCTGGAGCTATTGAATTAGCTAAATTCTTGAAAAGATCTGGTTGTTTTTTCATTTCCAAAATTTCTTATTTTTCAAAATCATCAAATTATTATCCTCTTTTAGCATCTTAATCACTTAAACTCTCTGTATATTCTTTATCATCTATTGCCTATTTTTATAAGTTAAATCTATTATTGTTAGTTTCTACACTACAAGCAATGAACACAAATTTATAACATAAATCTTTAACACCTAATTATTTTAATCCTGTAATTCCATCTTATGTTTATCCTCTCTAGTTATTTCCTTAATTCTAAGTTGACATAGAACTCTTCAAACCTGGTTTACTTAAACTAAACACATCAGGAATAACAGTCAAATATCCATTAAATGTACATTTGTCTCCTGGTTTAGCAGCATCACATTTTTCATTGTGTAATATCACATCTATTGATCTAGGCATAGATCCAGCAGGAATATCTTTTGAATCTTCTTACACTCTAACCTTTTGAAAGTCTGTAAATTATGATTTATTTAAATTTATTGTCCATTTTGATTTATTATCACATTTTATATTAGGACACTAAATTTAAAATCATGATTACCTTTTTTGGTTCTGTAAATTTAAATTATTATTCAACATTATCAATAATTCTATCACACATTTAACAAGTGAATTATGCTGACAGTAATTCAGGTCTTACTTCATAAGTACGAGTCACAGTTCCAATAAATGAAGATAATTTGCCAATTTTATTAGCCTTTAAATCTCTAATCTTTTCTGTAGCTGCTAAGTTAAAAACTGCTAAGAAGTAAAGCTTTTCTAAATTTATTTGTATTCAACATTTACATTAATCTTCAACATCTTAATGCTATATAAACATAAATTCTTAGATGGCTCTTCTAAAACTTGGTTCAAATTGATAAAAGTCTGTTTGCATTATAATAGACAGATCTTAATATCCTTCAGTCTAAGTAATGTGTGTAAAGTCCAAATTTAATGTAGTACGATCGTTATCTCTCATTATACGAGCTTCCTCGTGATAGTAATAGAAACTTTATCCTGTTTAAGGGTTGATTGTTCTAAACTCTTGTAAAAAGTGGAGAAACCGATTTTAAACCTATTGTTCGCGTGTTTCTTACATAATTTAATTATTATCCGCGAAATTATATTGAAAGCGCCAATTAATAATAAAAAATTTTTAACTATTTTTATAATCAAAAAATTTATCATTTTATAATAACTTTTTATTAGATTCATGAGATATTCATTTTAAGTCTTGAATCTTAATCAAATCTTAAATTTTCTTAAAATAAGTGAATAACTTCTCTCTAATCAAAAACAACTATTTAATATTTTTGTATTTATAATATTAATAGAGGTTCGATCCCTTGTTAATATCATTTTTTTAGAGTTAGATGCTTCCCGTCACTTTGGAGTTATGATTAATTTAATTTTAATGAATTAAGCTAATCTCATTTAGTGTTAGGTTTTGGATCCTTAATTGAAACCTCTTCTTAATGAAAATAATACTATTCCATTCTATAGGAAGACATTGCTCATAAAATTTAATTCTGCAAAACTCTGTCAAGTTGTTATTAGTAACATTCATAATTACATTTTTGATTAGAATTAAATCAGAAACCTAGAAAAATTGTAGCAACTTTAAGTAATCTCTAGAACTAAATCAACAAATCAAATTAATAGGCTTTAGAATTTGATTACTTTACAAGTGAGAATCAATAAGTCATTTATAATAGCTCTTTTAAAACAAATTAAGTAACAATGATTTGAATATGTAGTAATTCACATCTCTTCAAATTAAGATTGAATAAGATGATGTGGCTTTTTATAATATCTAATTATATGGTGAAGAAGCAATTAAAACAAAATAAAGCACTTTGGATAATTTCATCCTAAAACCTTCTTAACTTGATAATGAAAATGGTACATTCTAAAATTTTACAAATGCTCTATCATCAAATAGAGATCCAGCAGGTAGACAAAAAAAGCAAGTGAATAAAGTTGCATTGAAATAAAAATAAGAGCTTGAAGAAGCAATAGAGAAGAGTTTAAGAAGTGCTGAATATGAGAAAATGAATTAAAAATACATTTAAGAATCTAAAAATAATGTCATTTAGGAATAATATAATGAAGAATATTAATTTCAAGAAGATGAAGAATTAAGTTTAGAGATCATGATGCAAAAAAATGATTTATAACAATATTCTTATGATAAGAAAAAATAACCTTAAGTGAGAATTGAAAATTTAGGATATACTGATAAAATAAATACAGCCTAAAAAAAAGGATATCAATAATAATGGAATAATGGTGATCCAATTAAATTAAATTTTATGACAAAGTATAAAGTAGGTGATATTAATCAGGAATTTATGAAAATACATTAATTAAGTAGAAGTATTTGATAATTTTTAGTGGAAGAAACTAAAGGAGTGAAGAGATTTCTAAAAAATGTGATGTATATTTGATATTATAAAATAAATAATGGCACAAAATCCTGCCATCATCGAAGTGGCTGAGAATCCAGAGGAAATCAAAAAGAAAATCAAAGCCTTACCATTGAAAGAGAAGCTGAAAGCAGTGGCATTGAATTATTACTTACAATAGAAAAAGAAATTGGATATTGAATTAGAGAAGGAAATGAAAAAACTTTAAATTCAATTTGATGAAAAGGCAGCAAAAATATATAAAGCAGTAGATATGATGAAATATCAGATAGTCAAATGAAATTATTGAAGGGACTCGTTTGCTTACAGAAGAAGAATTAAAGGATGTTGATTTTTATCTGGAAGGAGAGGAAGCAACATAGAAGAATTAGGCTTTGACAGCTGAACCAATAAATGGATATTGGTTTAAAGCACTAAAGAATTCAGATATCATAGCATAAGAAATTAAAGACAGAGATGATCCAATTTTAAAATCTCTAACAAAAATTGAATATGAACCATAAGAGAAGAGTGACAATTTTTCATTAAATTTTTATTTTGCACCTAATGATTACTTTAAAAATTCAGTGTTGAAGAAAAAGTTTATATTGAAAGGTTTAAATTATTGATTAACGTTTGAAGATGGTGAAAATCCTGTTAAAAGTGAAGGTACGATTATAGAATGGAATGATGGCAAGAATGTGACAAGAAAATTGATAAAGAAAAAACAATTAGAAAAGAAGAGTGGTATAGTAAAGACGATTTCTCAGGAAGTGGATGCAGAAAGCTTTTTTATTTTCTTTAAACCAATAAATTTAGAAGATAAAGAACAAATAGAAAAATGGGTATAAGAAAATAAATTGGATAAATATGCAGAACGTATGGATATAGATTATGATATTGCTCGTATGATAATTGATGAAATTATTCCATATTCATTAGAGTATTATTTAGGAGTTAAAATTAATGATGCCTTTGATGATATTGAAGAAGTGGATGCAGAATCATCTAAAGGTAGTGATGAAGAAGAAGAAAACAAATGAGGAAATTAAAAATGAATATATAACAGTTAAATTAATTATTATAATTTTTATAATAATTATTATAATATATATTATAAATAAGATATTGAGGCTGAAATATATTACGTAATATAATGAATATTCATATCCTCGGATAAATATCTAGATATTAAATTAAATAAATAAGATTCAAATTTAATGTACGTAAAACCAATATCCTCTCTAACTCACATTGGCAGATATTATGTCCGCATCATAAAGGACTTATCAGTAGTCAAATAAATCCCAGCTGGATCAACAGTACTTGTAGGTGGTTTTGGATTATGCGGTATTCCAGAATGCAGCATCAATGCTTTAAAGGAAGCAGGCACAAAGAATCTCACTGTAGTCAGCAATAATTGTGGCACTACAGATCTTGGATTAGGATTACTTTTAAATAATGGATAATTAAAGAGAGTGATAGCCTCATATGCTGGAGAAAATCATAATTTAGCTAAGTAACACTATAATACAATCATTTATAGATAGTACTTTGATGGAACTTTAGAATTAGAATTAGTACCTTAAGGCACATTAGCTGAAAAATTAAGAGCTGCTGGTGCTGGTATTCCTGCATTTTATACACACACTGGAACAGATACTGTTGTAGAGAAAGGAGGAATTCCCATCAAATATAAAAAGGGTGGAGACACAGTTGAAATTGAATCTAAACCAAAACCTGTAATATCTTTTTGTTTAACTGTTTTAGGTTGAATATTTCAATGGAAAGAAGTATATTAGAGAAGATTCTATTTGGGGAGACTATGCTTTAATTAAGGCTAATATGGCTGATACCAATGGTAATCTTAGATTTGTGGGAACAGCCAGAAATTTCAATTAAGACATGGTCAAAGCTGCTAAAGTTGTTATTGCTGAAGTCGATTCCATAGTACCAGTTGGAAGCTTTGGATTTGATTAAGCACACGTCAATGGAATATATGTTGATTATCTCTACTAAGGCAATAATTATCTTAAGACAGTTGAAAGACTTGTGTATGATTAAAGTGTGTATGATAAGAATAAAGGTATTATAGACATACTATTTTTTAGATATCAAGCCATAAGGAAAATAAAATGCAATAAGAAATAGAATAGCAAAGAGAGCAGCCTAAGAATTTTAAGATGGTATGTATGTGAATTTGGGTATTGGAATCCCAACTCTCATACCAGCATTTCTTGATAAAAGCATGACAATTCATTTTCATACAGAAATAGGTGCAATTGGAGTTGGTCCATATCCTAAATTAGGCCAAGAATTAGGTGATCTTTAAAATGCAGGAAAAGAATCATGCACTTTGAATTCTGGTGCCACTACTTTTGAAAGCAGTGAATCATTTGGAATAATCAGAGGAGGACATTTAGATATGACAGTATTAGGAGCTATGCAAATAACAAAATAAGGAGATATTGCTAATTGGGTTATTCCAGGAAAGATGGTGAAAGGAATGGGAGGTGCAATGGATTTAGTTGCTTCTGGATCTAAAGTACTGGTTGTTATGGAACATACTGCTAAAGGAGAAGTCAAATTTGTTAATCAATTATAATATCCAGCAACAGGTATGAACAAAGTTAGTCAAGTTATTACAGGTATTAAATTTAATAATTCTGTTAGACAAGGCTGTATTTGTTAAGAGAGATGGACAATTGGTTTTGACAGAAATCTCTAGCGACACTACTCTTGAATGGGTCAGAGCCAATACAGGATTTGAATTAACAGTAGCTGACGATCTAAAAACATTCTAAGTTTGATACAATATAATAATATATTAATTATGGTTAAATAATAAAAAAAATCGAATATCACTGTTATTCCTCCTCAACCAGATTTCTAAGAATAAGAAATTGAATTATTATAAGAAGATCTTAATGATGATTTAATTAAGACTTTATCTAAAGCAAACACTAATTCTATTGCCACAATTGTATAAATTTATTTATTTACTTTTAGAAAGAAAAAGAGAAAAAGGTTGTGGAATTCAAATCAAGAGTTCTTGAATTAGTTGAGATTTTTGTTTCAAATACTAAGAACCCATCAATTTTTATTGAGAGAATTTATCCATTCATTAAAATGATTAGTGATTTCAAGAATCCTTAAAAAATTTAGTATATCAATAGAGTATGTAAATTAATACACTAAATCATACAAAAAGGAGATTTGGGAGAGCATATTGATAATATGAAATAGTGTTGTGAAACATTAATAACTTATTTACATAAATGCTAAGACAAATCTATTAATAAAAGATTCTTTGAATTACTTGATCTTATTCTAAAATAGATATCATAACATGATAAAAAAGCTGTTTCAGATATCATAGTCAAAGGTTTAGTGTTAATGAGAAAGAACAGCAATATTTAAATGTAAAATATTAGAAAACTAATATTCAATTATTAATTTACACTCATTCCAGTCATACTTAAATTATGTCAATTAAGTGAAATTAATGAGAATTATGAAAGAAGCAAATATAATGTATATTATACACTCATATAATTTAGTTTAGTCATCTTTTATTCACACTCATTTAGAATGAATAGATAAAGAAAAAGATAATATCCAAGGACAAAATCAAACAAGCAATTGTTAAATTAGCTTAACATACTCTAGAGAATTATGCTTAATAGAACTACAAAAGAGTAGCAATTTTTAGATAAATTCTATTGTCATACAAATCATTAGAATTAAATGAACTATAAGAATAGATTTAGACATTCTAATCCGAAGATTAAAATATCTAACACATCATTACCAAATTATAATGAGTATATTATTCTATCAAATCATCAATTTCTTCTGATATAGTGAAACCAATTATCTATTTATCTCCAAGTGTCATTAAGAGATATGATAATCTCTTATTTAAATTTTGCAGTTGCTTCTTAATCAGATATATTTAAAGCCAATTAATCTTCTATATATTTTACATTTGAAGCCTATTACAATTCAGGCATACCAGCAGATAAATTCATTAAAAATATATTAATAAGAAAATGACCATGTTTTCTGACTAAGTTATAAGCATTAGTACAATCCTATTAAAACTTTTTAAAGAGATCTCCATCTCTACCTCCCATAACAAATGCCATCTAATGTTAATAAATAATAATACTTCTTCAGTTAATACAAATTTAGTTCTCTCTCTTTTAATTCCAAACTTCTATTTGAAATTCCCCAAGAAATGGCCAAAATCAATATGAAATAGATGACCAGTGTCTGTAATCATAATGTTACCTGAATGTCTATCTCCAATTCCAAGAACATAAGTTGCAACACAATAACCTGCGCAAGATCTAAGAAAATTATCAGTAGCAGTTTCAAATGATTGAGGCTCACTATTTTTCTTTTTCAAATGATTCCATATAGTTTTTTATTAAAATGCCCCCATAAGACCTCCTTAACCATGAATTTTCTCAATCGTCAAAGAATTGCTAACAACTTCAATCATTCCCACATTGTCTTATGTAGATATAGTTTTATAAGGTTTCATTCTAAAATCTAAACCATCATCTAACCATATCTTATCCATAATTTTTATTAATTATAGTGTCAACATATCTTATCTAATGTCATCACCAGTTTTAAAAATGATTTTAAGAAGATGTTATTTATTTTACTCTTCTTCTTCAATTTATTCTTTTTATTCCTTTTAATCCTATTATTATTTAGTATTATTATGTAGATTTTCATCTTGTGGTATGATGACTGAGATATTTCCATTAAGATTTTCTTCTTATTATTTTATGTTGATTGGTTGTTATAATTATAATTCATCATCATTTTCAAGACATTTAGGTATTACAGCTAGCCATAAAGGCATTTTCTTAGAATCCATAACCTTACATTTATCATATTATATTGATTATGCTTCCATTCTTGAATCTAAAGCAAACGAGAATGGTTTTGGCAATTTAGGATAAAGTTACAATAATTCTGTTTTCAAATAATGTTAGCGTAAATCTTTTGGTATATTTTCTTCCTTGATCTTTTATGCAATATTAAATAATTCATTATCCACAAGAACTTCATTCATTAATTGTTACCTAAATTCTCCACAAAGCATTAATAGTTATTCTAACAATAAAGAATATCTTTCATAAGATGGTCTTACATGTAATTAAGCCTTAAGCAACCAAAATAATTCATGTCCTACTACCCATGGATTTTGCAGACTTCTCTCTAATAACATTTCAGCTAATGGATTGAATAGATGTTTCTCAAACATTAAACATTATGTCAATTCTAACATATACAATTGTAATTCATCATCAGATAAAATACTTACTCTTTCAACAGCATAGAGTCTAACAGTTTCATCTGCAAATTGTGCATCCAATAAAGGTAATGCATCTTCTGGAGGTAGAGGTGTCCATAATTTAATCATATTATGAGCTTCTCTGACTTATTCTGGATCATCCCATTCAATGGCCATTAAAAAGATTTATAATGCGTAAGGTAATGTTTTATAATGGTTCCTACAGATCATTAAAATGTATTTATGTTAATCTGTATAATATGGTCTATTTAATGGATTATATTTTAACAAAGCTTACAAGATAGCAAGATCTTCGGTCCTTGGAGTTGTTGACCAATTTTTATAAGGAAATACTTAATTATAATTCTCTTAGTAGCTCTAATTCTACTATATACTTTATTATGAGAATTGATGACTTAATTTAAAGGTGCTCAATTAAGTACTAGATTAATCATGTACATTAAAACTGCTACCCTAATTCATATGCATCATTGATTATGCAAAATGTGTCTATCTATCTTGCATATCTCCAAAACGAAGTATTGTTCCTTAATCTTACGAAGAGTATCCAACTTACATATATTATTCATAAGGATTAGTATGTTATCTTTAATGTACATTATAAAAAGATGCCATTCCAGTTCTTTATTTTTTTAAGAATAATTGAGAATTGCTAAAACTATTTGATTGTGAATTAGAATTTATTTATTAATATGCTGAATTCTTATTTGTATTTTAATATGCAGAATTGAATTGATCCTATGTTAAGGCTGATGATTGTGATTGTTGATAATTCGAATAATCAGAATTTGGAATAAATTTATTTCTCATTTCATAATATCTTTATGATCTAGCAGATTTAGAGAAACCTAATTCTTCCATTTATTTTTCATCTCTAAGACTCCATTTCATAGTTTAATTAAATTAATCCAATTAAATTAATAATCTGCCATAAGATTTATTAACAAGTTGAGAAGAGATATAAAATTAATTTTTATTGTTTTGCTGAGAAACAATCAATTATTAATTCCATTATTTAACCCATCCCCAATATTAACCCATACAAAGTAATCTAGGGTCAATTTTATAGAATGGCCAAATGTTTAATTAATTAATGGATGATCTAAACTTTCTTTCTTCATAGAAGATATACATAGTTGTACATCCAATAATTTATTATTATCCAGTAGCACTATGTGCAATAATATTAAAACATAATCTAGCTTCTTATGGTAATTAAGATATTTTAATGCCTTAAAATGTAATAGTCTAATAAAATTTAGGACATTAACTAAATGGTTATTTTTTAGTTTCTGCTTAACACCAAGGAGTGAGTAATTTGCATCCATGAAATAAGCTTACTTATACTGAAATTAGATAAGGCAAAAAGTCTAAATCGTATCTCTCTTGTAAAGTAGCTAATTCATCAAGATTATCTTAGCCTCCAAAAGGAATATATCTTTTGATATCAATATTTTTGGGGTCTAAGACACGTCCTGTTCTTTTGTGTAATTTAAGATGAACTTATTATCTTTTAGTATTAATGTCTGATTCATCATTTTTCTTATTACTTTATTTATGTTGTTCTTCTTCAACTTTAGTTCCAGCATTCTTTTTTGTAATATAAAGTGGAGGTATTAATCCATTATAAGTAGCTCTTTGGTGTTGTTTTTCAAATTTGTTATCTTATTCTAATGTTTACAATAAGTTTTCAATAGAACATATCTTTACACTAAAAGGCCAATCACATTCTCCAGAGTAAAGTACATTTTGTTCAATTTTTAACATATTTAATTTCTATAATTCATTTCTCATAGATATCAAATCATATATTTATCCACTAGTTTTCTGTTTTTATCCATAATTTTCTTGAGATGGAGGACGAATTGGATTTTCATCAATTGATATCCTCTTAATTCTGTCATAATGATTAGTAAATAAATCTTGACTATTTGATACTTTAATCTTATCTAATTTAATTTATGGAGATGGTCCTACTGACAAACGTGTAACAGCTATTTCAGATTCATATTTAGGTAATGGTTGTGGTGAATACCATAACAAAGCAGGAACATCTCTAAATTTACTCCAATCAATCTAGGGAAAGGGTTCACCTCCTTTAATTCTATGAATGATTGGAGGGAATAGAAATGTTTAATTCGATTATTTGGGAATCTCAGTTAAAATCACTTCCAAATGTTTCATTCCTCTTAATTAAACTCTAACACGATCATAAGATAACATAGGATGATTCCCAGTTAAAAATTCTTTAAAACCAGAGATTTATAAAATAAATTGATTTTTGTCGTCTTTTGGTCTCAATTTCACACTAAATCTCTAATAGACTTCTCTAAGAACACTCTTAATAACTTCATCAGCTCCAGTAACCAAACCTGCTTCAATTTCAACAATATTAGGTTTTTCCATTAATTATACTTCAGCAGGCATATTTTAAAATAATTCTCTATATTGATTTAATTTAACTTAAAGCTTTATTGAATTTACTTTGACAAATGCTTGACTGAGGGTTGATTAACATAAATATGTTGGAATTGAAGATGATTATTTATGGAGCAAATAAGATGGAATCTTTCTTCTTCTATATTAATCAATCTACTTTGAAGCCATCAACCAAGTACCTTAAAATAGAATATATAGTACTACCTGTCTTTAATTTGAGCATTGATTCAATTTATTGGATTGCTTATAATGCTTTTTATCTATAATCTTAATCTACATCCTATTCGATTCTCACTTCATTAGTATTTATATTTAAAGTATATATCTAGCCACTATCAGGATCAGCACATATCAACCATTTCTCTTCTACTTATTACATAATAATTATTTATATTATTCACAGTAACAAAGTTCAGAAAATATGTTATCCTATTGAATAAGTATCTATAATATATAAACAAATTATTCATTATTTAAATTTAAGTAATTTCTAAAGGTCGAATTCAGTATTGAATCTCTTACTGGATGAAGAATTTCGGAAAGATTGAGTGGAAGAAGATTATGCTACTTATGAATTCTTTACAGATTAAAATCTTGGACATATTGTACTTATTTATGGTGCTATTTTTAATTAAAAATAAATATTATACCATTCAATGAAAGAGTTTTAATCTTATTTTTAATAATATTAGTTTGAAGAGATGTTCTTAAACTAGTAAATTTAATCTTCTCTATAAATTATTCTCTTTTATTTTTAGGTTAATCTAAAATCATATCAAAATTAGGAAAAATTGTTTCAAATTTTATTTATTTTTCTCTATGCAAATTATCTTGCAACTTTTATTGAAATTCTCTATCACCTTTACTAAATTCTGCCACATTATAATTAGTTTAAAGAGGTTAAGGTTTATAATGAATATTTAATTATTTTTTGTAAAGTGCTGTATAATTAAAATTATTAATCCATTAATGATTCAATACATCTTCTATTCCATTCTTTCTTCCTAATCTTTAATTTTAATCCTTGGCCAATAAATTCATTAATAGATTTTTAAGTTAATCACTAATTTTTATATGTTCAGGAAACTCCAATTTATCATATTGAATAGAATTAAGAATGTTTTGTAATTTCTAATCATAATATGGGGGATACCCATATATGAATTCATATAAAACTGCCCCTAAACTATAACAGTCTAATAAATGATTATGTCCTCTTTTGGATACCATCTCAGGTGACATATATTCAGGAGATCCACAAAATGAATAAGTTACTTTGTCTCTAGACATATTTGGTTTTGAAAGACCAAAATCAGACAATTTAATATAACCATCTATATCTAATAAAATATTTTCTGGTTTCAAATCTCTATATATGACATTTTATTAATGGAGATAATGAATTGCTAGACATAATTATACAAAGTATTATTTAGCTACTTCTTCATTCAATGTACCCATTTTTCGAAGATGAAAAAATAATTCTCCTCCATGACAATAACTACATTATATAAATATAATATACTCCATTACAAATACTAAATAGTATTTAGTTTCAAATGAACAATGCAACCTTGTCAAGAATTAACTATCTAATTTACTCATTATCAATTTCTCATTGTTTATCATACTCTCCTTATTGTTCTTTGTAATAAAAGATTTATCTATTATTTTCATAGCATAGAATTATCCATTCCTTTTCTACTTTACCAAATAAACTCTTGAAAAGCCTCTAAAAAAATTTAAATCTTTACCCCACACCAATACATTTTATTAAAATAAAATTATCAAATGAATTTCTTTAAGTTTCATTATAATAGATTGGAATCAATTTCAAAGTCCTTCCATTACTGAACACTTATAATGGTTTATCATCTAATGATAAATAGTAATCCACATTGTAATTTTAAGTATAACTTTCAAAATATGCGATTTTTTCATAATTTTAAGGATCATGAACACTCATCTTCGTTATTAATTTTTAATATAGATCTGTTGTTGTTTAATCTAATCCAATAGGAACGATATACCTATATTACATCAATATATACTATTTTTCCTATGTTATCAGTGTAATGATGAGTTCATAATTGTCTCTATCACTATTTAAGGTTCTCATATGAGATACTCCTTTTTGTTTCACTGTCGTAGTTACAACTAAATTAATATAAGACTATAGTTATTTACATTTCTAAACATCCAATTATTTTGGAGTTTTAAGTTTTACCAATCTTGGAGGAGATAATTATTATCTAGGACTCAAACTTGGGTTTTATGACTCTGCTTTCTTCTTTTTTTTCAATAGTTCTAATAATTTATTACTTTGCACCATTCGGCAACTTTGAGTTCTATTCATAAATATGAAAATATTAAAAATGAATTATGTATATTATTATATTTGTTGATATGATTTTATTTCTCAATTATCCAATCTTAGATTTTTACAGTAAGAATAATCATTATTATTTTCTCTTCAATATTTTCAAAGAAAATTAGTTAAAATTTAGCAATTTTTACAAGGGGAAAATAATAAGCAATATACCTTTATTATAATATATTAAAGAAAAACAATTAATTAAATATAAAATGTAATTTTCATTGTACTATCCATAGTTTCAAACCAAATAAATTATTTGCCAAAATTGCTATTTTATTATTAAAACAAGACACTATAATATTAGTGTAATTATAAATATTTGTAATAATACCTAATATTCTCATAGTAGATGTTTGAAATAAAAGTATATTACCATTTTCAAATATAATATAGAAAAATTTATTATTGTTTATAAAATTTATACAAGATAGTCCCATCAGATTTTACTTTTTCCTAATTAGTTTCTATGTATGCAAAGAAATTACATTAATCTAAAAGTTTTTAACTATTTCTAAACACAAATGATCACATAAACTAATCTATAAATGTTTAATTTTTTAATCTTTTATTTAATCTTAATTTAATCTTTTTCTAATTCTTTAATTTTTATTATACAATTTAATAGTTGTTATTAATGAAAGTTGATTGATTACAAAATATTTGAAATTTTATTCTAAATTTATTTGACTCAATTACTCTTCTCTATTGAAATTCCAAATTGTTAATATTTTTTCTGAATTTATAGTAAATAAATATTTAGAATTTTTACTAAAGGTAATATATTTCATATTGGAATTTCTATGCCTTAAATTAATTATTTCTTTTTCTTATTTAATATTCATGACTATTACAGTAGATGATTTAAAACTAGCAACACAAATATAGTTATTTTTTATGCATATAAGAGATAATTCATTTAATGTAGATGTTATATTGTAAAATTTATAAAGATCTTTTGTTCTCCATCCAATAATATTTCTTGGATGATATATAGCAAAAATATTAGTTTAATCATCTGATATACAATAGTCTATTAATTGTTTTTATTATCTCTCATAAAAAGTAACACAATTATTAGGAGTCAATTCAAAGTTAATTTTCATTAATTTTATAAACTCTCTAATATTAATTAATCAATAAAATCATCAACTATTAATTTTAATTTAATCTTAAAATATAGATTCATAGTCTACTATAGACTTAATAAACTCATAAGATTTCTTATAGTCATTTATTTTTCTATAAGACCCTCTAATAATTATTATTTAAACACAATATTTTGATAGAATGTTTCCAAAATAAAAGTTTTATAGAATTTTTAAGGCATTTTATTGCTTTTGCTTTTATTAATATTTATTATAATTGTAAAATTTACATTTTAAACTAGTTTTATTTATTAAGTTCAAATATCAAAATTATCATCTGATTTTTTAATAAGAATTTGTTTCATATTTATATAATGATAACATTTATTATTTTTGATCAATCATTTTGTAATTCAACTTCTGAGTTTATTTTGGTTTGATGGTCTCATATCTTTTTCTTCAAAAACTGCACCCCATATTTCAATTGATGTTAACTAGTTCAATATAATAATTTACATTTAAAAACTCTATGTGTGGTTCTAATAAATAACCCATTTCATAAGTTTAATCACATGAATTGTTTATACGATTTGTTGCATTTCCTTTAAGGTTTTCATCAATCCAAATTCTAAAATTTCCTTTTCCATCTCCTCCAAAACCTAAACCGTAAGGTTGAGGTACTTTTAAATTGAAAGCTCTACTATTTATATAACCAAAACATTATTTAGATTTAAGATCAAAAGTACTCATAAATAATTGATATTTAGGCAATAAAGAAAAGAGGAAGCTTTTCTCATCTCCAAAATAGAGTGACACTTAATCATTAGGATTATAGAGTATTCCTATATATAATATTGAATAATTACCCATAGGATCTTTCTATTATTTTCTAATGAAATGAGTTTCAATTGTTTAATCAATACTAATATAAGCTCCAAAGATTTATTATTGAAAAGTATCATTTTGTGTTTCATCTTCTCGATTTCTAAAAATAAAGAGCAATGGTTATTGGGATTCTATTATAATTTCTGTAATATGCTCTAAATCATCATATCCGACTGAGGATGAAAATTTGAGATCTAGCTATTTGATCCTATTAAAGTCTGGTGAACTCATTTGTAATAATGCAAGAATTTAATCATTTAATATAAAACTTGAGGATGTTAAAGTTGGAATTCCATATTTAAGATGAGGATCAATAAATTTTTTTGTAAAATACTATTTACACATTTTATTAGCATAAATTAATTGCTATTTTGCTTAACCAATAAATTAATTAAATGGCAATGATGCTTTTTAATCAAAAATAGAATTTGCTACACTTCTAGCTGCCAAATCATTTCTTTAGCTATTAGTTACTTCCTTGTTAAAATAATACATATTCAATAGTTCCTTAATCACTTAACTTCCTTAAGAATAACTTACTTGGAATCTGAATAAAAAGAATTTAACTACCTATTTATTGCTTCCTTTTCATTTTCCAAACAACCCAAACTAATCAATGCAAATAACTCAAATTTCTCAAGTACTCTAAATTTATAATCACTTAAATAATATTCCTATTATTCTTTTAATAGAAGTTCCACTATACTTTAAGAATTGATTATTTACATGTAATCACGAAATTAGTGTAATCTATCTACTAATTCTTACAACGTTCTCTCATCCAATTGTATAGTTTAATTGAGAAATCAGGGTTTTCAGGAAACTCTGGGACCATTGATTTCTATGTCAAATATCCGTTTCTATTTAAATCATATTGAATTAAATTTTTTACAATGAATCATGACATTTCAATAGTTCGAAATAGACTTCCAAAATCTCAAGTTCAGAATCTGAAAATGCCACTTTGGCATGCTTCTTAATAGACTTAGATTTAGATCCTCCCATTCTAAAAATAAAATATTTATTTATTAAAATATAAAATATTTCAATCATCATCTTCACTACTCTAATCTTCATCGGATTCTTATTTCTTCTATTTTTTGTTTTAAGCTTTTTTAGTAGCCTTGGTATCATCCTTCTTCTTCTTTCTTTCATTCTTAATCTTACCATGTTTATCCTCATAGGTTCTATTAATATATAAATAGATATGAGAACTTCTTTTCTTTTTCATAGACTACTTTGTTGTCCTTATATTTTTATTCGTATAAATCAATTTTATCCTTGGTCAGTTGTTTATACTATTAAGAAATGATCTTAGTTATATCGGTCATTTTCTTACCAGGATTGGCATCCTTGACTTATTAGTATACCTCCTATTTGTAAATAAAGAAAGCACATTAAGGTCTTTTGGGTGGTGCTTCCTAAACAAATTATTAATTTTTATATATACCTTTTTAGTATTATTATCTGTCATTTGTTTTATGCAATGTATTTCTTATTTAAATTGAGATTCAATACTTTAGTTTTAATTAAAATTTCAATAAAAAAAAAAATCCCTATATAATTATATTAACCAATAAAATTACATTAATCACCTAAAACAACTCTTCCCCCTTTAAAATCCCTTCATTTCCCGCCAATTCTTAGCAATTGCTATGGTAAAATTTTATCTGATTATTTTTTTTTGCTTAATTTTCAATAATTCATTTTGAATCCTGCTTATAACTATGCATTCTTACATTCTACACTAAATTCAATGACACTAATTGATCTCAATTTATTTCTATTCTAAATTATTTTTTCCACTTTTTTTATGAATACTTTAAAATACAACAATCAATCACAATAATTCCTTAGAAAAATTACTCATTTTATCAGTAATTTATTCATAAAATTTAAATAATTTAAGAGTATAAAAAATCCTTAAATTGTTTATCTTTCAATCTTAAATCTAGATTAAAAAGACAGATTACCTTAATATATTATATAATATAGGATAATAGATAACTTAAAAAAAGTTTATTTGATTTTTTAGATATAAAAATTAAATTTTAATTACAAATAATTAGTAATTTAAGAAATAGTTTTTAAAGTCATTCATTAGATTTAGCAACTGCAAGAAAGACAATCTCTTGTTTCTGCTATATCAATTTTGCGAATAACATATCGTTTTTCTATAATTATCTATATAATTTATTATGAGAGTTCCTAATCTTCATCAATTAATCCATTTTAATAATAATAACCAAGACAATTTAATGCATCTTCTAAACCTATTTAACTAGCTCCTCCTTAGAAAAGAGATGATCTGGAATCCATCATTCTTTATATTATTTTCTCCATTTCTTAAGTAAAGGTGGTGGGTTTAATCTTCTCTTTTTTTTCTAAATCCTTGATAGTATCTAATTTTTTAATGGAAAGATCAAGTGCTGCAATAGATATTTATAATTCTAAATCACTCAATCCAATTACTTTTTTTTAGACTATATCATTTATCACTTCTATTCTATCTTAATGTTTATTGTCTTTATGAATTTTGAAAATAGTTTGAATGGCAGAATGAACTGCAGATAAAACATTATTTACTAAAGGAACTGAAGCTGATATTTTGACTCCAATTGCTAAACCTGCTTCTAAATTATCAACTACTTTTTCTGTTGTAGTTTCAATTGTTTAATTAGTATTATGTTGAAATAGTCCAGTACTTTAATTTGTGTAAGCTTGAATATAATTAAAAAGAGTCCAGAAAAATGCTTTATAATAAGCTAATTAATTCAACCCTTCTGCACTTTTTTAAAATTCTTGTAATTATTTATAGATAGCAGCTCTTTTATCTAATCCAACTAATTGCATTTATTATTCTATTGTATTTATTTTTTATTCTAATTATTAATACATATTTGTTAATTATTCAATTTTAATCCTTGTATTCTTTTTTTTATAACTACCTTATTATCCTCCTATTAGAGTATTTTCTATTTAAATTAAATTACTATTGCTTCCTTGAATTAAACAACTCTACTGAATAAAACTTATATTAGCTTCCTTTTTTTAATCTTATTAATTTAAAATCTCACTTTTAACTTCTTCAGTTGGTAGTTTAACTGTTTATTTTTATACTGATTGAAATCGTTAATCACTTTTCTTTCTCTCATAATTTTTTGTTTAAATAATTAACTATTAATCTAATAAATCAGATTCTTTTCCACTTTATTCCAATAATTAAAATTATTCTTACATATATTAGATATTAACTGATGTAAATACTTAATTATTTTCTAATTTTATGTCTGAATTAAAAGTATCCTTTGCTTCTTAAAGTAATTTTAAACCTTCAGGTTTATTCATATCAATCATTAACAATGCTTTATTGATTTTATAAAGAGGATTAGTAGGATTAATTAATAAAGCCTAATCAAAACATGCCAAAGCTTATTGAGATTATTTCAATTCTCTACAAGCTATACCCTTATTATTCCAAATTGCTGCATCTTTTGGGTTAATCTACAACAATTTACCAAATATTTAGATTGCCTCTTAATATCTATTTAGTTGTCCGAATGATAAAGCCAAATAGAGTAAAGCAGAAGTATTTTAAGAGTCTAATTCAATAACCTTTTCAAAAGATTTCAAAGCTTCTGTAAATTAATCTCCATTGTATAGGATTACTCCAAAATTATACTATGCCTCGGTGTTCTTATTATCATATTAAATAATTTTGCTTAAAACTTTCAAAGCTTCTTATTCCAATTTTGACTATATTAATCGATACACTAGAATATCATTTTATAATTACCAATTTACAATAGAGGTTCAACATCTATTACCTTTAAAGATACTATTTATGGAATGTATGATATAGCATCACTTATTAAATCTTAATCTAACTTTAACTAAATTAATCCTTCAATAACTTAAATATTTTCTCTGTCATTTTGATATAGTTCATTAAGAATAGTTTCAGCCTCATTAAATCGTTTCATTAACCTTAGAGTATCACCTTAATTATCCTATACTTTTTACTCTTTAGAACAGCTATCTAAGTATTCTTCGATTGAATGGCTAAACTTTTATTAAACTAATCTAATGCAGCCTAAAAGTTACCAACAGCTTTATATGAGATTCCTATAATGCTTTAAAAGTGAAATACCTAAATTTTATATTATTGTGTTGTTTCCAACATCATAATTTAATGCTTTTGTAAAATACTCTATTGCATTTTGATAATCATCTTTTTAAAAGAATATCACTCCTTCAATAATAGCTTAAAAAATTAATACCTTTTTAATAGTATAATACCCCATCAGTTTTATTACTCTCTAGTATTTTGTCAATGCATGATATTAGCTTTTCATATTGTTCTGTTTCAATAAGACTTAAATCTTAAGATTGTATATATAATACCTCCTTTGAGTTCCTTAAGGACCTTTAATTATTTTCTCATTATATTTTTCATTAATAAAAAGGGGTGAAAACTAATAAATTAAGATTAGCTCAGAATTCATCAGATAAAAGGATATCATATAATATAAGCAATAATTTTGGAGAATCTTTTTGAAATATGATGACAAATATATATATAGATAATGAATAAGAAAGTTATTACTGTTTTCTAATTATATATATATTCAATAATCTCATACATTATAGATCCTTAATGGTTTTAGATTTAAGATTCTGATTTAACTTAATAAATGATAGTATTTCTAAAAATATCCAAAAGTAAATCACCTGGTTATATATAAAATTTAATACTCTTAAAGCAGGATTTAATTAATTAATGTTTTGTTTATTCCTATATATTTTTACTTTTAAGTTAAGATATCATAATTTGGAATTCTATCCTTATATCTCATCTACTTTTTTTCAGAACAAGCAGAAAACATAATTAAAAATTTATATAATGAAATAAATTTATCCTTTTAGTTTTCTAAATGTGTTTTAATAACTCACATCTTCTTTAATTAAATTCACTATCATATGAAGATATNTCAACATCTATTACCTTTAAAGATACTATTTATGGAATGTATGATATAGCATCACTTATTAAATCTTAATCTAACTTTAACTAAATTAATCCTTCAATAACTTAAATATTTTCTCTGTCATTTTGATATAGTTCATTAAGAATAGTTTCAGCCTCATTAAATCGTTTCATTAACCTTAGAGTATCACCTTAATTATCCTATACTTTTTACTCTTTAGAACAGCTATCTAAGTATTCTTCGATTGAATGGCTAAACTTTTATTAAACTAATCTAATGCAGCCTAAAAGTTACCAACAGCTTTATATGAGATTCCTATAATGCTTTAAAAGTGAAATACCTAAATTTTATATTATTGTGTTGTTTCCAACATCATAATTTAATGCTTTTGTAAAATACTCTATTGCATTTTGATAATCATCTTTTTAAAAGAATATCACTCCTTCAATAATAGCTTAAAAAATTAATACCTTTTTAATAGTATAATACCCCATCAGTTTTATTACTCTCTAGTATTTTGTCAATGCATGATATTAGCTTTTCATATTGTTCTGTTTCAATAAGACTTAAATCTTAAGATTGTATATATAATACCTCCTTTGAGTTCCTTAAGGACCTTTAATTATTTTCTCATTATATTTTTCATTAATAAAAAGGGGTGAAAACTAATAAATTAAGATTAGCTCAGAATTCATCAGATAAAAGGATATCATATAATATAAGCAATAATTTTGGAGAATCTTTTTGAAATATGATGACAAATATATATATAGATAATGAATAAGAAAGTTATTACTGTTTTCTAATTATATATATATTCAATAATCTCATACATTATAGATCCTTAATGGTTTTAGATTTAAGATTCTGATTTAACTTAATAAATGATAGTATTTCTAAAAATATCCAAAAGTAAATCACCTGGTTATATATAAAATTTAATACTCTTAAAGCAGGATTTAATTAATTAATGTTTTGTTTATTCCTATATATTTTTACTTTTAAGTTAAGATATCATAATTTGGAATTCTATCCTTATATCTCATCTACTTTTTTTCAGAACAAGCAGAAAACATAATTAAAAATTTATATAATGAAATAAATTTATCCTTTTAGTTTTCTAAATGTGTTTTAATAACTCACATCTTCTTTAATTAAATTCACTATCATATGAAGATATTGTATAATAATTATATTATGAGGATTCAATTATTAAAAATATATATAAATAAACAAATTCTTACTTCTTAAAAATAACATAATAAATGAAAATCATTAAATTAGTTTTTTATATTTATATATATATTTGATTATTATAGAAATTGATTAAATTAATATATAATAAAATTTAATAATGAGTTTCAAGCCTTCTTTTCCTTTTTAGCAGCAGCAGCTTCATCAGAGACTCCTTCAACATCTAGAAGAAGTGCTACACCAGCTAAAATCCATTTTCTTGGATTGAGTCTTGTTTTGAGTTGTCCAGTAAAGATGTAGGTATTACCTCTGTCTTCAGTTCTATAGCATGGACATTAATAAAGAGCTTTATCTTCTTTGCCCTCTGCTGGTACCATGAGTGCTTTACAGTAAACAACAGGTAGGACACTAAACATTTCTTTAGGTTTGGATTCTTCAAGTTAACCTGTAACTACATCCCAACGAGCTAGAGAAAATTAAAATGAAATTTATACCTCCTTCTAATACGAATCCAAATACATAGGCACCATCTTTGGCTGTCTGATCAATTTCTTCAATACTCTTTTTGGTTACTTCAGTGGCTATGTATAATCTATTTAATTCTTGAGCTCTTTGTCTTCCAATAACTTATTTAATAGCTGTCAAGAATGATTAAGGATTGAAGAATCTACCAATCATAGTGACTTTAGGGATTGCATAAGGATCATCTCTAAATAGATTGAGTTATTCAATTCTCTTGAGTAGATTTGTTAACCAAGATGCCAAACCTCTCTTTGAAGGATAGGCCAATGCAACCCAAACAGTTGGTACTCTATTCAAAGCAATGGCATCAATAATTGATTCCATTTATTCTGAGATTGTAAGAATACCTCTGAAACCTTGATCAATTTCTTCCATAGATCTTACAATTTCAATTAATAAGTAATTCATATATTCAAGTTCTTACAAAAACACATTTTAATAAGGACCTTTATTTTCAGCATCAATCTTATTCTTAATTTCATCAATATTAAATATCATAGATTTTAAGTTAATATCTTCAGCCAATTATTTAATAAGTTCTTATACAATTTCATTCTTTGTTCTCATACCACTTGTACTCTCATCACCAGCACTATCTTTTGGTTACAATTCTAATAGAGTAGAGAAGAGAGTTAAACATTATTATGTTCTGAAACCAATTTCAGCATTTGAATGTAATCCATAAGCAAGAGGAGTTTCTTAAGTGAGTACTTATTCAATATGTTCAATGTATTTTTCATAATTATTTGGTGGAGGAACTTTGAATGATAAATTCTTGCCTTCAATGAATGGGAATAATTCCAATTCATCAAATATTCCTTCATGCATGATATTATCCAAATAACCCATGCATAATCTTCTATCCCAATCATCTACAATGTGACCACCATACATGATTTCACCAAAGATATATCTTAAATCATCAAATGGCACTTTTCCACCGGCTCCTTATTCCATATATCTATTCATGACTAAATAGGAATCTCTCAAATCTCCCATATTGAATGGATAAGACATATTCCATCCTTTAGGTCCAAAACGTCTTCTTTCAATAACTGTAGAATGGAAGAAACATAAACCAAAGAGAATTGATTTAATTTTAGGATCTTTGTCTTCAATTTCATCTTTACTGAAATAAGCCCATGCTCTCTTCATATTAGCTCTTAAACCAGCAGGTGGTTCATTAGTCAATTTAATTGATCTATCTAATAATCCAATAGGAATTCCACTTGAAGGTTCAGCTGATAAAAATAATCTAAATCTTGGATTACCACCACCTTATTCTCCAGTAAATGAATCCAAAATCTTTTCTAATTCTAATAACCATTTAGGCATTAAATGAATATTTTATAACATAACCCAATGTCCTTCCTTATTACCTTCTTCAATTCTACGTCTAGCAATTTCATCTTAACCTTATCCTAATGAAATATTCCAGAATGATTTTCCTGGTTCAATCTTATTTAATCTTGCTAATTTTTCTACTTCCTTTACAGGATCTGCTCCTGGAGATAAAATGAAGAAAATTGGAATGGTTGCATCTGAATCATCAACTGATCCAGAAAGAACATCTGAAAAGTTTAGTTTTGAATCCATTTCAACAAAGGATTCACCTTAAGGTAATGCTTATCTAATGAAATTAGTTAATGCAGATGTAATACGATCTGGTCTTAAACATCTTAAGACTAATAATTTTTTAAATGGCATTTAATCTAATCTCTTCCAATCAAATGGTAATTTAACATCTTCTGGTTATAATTCATTGTACCAATCTTTAAATCTTATTGGAGCATCTTTTTCCATATTTTAAGCAAACAATTTGAATTCTTCTAATTAAATCAATCCTTGTACTGAATCCCAAGCATTTTATGATAACCAATCTAAATTATTTTCCACACCTGCTCTAGGTACACATTTAATAAGGAAATCCATTTCAGCTGGTTCATAAACTACTTCAATTACTTTCTTTTACATTAATCTAAATGTAATCAAAGTCAAAAAGATTAATTTGTGTTTTTCAAATAATCCTCTACTTATCCATTAATAAATTGTATATCTAATATTCTTTCTTAATTCTTCAGTTCTTGTTTCATCTCTTATAGTTGTTCTTTCAATAGCTTTAAAGAAGAATTTATTAAATGATTCTAAAGAATATTGATACATATGTTCCATAACACTTAATTGAATTACTAAGAAATAAAGCATAGCACCTTCAGCAGCTACAATTCTATAAATTTCTCTTTATTGATTGATTTCAACTTCAGTCACTTTTGCTATCTTACTTTATTCAGTAATAGTATTAGATGTTTATTTAGTATTATCTAGATTTGCAATTAAACTCTTATTTTCTAAAATTGTTGAAGGATCTGCTTCTGATAATTAAATCAAAAGATTTTCCTCTAATTTATCTAATTATACTGAAAATTCATTTTATTATTTGACTAATTCTGATCTCTTCATTTCTAATTCATTTCTTTCAATATTCACAACAGCAGCAAGTAATTATTCTTCTAAACCTGATTCAGTAACAATGAAGTTAATAATAGTACATTATGCAGCTATTTCTGGTCTGAAATGTGGATTGTACAATTTAGTCATTAAAAATAGTTTGAATTTTGAATCATAATCAATTTATTCACCTGCTAATTCTAAATAAGCACTCTTTCCTTTCTTAACAATAGCTCTACTCAATAGAGGATCAAGTGTAGCATCTATTTCTTATTAAATACCTTCCAACAATACTGCTTTACCCATAGGAATAGAAGCATTTAATTATTACAACCACTTATTTTAACTGACATTGATAGTAACCAAATTATCACCTTATGATCCTCTAATCCAAACTGAACCTTATAATTATGGATCAATAATAAGTGGCCATCTTGAACAAGCACTAATGATTGAAGCATTTTCCAATGACATTTAATCTGATTACAATCCCTCATTCTTCCAACTAGCAATTTTAGCTTCAGTTGTTAAGATTTTAAGTGGATCAATACCTTAAGTCAATGGAATCTATTTAGCTTATAAGTCATTCAACCATATCTTAGACCATAATTCTAATCTTAATTTAGCTGAAAATGCTCCAATATATGAAACAAAGGCTGCAGCCAATAATGCATTTCCTACAACAGATTTAATATTGCTAGACAATTCTTTTACATTTTCTCCCCAACGTTTATTTTCACCTGCTAAACCATTCACTAATTTTTCAGCAGCTGATAATTTCTCTTAACAAGCATTAGCATCAGCTTCTACTAATTATTTAACTCTTTCAGCTTCTTCTAAATCACGTTTTAATTTATTAACTTTTTCATTCAATGCTCTAACCTTCTCTTTAACAACAGCTAATTCCTTCTTTTTTTATTCTAAATCAGCCATAGCAGCATCTCTAGATTTTTCAAGTGGATCAACCAACTTGAAAATTGTGTTGAAAGTAACAATATTGACAGCCCAAGCACATAATTTGGAAGCAGCAAAGTTTTATCCTTTCATTGATTCTTCATTAAATTTCATAGCTGGATCTTCTATGATTTTATTAACAGATGCCAAAATTTATGGATCAATTTATTTACCATTAAAACCAATAATTCTATCTAAGAATTATTATGGATTGTTCATGACTTATTATGATTTCTTCCATAATTTATCTTCTGGATCTTATAATGTAATCTTTTCTCCTAATAATATTAAGACAGCTCTAGCAGTTGTTAACACACCAGTAGGAGGTGAACCTAAAGATTTCATTTCTGTAATTTATGGTTTCTTAATACAATCAACAGCAGCTTTGGCTTTCTCTAAAGCAGGTATTGCTTTTTCTAATTCAATTCTTGCAGTTTCTGCTAATTCTTCTGCTGCTTTTGATGCAGTATTAGTTTTTTCTTCTTCTTCATTGGCAATCTTTTATTCAACTTCAGCAACAGCAGATTCTTTACCTACTTTTTCAATTAGAATATCAGTTTCACTCTTCTTTTTATCGACTTCAACCATCTTGATTTTCAATTCACCTTATAACAATTAGACTTTGCTTTATGTATCAGCTAAAATCTATAAACCTTATTCATATCTCTTGATTTATTTGAGAATCTATTCTCTCTTTTCACCCAATAATTTCTTATAATATTCAATCAATTCTAAAAATGATTTTGGTGTAGTATAATTATATCTTCTTTCTAATTACAAATATTTCTGATTAGCATAATCAATTGAAAGATGGACTTCAGCCATATGAAGTGAAATTATTTTTCTAAGATCATCAGTATCCAATTCAACCTCACTTATGAATCTATATGACACATCAATAAGTGCATCTTTTGGCCATGGATGGAACCAATCAACACTTGTTGAATTGATAATACCTGGGAATTTACGAGATCTAATACGCATAGTATCACCAACTGGAGAGAAACACAATACAACATGAAGATTCTTTCTCATTTTATCTAAAAAGTATTAAGTGATTGATTCTAAATTATCTAATATACCTGCTCCTTTAGCTTCATTTCTTAATCCTTAAATCATATTGTCATAATCTTCTTTAGGGAAAAGATCAAATATCCAACCAGAATTTAACATATCATTAATGGGAATCAAAAAGATTTCCTCTTTGATTTGAGAATCTGTCAAAATGTAACATCTACTTCCTGCACTTGGTTTAGCTACTTTCTTATAGATTTCTTATAAGTAATTTCTTAAATCATTTATAGTGAAATTTGATGTAACTACCATTTAATCAGCTTCATATCCTAAAATAAATGTTGCCAATCTTGTAAGTGATTATTTACCTGAACCACCAACACCAACTAATAATGCATTACCTCCTGGTAATTCTAAAATACGTGCTATTCTACAAACATGTTCCATAGCCTACTAGAATAACACTAAATTCATCATAGCTTTCACTTCATTATATTCTCTTAATTTATCTTCCAACACTTTCTTTAAAGTTGAAGGATCACAATTTGTGTATTATGATTCTTGACCATTATGAGCTGCAACAAAACTTGTAAACACATTTGGTTCTTCTAAGGGATTATCTTTATCATCTGGTTCTCCAATATTTTTGACCATTGCATCTTTAACATAATCTCTAAATACTTTTATGTCTTCTTCATTAATGAATCTATCTTCAAATACTCTTTTAGATTCATGTGCCCATAATCTTAACATTCTATTTGGTTATCCTCTATATTAATTAGGAGTTGATCTCATTATACCTTCTACAACTTTAGCAAGTTCTCTGAAATTAAATTAATAATGGAATTTTCTAGCTGAAGGTGAATATCTTGTATCTTTGAGAACTTTATTAAATAAATGAATTGTAGCTTCAATTAATTTATCAGATAACTTATGTATTTTATCATCAAATGTAGCTAAATGACTATTTAAAATAGCACCAAAAATAGTTTTAATGATTTCAGCATTAGGTGTATACATAGTGAATACAGAGAAGTTTCTTTATAATCTTAAATCTATAATGAAAGATCCTGATTTTTGATTTAAAGCACTAAAGAAGAGTAAATCTTAAAGGAATTTTCTTTCTTCTAATTATTCTCTATTGAAAACACTTCCATAATCTACTACTTATCTTAATAATTAGATAGGTTATTATGTACCATATTTATCTACATATGGCATATTCATATCATCAATGAAACAAATTAATGCTTTTCCTGTAGCACTACCAAAAGTTCTACCAGATTTCTTTTCAACCATAGATTCTATATTCTTCTATAATGCTAATGAATCAGTAAATGATGAAAAGTTGATAGTTTTATATGATACTTGATCTGTTTTAGTTTAACTCAAATAATCTTTGATAACAGCAGATTTACCAGTACCTGCAGATCCTACAAATAAGACACATTTCTTTCTTCTAAGATGGTAATCTAATAAAGTTCTTAATCTAGTTGTATGTAAAGTAGCAACATAGATTTTAGAGAAGATAGCTTCATCAGTAGCAATATAAGGTACTACTTTACCTTACCAATGAGTCCATTTTTATTCAGCAAAATCAAAGTAATAATCGAAACACATACCTTATTCTGGCATTCTTACTTTAGCAGCAGCTTTCCATACAGAGTTGAAATCTTTCATATCTTTTTCATCATCTTATCCTCCTCCAAAACAACCACCAATAGCCCACATTCCTGCATAAATGAAATAAGCTTCATAAATCATTTTTTGATCATCTTCTTTCATTTGAGAAAGCTTTGTGTACTCTGTTTCTAAAAGTAATGCATCCAAAATCATACAGATTGTCATTACTTAAGCAATATCAACTTATGGAACTATTAATCTGACTTTACTCTTATCTCTGATATCTGGATTGGTTTCAAAGTATTATTAGAAACATCTATAGAATACAGATTTAGCAATATCATCAATAGGAGGTGATTATGGTACTTATCCCATCAATCCTTCTCTTTTCACTACACATTTTTCAAATGATCTTTCTAACCAACTATTCATATAAGGCATCCAACCAATATCTGTTTCATTAATAAACAAGACACCACCTCTAGATACTGTAGCAGGAGTAGCATTCTTAAGATTTGAAATTTCAAATAACAATCTCATTGATGGAGTCAAAGGAATACGATCATTTGACACTAATGTAAGTACTTTATTATCATCCATAACTGTATTTAAGGATTCAATCCATTCAGGATCAATATCACCATCTAAAATTGACCNAAAGATCCTGATTTTTGATTTAAAGCACTAAAGAATAGTAAATCTTAAAGGAATTTTCTTTCTTCTAATTATTCTCTATTGAAAACACTTCCATAATCTACTACTTATCTTAATAATTAGATAGGTTATTATGTACCATATTTATCTACATATGGCATATTCATATCATCAATGAAACAAATTAATGCTTTTCCTGTAGCACTACCAAAAGTTCTACCAGATTTCTTTTCAACCATAGATTCTATATTCTTCTATAATGCTAATGAATCAGTAAATGATGAAAAGTTGATAGTTTTATATGATACTTGATCTGTTTTAGTTTAACTCAAATAATCTTTGATAACAGCAGATTTACCAGTACCTGCAGATCCTACAAATAACACACATTTCTTTCTTCTAAGATGGTAATCTAATAAAGTTCTTAATCTAGTTGTATGTAAAGTAGCAACATAGATTTTAGAGAAGATAGCTTCATCAGTAGCAATATAAGGTACTACTTTACCTTACCAATGAGTCCATTTTTATTCAGCAAAATCAAAGTAATAATCGAAACACATACCTTATTCTGGCATTCTTACTTTAGCAGCAGCTTTCCATACAGAGTTGAAATCTTTCATATCTTTTTCATCATCTTATCCTCCTCCAAAACAACCACCAATAGCCCACATTCCTGCATAAATGAAATAAGCTTCATAAATCATTTTTTGATCATCTTCTTTCATTTGAGAAAGCTTTGTGTACTCTGTTTCTAAAAGTAATGCATCCAAAATCATACAGATTGTCATTACTTAAGCAATATCAACTTATGGAACTATTAATCTGACTTTACTCTTATCTCTGATATCTGGATTGGTTTCAAAGTATTATTAGAAACATCTATAGAATACAGATTTAGCAATATCATCAATAGGAGGTGATTATGGTACTTATCCCATCAATCCTTCTCTTTTCACTACACATTTTTCAAATGATCTTTCTAACCAACTATTCATATAAGGCATCCAACCAATATCTGTTTCATTAATAAACAAGACACCACCTCTAGATACTGTAGCAGGAGTAGCATTCTTAAGATTTGAAATTTCAAATAACAATCTCATTGATGGAGTCAAAGGAATACGATCATTTGACACTAATGTAAGTACTTTATTATCATCCATAACTGTATTTAAGGATTCAATCCATTCAGGATCAATATCACCATCTAAAATTGACCATTTATGTAAATGACTAGGTTTATACTTTTCTTCACATTTATTTTAATTCTTCATAATCATACTTAAAACACCATTCTTCCATTCCTTTGTCTTAGTATAACATCCAAATAATTCATCTGATGTCACTGCCTTAGGATTTAGAGTATCTAATTCATAATCTTCTCCTCTATTTTAATGAGTCTTTGCCAAAGTTTTCCATACACTTGTTTTACCACAACCTGGTGGACCTATCACAAATACACAATGTCTCACTTCCAATATTTCAGCCAATTAAACTACTTTTAATACAAACATTTCTTCAGCTACTAATCCCATATCTTATTTAGTTGTATCAACTACAATTTTCTTTAAATCAGGATTTGTTTTACTTTCACATTCAATTCTTGGGAATAAATCTCCTATCAAACCTAAAAAGATTGGTTTATCATCTGTAACAATCTTTGGCATATTGAAATCTCTTAGAGCTCTCATCAATAATGGATCCTCTGCTATTTATGGATCTGCTCTCTTCAATTTACCAGCTTATCTTAACACTGATTTTACTGCTCTCAAACCCCAATCATAATGTCTAGCTTTTGATAATAATTCTCTTGACAACATATACAAAGATACGAATTTTCTACTTAAGGCTCTTGCTTATTAGAAACCTTCAGACATAAGCATATTTTCACAAATTAATACTAAATCTGGTACAACCATAGCACATGATCTAAACAATGCTTTCAAATTTTCAGGTAATTCAGTTCTACCTGCATATCCTGGATTCATAGTAATGAAGAATCCTACTGTGTCTTATATTGATATTTCTCCTTCTTCCATAAATATTAACTTAGGTTTCTTTTCCTTTAATGCATCCAAAATAGTTTTAACTTGTGTACTAATGACTGATAACACTTCTATTGCTATTCTATTAAATTCATCGAAACATCCCCAAGCTCCTGATTGAGACAAACCCATAAAGATTTAAGCCATAGAGTCTTTACCCATCTGATCTGAACAATTAAACACCATGACTGGTAATCCTACTGCTCTACCCAAATCTTTTGTTGTTTCAGTCTTTCCAGTACCAGCTGGTCCTGCAGGTGCACCACCCATTGTAAGATTCAATGCTTATGTTAATGTAATATAACATCTATCTGTTAAGGGAGTAATGACCAATCTTAATGCATTACCAACATATTCATATGAATAGAATCTGAACCAATCAACGATTCTAATAATGCATTTTGATTTATCTCTTTCTTTCTCCCACTTGAATCTAAGTGCTTATCTTAAATGCATGTCATTATCTTTATTATCCCAATAGAATTTTAATTGTGATAACCAAGCAAAAGATTCCAATTCTTGGGTTTTTTAAAGACAGAATTTTTCGACAACATCTCTTGAATGTACATCGATTGTAATAATATTAATAATTTTCATACGCTCTAATATTTCTAAATTTCCTCTGACCTTCTTAATCAAATTATCAATACGAACTTCAATCAATTTCAAACATTCTTTCATGGCTGTTTCAGCACCACCAGCCAAATCTTCAAATGCTCTAGTAACATCTTCAGTCCATACAATTTATGTTGTTAACAATGCAATTTAAGCACAATAATTTTTAACCCAATCTTCTCTAGGATTGTCACCACTTTCCCAATTTTCTGATGTTTCCTTTGCCTTTTCCAATATTTCTTCTAATGTCTCTCTCATCTTATATTCTAATGCTGATAACCAATGTTCAACTGCTCCTACACATTCAAAATTTGATGAAAATGGAACTTTCTCATCATCCTTAGAAATCATACTATGTGTGCTTCTTGGAACATCATTTGGATTTTTGGAAGGTTCAAAACTAAGTGTTTTCATTCCATCGAAACAATCACCTAAAAATTCACAAACTTTAGGTGGATTTTAACCANACAACCATAGCACATGATCTAAACAATGCTTTCAAATTTTCAGGTAATTCAGTTCTACCTGCATATCCTGGATTCATAGTAATGAAGAATCCTACTGTGTCTTATATTGATATTTCTCCTTCTTCCATAAATATTAACTTAGGTTTCTTTTCCTTTAATGCATCCAAAATAGTTTTAACTTGTGTACTAATGACTGATAACACTTCTATTGCTATTCTATTAAATTCATCGAAACATCCCCAAGCTCCTGATTGAGACAAACCCATAAAGATTTAAGCCATAGAGTCTTTACCCATCTGATCTGAACAATTAAACACCATGACTGGTAATCCTACTGCTCTACCCAAATCTTTTGTTGTTTCAGTCTTTCCAGTACCAGCTGGTCCTGCAGGTGCACCACCCATTGTAAGATTCAATGCTTATGTTAATGTAATATAACATCTATCTGTTAAGGGAGTAATGACCAATCTTAATGCATTACCAACATATTCATATGAATAGAATCTGAACCAATCAACGATTCTAATAATGCATTTTGATTTATCTCTTTCTTTCTCCCACTTGAATCTAAGTGCTTATCTTAAATGCATGTCATTATCTTTATTATCCCAATAGAATTTTAATTGTGATAACCAAGCAAAAGATTCCAATTCTTGGGTTTTTTAAAGACAGAATTTTTCGACAACATCTCTTGAATGTACATCGATTGTAATAATATTAATAATTTTCATACGCTCTAATATTTCTAAATTTCCTCTGACCTTCTTAATCAAATTATCAATACGAACTTCAATCAATTTCAAACATTCTTTCATGGCTGTTTCAGCACCACCAGCCAAATCTTCAAATGCTCTAGTAACATCTTCAGTCCATACAATTTATGTTGTTAACAATGCAATTTAAGCACAATAATTTTTAACCCAATCTTCTCTAGGATTGTCACCACTTTCCCAATTTTCTGATGTTTCCTTTGCCTTTTCCAATATTTCTTCTAATGTCTCTCTCATCTTATATTCTAATGCTGATAACCAATGTTCAACTGCTCCTACACATTCAAAATTTGATGAAAATGGAACTTTCTCATCATCCTTAGAAATCATACTATGTGTGCTTCTTGGAACATCATTTGGATTTTTGGAAGGTTCAAAACTAAGTGTTTTCATTCCATCGAAACAATCACCTAAAAATTCACAAACTTTAGGTGGATTTTAACCATTTGATAAAATAGTTAATAGGGATTGATTTGACAAGAAATAGAATCTAGGGAATGCTTTCTTTTTCTATTCTAAATAATCATTTAAAGCTTTTTCACATTTCTTAATATTTAAACTCATAGCAACTAATTAATCCTTTCTTTCATTAATACATGCTTCAATAACCAATGGATTAGCTGCAACTTCAGTCATAAGTTCTCTAAATTCTTTATCAACAGCTTCAAATACTTTAGTATCTTCTGGTAATTACATTCTAATATCTTCAGATCCAATAAAGATATTTACTAAAGTCTTCCAATTCTTTTAAACTTTCAACCATTCACCAACAACAGAATCAACTCTTCCTAATTTTTCTCTCCAATCTTCTACTGTATTGTAAAAGAATTCAACATATTTACCTTATCCTTTCATACCCATTAAATCAAGAGAATGTTAATCTAACATTTCCATCATATTATCTAATGGTAAAAAGATCTTAGTTTCTTTATAATCTTCAAATTCAAAGATTTATTTCAACCAAGCTGTTTCAATCATCTTCAATTTCTTTTCAATTTTAGCTTCTTTTGATGCTACTTCCACTACTTCATTGATTTATGCATCAAATTTATACAATTATAAAGCAAGAATATCATCAAATAAAAATGTCATAGCTTTATGTTCAAATTTACTCTTAGTCATATCTTTAACTTAACTCCAATGTCTATCTTCCATAAATTCACTATGTAAAGCAGAGACTAATGGTAAAACAACAGACATATTCTTGACTTTATCAACAATTGCATTATATCCTTTGAAATTCTTGACTTCTTTTGGTAAGTTCTTCAATTAATTTCCCAATACTTTATTAGATTCTAACAAGACATCAGCCTTAATTTATCTGAATGGTTTAGATTTCCAATCATTATATTAGTAATTGACCATTGAAATAGCATCCCACATTATTTTTAATGATTTCAAATCAACATTAGTTTCTCTTAATTATTTATAACCACTCTTTTCCAATTCAAACAATTTCTCCAATTGATTATAATCTGCAGCCTCTTTCTCCATCTACAACAACTTTTTATAGTAATCATCAATTGTAACATATGAATATAATATTTAATCCATCTTCATATCATCATGATAACCATAAGGTAAATTATTTAAAGTATCATTTCTAAAGTCTGATACCTTCTTTTAGAATTCATCTAATTTCTTCTTGATATTAATGGTTTCTTAAGTTTATAATGGTAAGATTTCAGCTTTAATCTTAAACACTTTCTAAGTTGTTTCATTAAATTAAGTAAATGCATTATCAATACTTTAAACTGGATCTTCTTCTCCTTTCTCCATTATTTAAACTCCATGTTTCTTTAATTTATTAACCATTTCTTTCATTCTTACAACAATACCTTCACATTTATGTTCCACATCCTTAACATCTGATATAACTCTCATAACTTTCATTAATAAATCTCTATTTCCAGTATTCTCTTCACTTGCTGGATTCTCTTTGATTCCTTCATTTGTTCTTTGAATAAATCCTTTAAGGTTTTTCAATGTAGTTTTGAATTATACAACTAAAAATTCAGTGTAAACCTTTATTTATTGACTCACTTTATTTTCAAGGGCACTTTTCAATGGTTACAAATTAATTCTCAACCATGATATTTCATAAGGTGTCATTATTCTATTGATTTCTTATTGAATATTTTTCAATGTTGTAATTTTATCATCAAACAAATCTAATTTTGGAATCTTTATTCTACAACCTTATAATAAAGGATTTTAAGATTGATCCTCATCTTCAGGTGCATCTTTTGGTTCATTCTTTAACATGAAATCTTCGAAAGCCTACTTAGGATCTTCTAACCATAGATAACTATAAGTCATATAAGATTATTTAAATGATTTAGTTTCTTCTTCAATTTAATCTAAATTGAGATTGATTGCTTGTACTACTTCTTTAATTTCAAAATATTCTCTAATTTCTGGTAAATAATCACCAAAAGGATTAGCTGAATCTAATCTTTAAAATTGACCTGCAATATAAAACATATCATTAGCCCATCCTCTAATTGTATTACGTACACTTTATCCTTGTGTAGTTTCTTCAATTTCAGGTTCATATTGAATTCCTACATTTCTAAATAATTCTAATTTGATATCAAATAAAGGTGCAATTTCATGTTTCTTTATATATTATGGATTGATTTATTCATTCATATGTGTCAAAGCAGTTATAATGGCTCTTGCTAAACCATTAATAACAATTGAATTTAAATAATATTGATAATTTATCCAAGCCTATTGTTTTTTGTCAACTTTGACTTAATCAAGAACTTCTTTAACAAGTTTGTTAATTGAAGTACCATTATCTTTAACAATAGATAATTTATTCTAAACAACTGCCTTTAAGAATTGATCATAATCATCTGGAGACATAGGTTTATTTTTTCTCTCTATTATCTTAGTATTGAATTTCTCTAATGCTTACTCAATCTTTTTTAAAGTTTCCTTCATCTTTTAAACTATTTAATGTAATTCATCAACAGTAGCCTTTGCTGTTTCAATGAATTTATTAATATCATTACTCTTCCATTTGTAATGTTCAATACCTGGTTTCAGAACTTCATCCATCTTTTCAATTCTATTCTTTATCAAAGGTTCTTCCATTGGATGTAATTAAGTTACAATGAAATTATGATTCTCAACAATCATTTCCAATTAAACAATATATTCTCTAAAAGTATCATTTTTAGAATATAATTCTGAGGCAGATTCAGGAACTGGTTATTCAAGCAATGTGAAATATTTCACTTCTCTTAATAATCTAACCAAAGCAGGATCAAAATTAACTCTTAACAATCCATTCTCATCTTTTGATAATAAAGGTTACTTTTATTTTTCTTCTGATACTTTTCCTACTTCTTATTCCCAACTCAAAATCTTTGTTTATTCATAATCTTTTATTTATTTTGTTATTGATTAATATAATTTCAATACATCCTTATATTCTTCTCTTTCTGTTATACCTTATCCCAATTATGCCAATTTATCTAAAGGTTCTGTAATTCTATCTCTTAATCCTTTGCACCACATCAATGCTCCTGCAATAGGAGGCATATTATTATAAATTGGTGCTCTTTCATGTAATTTATCAACTAATTCATAACCTTCCAAAAAGATTTATTAGACTTATTTCAAGTCTTATTTGTACATATCTAATAATACAATATGTTTTTTCTCTAATTCATCTTAGATAATTGGTCTGGATAACAAACCTTCAAAACTATCTAATAATTTGAATCTTCCATGTAATGTATCATAATCATCAAAGCCTTATGTGATTACTGAAGCTAATCTTCTTTCTAATTCTTTAATCTTAGATCTGAATTCATAAAAACTATCATCAAATTCTTTTTATGTAATATCCATAATATCATATTTTACTTATTAGAATTGTTCAACAGCTTTCTAAAATTCAACAAAAATTTATTAAACTGATTCAGTTAATGTTTTTCCTTTTGTACCACCAAGATCAATCTTGGCTAATTTATTAAATTAAACTATAGTATTAGTTAAATGTAAAATATCATGGCATCTTTCTAAAAATGAATCCAATCTAACAAATAATGCATTAGTAGTCAATTTCCAATGACCTTCAGCTTTGGCTTTATATTCAAAGTAAGCATCCTTAAACTTTGTACAAACATCAATAGTAATCTACAATTTTTCACATGCCTCAAATGTTTCTTCTGAACTTATCATTTAGAAAATCATTGGTCCATTTACAAAGTCTTATGCTTTTGTAATGATTGCATTGCATATCTCTCTGATCAAAACTACTAATCTTGGAGGAGTATTATAAAATTTAGAATTTTTCCAAATCAAGAGAATTCTATGCATTATTGGAATGAATAATTCATGTAAAGCCTGAAAGTCTCCACCAGTATCTTGTAGTCTTTAGAAGGGATCTTTTAATAAATCTAAAAATTTATTATTATCATTGGCTTCTTCTCTTGCCTTTGTTACTTCCCTTTATAATTTAGAAAAAGGATTTGTGTATGTTGATTTGTTCACTTCCAAAAATCTTAAGATTTTAATCACTTCTGTTCCTTCCAATTACTCCTTTATGCTATTAAGATTGGCAGCTTTGTTCTCCCAAAACTTCAATTCCACTAAAGGTCCTGGATTGTGTCCGTTTTTTAAGGCTTATTCAGGTTCCAATTTCAATACATTCTTTATTTATTTTGTCCATGTTATAATTGAACTTTCATATACATGTGCTTTGTCTTTAGCTGGAGTTGTATCTGATTAAGTTAACTTGTGTGATGGAATGGGCTTTAAAATTAACAATATAATATTACCAATTTAGTTCTTCCTTCTATCTAACCTATCATTACATAAACTTGGGCAACATATGCATTGAATTTCTCCATTAAGTCTTTTGCTACCAAGTCTGTCCATCCTTATTAATTACTTGGATTCTAGAGAATAGGACTCATTATTTCATAAAAAGTTGAGTATAAATGCTCCAAAATCTAAAATAATTTAAGATTGTTACATTTCTTGTTAATTCCAAAAACACAATATTATGAGTGATATTCTATACTGACAGTGGGCTCTCTGATATTTTAAGTGCAATAAGTCCCTTCTTTCTGAACTTATCTGGATGAGGAACATCTGAAAATAATGTAACAGACTCTGCTCCAGATTGAATGGCAAATACAGCCATCATATTGCTTTCATCCTTCATTAGTCTATCAAACACCATTCTAATTAATAAAAACACATATATTACTTATTATCTTCAGCTTCAAAAGATTTCTTGAATTTGTCTTATTAAATTGAATTTCTTATGTTGAATGAGCAAGCAAGACGATTTATAAAATAATCTTCCTTGCTTTTTAAAGGCTCTTAGTCACCCATTCAAAAATAGTAAAATTATTTGAAAAATAAATAATATCCTTAATTCATTAGGAAGTTATGCTTTTAATCATACAAACGGGGTTTATAATTAATTATCATATTAACAAATAAAAATTATCATTAATATCAAATTTCTAATCAATCTATGCTACCAAGGCCTTTCCTTTACCTTCTATTCTATAGATGTTAAGATAGACAATCTTGCCATTAATTGAAATGAATTAATTAATTTCGTTGTTATAATTCAAGATACTTTATATAGAAAATGATTATCTTATTTTTATATAATAAATATTATCTTAACCTCTATCCTCTCTTAATTTTATACTGTATAAAGAGACTATTAAATAAAAATAAAATCCAACAACCTTTTTTTTTGTTATAAATTTCAATTTAATATCATTATAGTATTCTTTTTCTTTTAACAATTTCATTTGAATCATCTTTATTTGATCTTAAACGATATCTTAAAGCTTAAAAATTCAATTATTATTTTACTTATTCTTTTAATTTACTTTATCATATCTTAAGCCAATTCAAAATTTTCCATAATTTCAATAGCAATTCTAACTATATACTGATATTAACTTAAAAAATCATCTTTTTTCCATCTTTAATTATCTTCTAAATATGTTCGTCAATTTAATTTAAATTTTTTCTATATTATATTAAATAATTATTTCTACTCTTAATTGCTCTTCTTCATCAAACCTTCATTATAATTATTCAAATCAAAAGTACTTTAAATTCTGTTATATTAACAAGTTAAAATAATAATTCAGACCTATCTTTATCATTAAATATTTCTCATAAATTCCAATAATTAAGAATCCTTATAGTTTGATTAAGTATAGATTGATAAATCTTCAAAACTCTAACAAATAAACATTTTTGATCAATATAATTAATATATTGTACTATTTAAGAAAAAACAAGAATGTCTATTCAAAAATTATTGTAAATTAATTAATCTAAAATCTATATTTATATATTATAAGGTTCTTATTAAAAGTGTTTGATATAACAAAAAAATAAGAATCAACAATAAATTCCAATTTTCGTAGTTAATTAAACAATGAAAAAGAAGACATTAAGTATCCAATAGTTTTAAATAAAACAACTCATAATTAATTTAAATTTGTTAGAAGAATTAAGATTTTTTTCTAAATTTTTTGATATTTTTAACATAATAATCTAGTTATAGATATATTTAAATTTATTTTATTAACCAAAATATATTTTAAATTGTTCAAATATCATCAATATCTTTCTTGGTAATCTTTTCTTTATTGTCTTTGGCAGGTGCTTATGCTTTTTATGGTTATGGTTTTTATGGCTATTATTTTTATGGTTATTTTGGTTCTGAGTCAGAGTCATCATCAGAATCACTATCACTTAAATCTGAATCAGAACTTGATGATTCTTCTTTATTAACAAATACAACATTATCTCCAATATTATCACCTCCTCCTTCTTCTAAGTTCTTAATTATATAATAAAATATATTACCTCTGGAATTTCTTTCAGATTTTTTAGTTATTTGATTTCTTCAGGAAAATATTTATACACAACATCGCACTTTTCATCTTAAAATTCTCTTAATGCAACAAGCACAATATCACCATTTTAAATCCAAACCTTACGTCTCATTTTACCTCTAATGTGTCCAAGTCTTTATTTACTGTCACCCAAACATAAACAGATCAATCTTCCACTACCCAACAATTTTATAACTTAAGCATAATCTTATCCATCATCTTTTGTTTCCAACTATCTCTTTGTTAAATTTTCATTTTTTCCTCTTCTATAATTCTTACCACCTCTTCCCTTATTTTTAGGCATTATTTAAAATTTAATCTTTAATAATTTTATTTATTTTTTCTGCTAATTATAGATGATATAAAGTATAAAGAATTAATAAAGAAATACTAAAATAATATTAAGATTTATGTATTTTAAACAAATTGATTTTTAAATATATGCTTTATAATTAATCTATTTGAATAACATAAAATAAATTCTATTTTTTCATTATTAATATAAAGTATCTTATATGTATTTGGAACTTTTAATGTATAGATAGCTATACATAATTGAAATCAATTGATTCTAATAAAAAAATATATGATTTTTTATATTGTAATAGTTAATTTAAAGTTAGAGATAATAGTTTTAGTAAAATTAGATTAAAATATGATAAATAAAAATTAAATCTCTTAAGTTATTAATAATCACATATTAAATTTAAACTTAGGAAGATAATTACTTAAAGGTGACTGAGGTAGATCCTATAATGGTAAATCAGACAATGATGAATTATCTATATTAATATAAATTTTATACTTAAATATTCTTAATGTGATGTTTATTTGCTAAATATAATTTCATGTTCTTCATCAATCTAATCAATTTCTTCTTCAATTTTCTTTTAGATTCTTATTTCTCTTCTTTATTCAAGTTCTCTAGAATTCTAAGTATACTATTTTTATTTTATTTTTAAATCGAAATCAATTTTTTATAAATTCTATTCAATTTAAATATTTTATGGTTTAACAAATTAATGTTTATTTTAGTAGAATCTTTTTATTGCTAATGCTTAATTAAATCCATTTTACTTTACTACTGCAGGTCTAACAGTTAAAATTTTAAAAAGGGATAAGATTATAGAGGTTATACATTTTAAAAAGAGAAATGTCATCCATAATCGCAATGTTGGCCATTTTGGATCAATAAAATTTTAAAATCCAGTTATATGATTATTTTTAGAGAATGTCCAAATAAATATGAATAATACTAATTCTATAAAAATCATCCTATATGTTTCGATTATAATTTCATAATTAACTTTAATTGTTTTTGTTAATTGATATCCTTAAACTGGACATAATGTTACTAAAACATCACTTGAAACAAAATAATTTTAATAGTAGAGATTTCTTTACAATAAGGATAAATATTTAGCTTAATCATCATTTGGTGTAGCAAACATAAATTTGATTAAATTTATTAAGGTTATAATAAATGAGTCAGCAAATTTTGCAATAATCACAATACTAAATAGAATCTAAAATTTAATTATATCTTCATCTACAATATCATCACTAAGACTCATTAAGGAAGCCAAAAACATTCTTTCAGCTAAAGTACTTGATTTACTAAAAATTGAATAAATCATTAAAAAGATTTCTCTTTTCTGTGGAAATTTAGCGTGTAAATGCTCAACCATTTTTGGATGTATAATTTACAATGCAGGCTAGATTTTTCTTCTTAAAGTCACAGTTAAGATTAATTACAATATTTCAATAATTAATATTGCTCCCACAATTATAAATGCATAAGTTAAATCAGTAACAATAACATTATTAATTTCTTTATTTTTCTCTGCATTAAAAATTTCACTTTGATTCTTATTTTTTACTTATATAAATAATTTAAAAAACTAAGATATATTTACAACAACAAATCCAATCCAAAATAAAATAACTATTATCTTTATATTAATGTTATTTCTTCTAAATTTACCAATAAAAAGAGTACTTACTATAAATATTTATGGTTCAATTAAATCTAAATAAGTCATTAACTTATTTATCTTATGAATTAACCATGATCCTAACATACCTCCAAATATTTTTTTTGTTTCCTTTTGAGTATTGTCTTACTGTTGTATAGGATGTTATTTTTTCAAATTTTATTTTGATTAACGTAAAAGATAATTTCTTAATCTTAAAGTTAAATAACGCAATAATCCATCATCAAATAATTTTCTAGTTTCTTAAGTATCAGTTATGTGCAATGCTCTTAATTAATGTTTCTCATAACTGTAATCAAATAAATGAAAAAATAAATATACTTTACCATACATGGTTATGTATGGATTATCTGAAACATCTATAAACTCAATGAATCCTAAAAGAGGATAATATTTACCAAAAGATTCACAAAATTTATCAGTAAGATTTGATTTTGATAATTATATTTCTTTTAAAAAGGATGGTAATGATGTTTAATCTAAACGATATTTTTAGCAAATTCTAGTATATTATTCCAAAATATTATCTGCATCCTCATCATCTAAATTAGACCATATATTATCAATAAATAAATTCTTTTAGAATGATAGAATTTATGCTAATATTTTTTAACCTTATTTCTAAAATTCATTATTTCTCAATAACAAGAACTCTACTGAAAATTTATGAAATTTTAATTAATCTAATTTCAAAGCAAAAAGATCTCCTATTTTATTACTGCTAATATTTATGGTTTTAATTGTTTAAGTAGCAAAAATGCCCTCAAAGATTTAAATCATTCCTTTACTTGTAAATAAATTTTATTAAAGATATAGTTCCTATAATTAAGTTGATTAAATTATAGTTTGTTTTAGTAACTCTCCTATTGAATCGTCTAGATGATTATTACTTAAGGATAAACTTATGATATGAGAAAATAAAAAGTATTCCTTATGAATTTGATGCTCCTATACTAGAGTTTTGAAAAAACTTATTTCTAATTTACAATTTGATAAATTTAATTGTTTAATAATAGTAGCTTACTTCTATTTATTTTCTTATTCTTGAGGAGTAAAAAATTAAATTAATTCATTTTCATCTAATGGATTCTCAGATAAATTGAGTTCTTCAAATTGTACAGTTTTATACTTTGAAACAGTTGCAAATTTGCTGTTACAAAGATTATTGATAATATTATTATTAGCAATCGATAATATTCTTATTGTGAGATTCTGAGAAATAGCTAATCCTAACGGTTCTAAATTAAGCCTACCTAAATTGCATTTATTCAAAAATAAATGTTATATAGTTCTATTCCCTGAAATTCCAATACATAATTCATCGAGCCATTCTTATCGTAATAAATTTTCACTAAGATCTAGTGTAGTCAACTAGAATATTGAAATTGATTACACTACAATTAATTGGGCTCAAAATCCATTCTTTGACATTAAAGAAGGACTCTCCTGTAAATGAGACTTAATTGAGTTTTAATATTTTCAAATCTGACAATTCATTTAATATAGCTGCAGTTTTATTAAGATCCACATAAACTAATGGATTGTACGTCATACATAACATTTATAATTTTTTACATTTTATCAACTACAATCCAAATTTTTCATAATCATTTAATCTGAAACTGCAACGATTAAGTGTGATCCCTAAAATATTCCTTGTTTATTTTTTAATAATATTTAATAGATTCTTAAAGTTTGATTTATCAAAATGCATCTATGATAATTATAAAAGTTCCATTTTTTCAGTTTAACATAAATTGAAAAATGTTTTAAGTCTTTTAATTTCTGAATTATCTGATATATTTAAAAACTAAAGATTTTCATTTTAAATTATTTAACTCAAGATTAACAAATCATCAGCACTCATTTTTTAATGAGAAATACTTAAAATATATTAAATAAATTCATACTTTAAACTTTTTAAACATTTATTTTCTTACATAACTCTTGAAATTGCTATCAAACCTGTAAAACCTATATTATTATGGGATAAATTTAGGGCTTGCAAATTTCTGTATGATGATATAACTTTTTCAATATAATTGGTATGTCTAGATTCTAATCCATTATAACTCATATCTAAACTTTCAAGTTTGTAGTTGGTAAGGATTTCTTCTATTTAAAATGCCTTTGCTAATTTGAATAAATGGTTTTTGCTTATATTTAATTTCTTAAGACTACTATTAAGAATAGAGTTTCTTAATTTCTTTACACTTTCTATATTTAAACTTCCAATATTCAAATCCCTTAAATTTAAATCATAAACTATAGTAGATTTTTTTAAAAATGTACAAAGCAAATCTAAATCTTATTCTGTAACTGGTTTACAAGAAGATAAATCTAAAATTTCTATTTTATTAAAATATGTTGCTAAAGAACTAATTACAGGAGTAAAAATATTCTCATTTTTTGAAAAATCTAATTCCCTTAAATTAAAAGATATTAATTAAAATTAATTTTAAGTGGATTTAATAAACTTATCCTCTTCATGAAATAAATTCGGATTTATATTAATATCCCATGTATCATTTGATTATTTTTACTAAAATGAACATCTAAAGCATCTTAGACATCCACTTTTTATGAATTTTAATAAAAAAAATATTAAAGCATATCTTATATAATTATAAGATACATCCAAATGTTCAAAGTATACCTATTCATGATTTATCATATAAGTGATTATTGATTCCCCATCTAAATGATTATTAGCAACAATAAATTTCTTTAACATTTTGTTATCCCTAAGACCAAATATAAGAGAGTTAAATCCTTCACTTTTTATTTGATTATTAGAAAGATTGAGTTCTATCCAAAGAGGATTCTACCTTAATATACTTGATAATTAAAATGCACCTTGATTTTTTAAATTATTATTTGATAAATTTATTATTAAAGTGTTAAAAAAGAATTATTAAGGAAAACAAGAAATTAAATTAGAGCTTAAATTTACTTCATACATTTTTCTAGATAATAAATTTTAACAACTAAATTCCTCTAATTAGTTTTATGATAAATCTAACTTTTATAAGTTATTTATTTTCCTTAGAAACGCCTCAAGATGTGGAACCCCCTATTAATCAATAAAGTTTCTTCTTATATTAAGTTCCTTCAAGTTTATTTTCCTAATATTCCAACTAACTCTTTGAGCTAAGACTTTGACTCCTTAATTTCTTATATTAGTATCTCCAATATTTAAATACTCCAAGACCTTTTTACCTTTATAATGCTAAAGAGCCATTCCTAAACTTGTTAATACATCAGTAGTGAATTACATCATTGATATATCTATTGCATTTATTGATCGAGAGTATCTAAAATAAAACTGTTATTTACTTTAGATTTCGCAGTAAATAACTCATTGCAGTACTAGATATATTACAATGTGTTAATTTTAATTTCTTTAGATTATTCTTTCCTTTAAAAACAAATTGGTTTATATCATTCATAAGGTCGATATTAAAGCCTTGATTATTAAACAAATTGATTGATTGCAAAGTTTGGTGGTTTGCAATTGATGAAAATATATATTATAAACTAAAACTGTTTAGTTTGCATCCTGAAAGATTGATTTCAATTAAAGATGAATTTTTTTGGAGTCCTTATCCAAGTTCTATGGCTAAGAGGGGATCAATTTCTATACCTGATAAGTCAAGGGATCTATAGAATAATAAAAATTTAACCTTAAGCTTCTAGCATTCTAAATTGCAGAATTAAGAAAGGAGAAACATTATTGAATTGAAACTGGTGTTTCTCCTGAAAAACCTTCTAAAGTCTTTCGTTTTTTCAAATTAGCAATATTTTCTCTCAAATTTCTAGATTATGAAAAATCTTACACATTTTGTTATTAATGAATCATTAATCTCATTTACTTTGCAAATCTAATAGTGTAAGTATCAGCTTCTGCTTTATCTTTCTATTCTTCCTTTTCTTGCTCAATCTGCTTTTGCTTTTCTTAATGAAATATAGTTTTCTTTTGTGTAGTATTCTTGGAAGTGAAAGACTTGGATATTTATTAAAATTACATTTATTATAATAATGCTTAGGATATATTAAACTAGATAAGTTGTTATAATTCAAAAACAGTTAATGATTTAAGATTTTATTATTTTTAAAACAAGAGCAAGTTGTTTTGAGAAAAAATAATATAAAATCTATAATATAAATATTCATTCTTTAAATTAAGGCAAAATTTAGAATCTGTATAAATTATATTAATACAGATTTGAAAAACTTATTTAGGAATATAAATCATTTAAATACAATTTAATTTATCCATAGGTCATATCAAATTTTATTTTTAAATATCATTTCTTAAATTAAATTCTTAACTGTTTATTATCTTAATTCTTATTTTCCTTTATTTAACTATGAAATTAATTAATTAAATATAAAAATTAATTAGAAATGTTTTAATAGAATTAGAAACCTTTAATATCTCCTTATTTATTGTAGGTAGGTAGATTATTAGAAGATAATATAAAATAGTATTTTGAAAATTAATTTTAATGGAAAACTAGTCAATATATAAGAGAATAAACAGAATAATAATTTTTCAAATAGGTTAAGGATTTCTTTAATGAAATTTCACAAATCCAAAAAAATCAAATATAAAACCCTTCAGAAGTATTAAATATTCTGAACAAAATTTTTTCTAACTAAACCAATAAATTAAAATTATTCCTAGATTTATCGGAAGAAGAATTAAACAAATTTGCTTAAATTCTTTAAATTAAGTTGATATTTATCTAACCATTTAAATTCTAAAAAGAATTTGGTGCTTAGATTTTCTAGATTGCTAAAATAATTATAGAAAAAAATGAATAAACTTAAAAATTTTCTTGTATATGTGGGTTCTAAATATTTTAATAATAAAATAAGATCATTTCTTAGCCTCTTTAAAGTGATAATATTAAAAGATTAAGTACACCTAATTAATTCATAACTCCTTAGAATTCTAAATTCAACACTAGCAATTAAATATAACCAGAGAATAATTAAAAATTAAACACTAGTAATTAAATATAACCAAACTTCAACACTAGCAATTAAATATAACCAGAGAATAATTAAAAATTAAACACTAGTAATTAAATATAACCAAACTTCAACACTAGCAATTAAATATAACCAGAGAATAATTAAAAATTAAACACTAGTAATTAAATATAACCAAACTTCAACACTAGCAATTAAATATAACCAGAGAATAATTAAAAATTAAACACTAGTAATTAAATATAACCAAACTTCAACACTAGCAATTAAATATAACCAGAGAATAATTAAAAATTAAACACTAGTAATTAAATATAACCAAACTTCAACACTAGCAATTAAATATAACCAGAGAATAATTAAAAATTAAACACTAGTAATTAAATATAACCAAACTTCAACACTAGCAATTAAATATAACCAGAGAATAATTAAAAATTAAACACTAGTAATTAAATATAACCAAACTTCAACACTAGCAATTAAATATAACCAGAGAATAATTAAAAATTAAACACTAGTAATTAAATATAACCAAACTTCAACACTAGCAATTAAATATAACCAGAGAATAATTAAAAATTAAACACTAGTAATTAAATATAACCAAACTTCAACACTAGCAATTAAATATAACCAGAGAATAATTAAAAATTAAACACTAGTAATTAAATATAACCAAACTTCAACACTAGCAATTAAATATAACCAGAGAATAATTAAAAATTAAACACTAGTAATTAAATATAACCAAACTTCAACACTAGCAATTAAATATAACCAGAGAATAATTAAAAATTAAACACTAGTAATTAAATATAACCAAACTTCAACACTAGCAATTAAATATAACCAGAGAATAATTAAAAATTAAACACTAGTAATTAAATATAACCAAACTTCAACACTAGCAATTAAATATAACCAGAGAATAATTAAAAATTAAACACTAGTAATTAAATATAACCAAACTTCAACACTAGCAATTAAATATAACCAGAGAATAATTAAAAATTAAACACTAGTAATTAAATATAACCAAACTTCAACACTAGCAATTAAATATAACCAGAGAATAATTAAAAATTAAACACTAGTAATTAAATATAACCAAACTTCAACACTAGCAATTAAATATAACCAGAGAATAATTAAAAATTTAACACTAGTAATTAAATATAATCAAACTTCAACACTAACAATTAAATATAACCAGAGAATAAATAAAAATTCAGCACTGGCTATTAAATATAACCAAACTTCAACACTAGCAGTTAAATATAACCAGAGAATAAATAAAAATTCAGCACTGGCTATTAAGCATCATCAAATATGAACTTCCAACAATAAGGGCAACCCTTTCCATAATTTTAAAAATCTCAAGCACCATAATAATTTAACTAGTTTAATGTTCCAAATATTTGTTAAAAGAAAGATTACGAAGAAAAAGAATTAAATTATGTTTTGTAAACAATTTACATTTCAGATCAAGTGGAAGAGGAGATTAAAAAGCCAAATTTAAAATTATTTACAAATAGCACTAGCAATGTCCAAAATAATGTAACAGTTTGTGAATTATGTCCTGAAAAATAATCTGAAAACTAGATAAAATTACCATGTTGTACTAAAACTGTTCATAGTTAATGTGTTGAAAAGGAGTTGGAAAAATCCAATGATTTTTTATGGGATTTAAAATGCTTCTTTTGTAAAAATAATTATAAATTCAATTTTTTGAAAGAAATTTTGGGAAAGAAATTTGAAGAAAAAATTAAAAAGTAAATATCTAATGAAACATGTTTTAATTGTAAAGCTTAAATCACTATATTACATGAATAAAAAAATCAAAGTTGTTAAATAAATTGTTAGAATTGCCATGCTGCCATTTGTTCTAAATGCAGAAAAAAATTTCATTTATCAGATTCTAAAGTAATATTTTCTTATATAATAAGTGTGAAGACGTTAGATAGGAATTTATTAAGTCACTTTAAAAAGATCCATTACAAATTAATTTTTAAGAATTTTTAGCTAATTGAATAATAACAATAATAAAATTAATATTATTTTGATTATATATATATATCACATGATTCAATCATTTAAATTTAGCAAATCTAAGAATTTTTGATAACGTACTGTTTTATCCTTTTCAAATGAAATAATATATTATCCAATTCCATCTTAACCTAAATCTGTTTCATCAAAATTTCCTTCACTTGTATTAATTGCTGGGTCTGTAAAATTGTAACCTACTCCTTATACATCACAAATCATATACTAAAAATCACTTATATGATATGTGTAATAGGAAAATAATTAAGCTATATTGTTTAATAAATCATCCTTTGGATTAATATATCCATAATTATTATTGAATTTTACAAAATCTCCCTTAAAAAATCTTTCTGCAATCCAAAAGCTACCTATAAAAATTAGATTAATATTTACTGTCATGTTCTTAAAGTATTAAGAAATCTGAATATTTAATTTAAAGAGCATTAAAATTTTTATCATTTAAATCCTACATAAATTTTTACATTAATCTTTTTGAAATCAAATGGGATCTACATTCCAAAAGTGCTTCATTCATTGTTTTATAAGTTTAGCCTCTAAAAATAAATAGAATAAATACCCAATAGGCATTTTTATAACATAAACTTCATCTTATACTGAATTATTTAATTTTTTCATCAAATAAACTTCTTTAAGTTACCCAAAAGCAAATGGTTTTAATGTTCTAATACAATTCCATTCACTTTCAAGTGTAATACTATAATCTTAAGGTACAGTTATTTTATATATTGATGTAATATTTTTTTCAAAAGCATTATTGTTAATTTCAACTCTAAATACCTTAAAAGTAGTTTCTATAGTAGTTATTTTAGGATCTTAATTGAATTTTGTTGGATCTGGTAAAAGTTTTACTAAGGCTTCTAATGCACCATCTCTTTTAACATTTTCTTTTTTTGTTTTTGTACCTTATTAACTTACTTCAGTAATTGAAATAGATGCTTCAGAAATAATGTTTATTAATTAATCTTAAATTTAATCAGGTTTTTTATTTTTTAAATCTACAACAATTAACATCTATTATTTGTTTTATTTTGCATAAAAGTTTTTCATTTGTGCAAACATAACATCTGTATTTTATGAGAATTCAATTCCAATTAAAACTATATTTTTATTAATTAATTATTATAATCCATCTTCCAAATCTTCTTCTGGATAATCATCTAAAACATTTCCTGTCCATTTTTTACCATGACATGGAGCATCACATATTAATAAAGCAATTTTAAAATATTTCTCCCATTTTAAATTACTAATCATCTATTTAATTCCATTCCTTAAATCTTCAGCACCATCATCTCCACCATCACAAGTAATATTCTTTAAAAAATTTATCATCTAATTTGAATCTCTAGTAAATTGATGTTACATATATTCTCCTCTTTATTTTAATTCTGCAAAATCTTAATAACAAACAGCTCCCCATTCACAATCTCTATTTGTTTAACTTTTAATACAACCCATAGTTCTTTGTATAATATTCATTGTTGCGTCTTTATATGTATCCATAGATCCTGTAACATCAACCAATAATCCTACTTAAAGTATTCCTTATGTGTTCATAATGGCTTCTCTTAATTTGCAAGCTTTTTTTTATTTTTCATTCTTTATTTTTTGTTCTCTCTCTTATCTAATAATTATCCTTTAAGCATTCTCTTATTATATTCTCAATTATTCATCCACTTTTTTCTATTATTCCTACATCTTTCTCTGAGCTAATTCCATCTACATATTTTCTTAAAGCCTTTATAATTCTTAATTTAATTGTGGCATTAATTAATTATTATGTCCTTCTTAATTTTTATTTGTTAATTCTGTTATGAATTATATAATTTGTTTATCATTTTTTATTTCAATGGCTTATAATTCTATTTCAGTCTCAAGATTAACAACTTTTTCTTTTAGTTTAGTTATTTCTTTTTCTCTATCTTCTCTTTTCTTTTGTTCAACATAAGCCTAATGACTTAATTCATCAACTTTTGATTAAAGTAAATTAAATTTTTATGATTATTCTTTAAAACGTCGATCAAGTTCATCATTTTTATTTGATTATTAGAATTTTTCTTTATCATCTCTATCTTTGATTTGTTTGTACAATTGTTCAATCTCGTATTCTTTATTTTAAATAATTGTATCCCGTTCTCTCAATTACTTTGTTAATGATTAATTTTTTGCTCTTAATTCATCTATTATAGTTTGATCATTTTAAACAATTGAAATCCTATCATTAATAGGTCCAGATTATCTATTCATTTATTGTCTTTATCTATTAAAATCACTTTCAAGCTATTACCTCTATTCCCTACATAATTATAATATTGCCATACCTCAAATCTTCTATTTCTTATTATAGAAATTTTATTTTTGATTAATTTTAAAAATTTGTAGAATTGAAAGCATCTTACATCTTATTTATTTTATCTTTATTCTCTACATTTATTTTATATATTTCTTCATCACAATCATTTTACAATTAATTTTTTTCACTATTCAGTCTTTTAATTAGATTTTCTAACTTTAACTTATTTTCCTATAATTTTTAAATTTATTCTTCCTATTATTTTAATTAATCTTATAACTATTCTATTTATCTATCATGTTGTTTTAAGGATGAGATAGTAGGAATAATTTAAGGAGGATAAAATGAATTCAGTATTTAATTTGGTTATTGGAAAGGAATAGGGTTTTGCTGTCCTTAAAATTAAAAAACAGCGTTCTATACATTTTGTGGGGCTAAATATTAATTAAAATTGTTCATTGGATTTGGTTGCCCTCCAAATTAATTGTTGTTTAATGGATTAGGTTGCCCTGTTATTTAATTGTTGCTTATTGGATTTGCAAATTAATTAAAATTGTTCATTGGATTTGGTTGCCCTCCAAATTAATTATTGTTTAATGGATTTAGTTGCCCTGTTATTTAATTGTTATTTATTGGATTTGGCTGCCCTGAATATTAATTAGAATTATTCATTGGATTTTGTTGACCTTGTTATAAATAAGCAATGTTCGTAGGATTTGTTTGCCCATGTTGTTAATTTTAAACAAAAGGTGGATTTTACAAGTTTGGAAGTTAAAATTAGACTGGTTGCCCTCCTTAAATGTTATTAGTTAATTGTTAATTTTGAGGATTTGCTGGCATTTAGCTTGGAATCATATTTAATTAATTAGCTGGAAATTGTCTATTTATTTGAAGTAATTATTACCCATTAACATAATTTGGCGCTTAAACTCCTGCAAATTATTGATTAGAGATTTTAAAGTTATTTTCTTATTAAAAGTTAGCTGTATTCTACATATATTAAATTTCAGACCTAAGTAAAAATTTTAAATTACTTTTTTTTAACAACCAAATAATTTTGATATTACTATGTTATATTTTGTTATGAGAGTGTTTAATTCTTCTCTAGATTTTTAGTACCTAATTCTGTATATATGAGAAGCTCAAAAGAATCTTAATGTAAATTAAACTAATTTGAGATTTATTCGAAGATATATTGGCCAGTTAATTAAATATGTGGACACATAATAGAAATTTCTTAATCCCCGTAACTCACTTTTACTTCCATTTCTTTTAAATATTAATAAAAATAAAAAAAAATAGATTAATAATTTGATGATTGTAATAGAAATAGCTTATAGAAATATAATTAATTTTATATAAAAGATTAGAATTGCTATTAAAAATAAAATATAACTAAATTTTATATAAAAATTTCTTTTATTTATTAAAATGATTTGGGCAATGTTATTTGGTTTTGCACTTTTTGGAACTTTTGTCTATCATACAACATCCAACTCATACTCCAAAAACAAATAATTAATTGAAACGGACCAATATATTAATAAAGAGGAAATCCTAAAACTAATTTAAACTCATTTATCAGATTCAATAAGATTATTAGAATAATAAAATATACCAATTAATTATGTATTATATTAATTAAATCTAGTAATATATAGACTAATGGTTTTTAAAAGCCAATTTGACTTATATAAATTTGATTAATTTTAAACATGATGTGAAATAAATAGACATTTAATTCGATTAAAACAACAATTCTTTACTTTTGATGCTACCTATCTAATAGTTTGATTTAATGGCTCATTTTGAATTATGGAATATTTATTAAAATTCAACTCAATAACTATCTTTTCAATTTAGAGTTTAGGATACATATATGAAGATAAGATTTAAGATAAATGGTGTCAAAATTTAGTTTGTTGATGATTGGTTTCCAAAATTTAAATTTGGATCATTTAAAATTGTAGTTGATGAAGAAATCCAAGAATATAAAAAAGCAAAAAAAATAATAGATTGGCTTTTGTATAAATTCCATTCAACAATTGAAAATATTTTAATTCAAAAGTTAATGAAGTCTTTAGATATGGACTAGCTCAATATAGAATTTTAGTCAATAGATAATATAAAAAAAGTCATTAGTTTATAATTACATGATTCATAGACTTTAAAAATGAGAGTTTAGATGTATCAGGATGAAGTATTTAGATTAGGAGATTTCAAATATTAAAAACAAAATTGATTTATATGAATATATATTATAATATAATAATAATAATACAAATAATAATAATAATAACAATAATAATAATAACATAAAAATGAATGAAAAACTGATAATTTAAGAAAATGTAAACAAAAACTAATTAATTAACTTAAATAAATAAAATTGTAAAAATTGAAATCATATATAGAGGCATTTCCTAATATATAACAATAATAAAATTTTTAAGGTGGAAATCCTTAATAATAATCTTTTAACTAATCTATATCTTCTCAATTTGAGCCATGTATTTCAAATTCAGGCACTTTTGATAACCGAGTTCAGGATAATTTTATTGTATTAATAAAATTTATATAACTATTTTAGTAGAAAAATGAGATGGGTCAATTAAAAACTTTAGGTTAAATTAATTCTTTAAATAGAAATAGTTATCATTAGTCTCAACCTAATAATGTTGTACCAATATCTAGTCCCAACTACATTTTTCAAAATAACCAACTAATATTTATTCAACAATCATGTCAACTTAATTAATCTTAACCAAATAATAATTAAGATAGTGGAATTTTATAAAATTAATAACAATTTTCTCCACTCCCATAACAATAAAAATCATCCTCTAAGATAAAATTTATAGGAAGGGTTCCTGATTAAAATCCTACATTAATAGAAAAAGATAATAGTATTATTATTTTTTAAATTAGATTTTAATAATCAGGCAAATTAATCTAACCCTCCCATTTTAATAGATTGGAATTTATTCAATAGATAAATTCCAAAGCCAAAACCAAAACCTTAAGAAGAAATTCCTTAAATAGAAAATTCTTTGTTCTAACGTATATAAACTTAATAAATTAAAACTATTGAAAAGCCTATAGAAGATGTTAATAATGATGGATTTTAATAGTTACAGATGAATACTATATATCAAACAAAAATAATTAATTGTTTTTATTGTAGAACGGCTATCCATAAGTAATAGATAGGACTTAATTGCTTACATTTGTACCATTAAGAATGCTTTTAAGATATAATCAAATAATAAATAAATACAGGAAAATGTATTTGCTTATGCAATCAAAAAATTCCTCAAAAGCAATTATTAACATTATTAACTCAGGAATTGAAAGATTAATTATTTGCTAATTAATTAAATAAAATAATAAAAAGTAATCCTAACTTAATAAATATGGGAAAATGATTATGATAATATAAAAATTTAATCGAAATGATATTATTATTTTTTTAATAGAATTAATAATAAAATATATAATCTACTAAAAAATATATTAATTAAATTACTTAATCTATAAATTATAGATCATGAATTAACAATGATTAAATAACAATAAATTGTTATTTATTACAATTTTAGAATATGTTAAATATAAAAATTAATTAAATTTATTGAATCATTTTTATTAATTTATCAATACTTTTAAATAAGCTTTTGCATTTCTTAATCTTCTAATATTATCAACAGGTATCATCAAGAGTGTCATTCTAGTCTTCCAAATATCTCTATTTAAATGACGATGAAATGGTATCCAATATAATAAATATATCAAGATTATGATTATCATAAAAGTAATAAATAAGCCTAGTTTTTATGATAAATAAGTATTTTGTTTTACTTAAGAACCCTCAATAAAGCTGTCACCTAAATATCGAATAGCAGTTCTTAATAATAATAAATATATTATACTTAAAATAGATTCTTTACATTTATTTAACTTCTTACATTTTTGATAATTTCATTAAATTAATTCTTAAATTGTCGGCTTCGTTTTCAAAAATTATTTTTTCTTCAGTATCAATAAAATCAGATAATGGAGGAGTAGGATTTTAAATTGTTAGAGTATATATACTTGATAAATACCTTAAATTTTCAAAAAATCTAGTTAAAGCTACTGTGAATCCACTTTTAACACTTGTTTCAGCAAATGATTCACAATCAGTAATACTAATATTTGCTATTTCATTTAATCTTTGACAAGGATTGGAAAACATTATTGTATTGTAGGCTTCAATGTAAACTTATTCATGTTTGTCAATATTGGATGAATGTTCTTTGTGAATTGTTGAATCTAATTAATATAAGCGATACAAATTATCATATTATGTTTATACAGCAGGTTAGCTTTATACTTCTAAAGTTGAATCAATTAAAACAGCTTATTAGACATTATTACAGAAAGCATAAAAGCCTTCAGCCATTATAGTAGAATTAGCCTCATAAATTAATTATCTAACATCACTTAAATTTTATTTCTAAAGCACAAGTTGCATTATAAAATATGCTTCCATAAATCCAGCTATAAGAATTACCTATATATAAAATCTAATTGGAGCTTTAGTTGTATTTTTAAATTTCTTCTTTTTCTTTTTTTTAGAATCAATAGCTGCCATATCATCCTATTCTATCTAATGTTCAAAATCTTCATCCTTTTCACTACCTTCTCCATCAATTGAGTTTACATATTTTACAAAAGCTTCACACTTGTTGAATAAAGCTTTAACAACTTTTGAGGGAAGTTCTAAAAACATAATGATGACTTATTCCTTAGCCAACCTAGTAGACAAAAGTATTATAACTACAATAGCCAAGGAAAGAGCTAAAATAACACCAGCAACTACTACAATTATTACAAAATTGGTAGATTTATCTGCTGTTTTAGAAATGAAGTCATCTATAGTGTATGATAACACCTTCAATTATGCATCCAAATAAGAATTGAAACCGTTTTATATTGTAAAATAAAGGGCAACATCATCAGAATTTAATGAAATAGATTCTAAAGGATAATTCATGATAGTTAAAGCATAACTTAATAATTAATTTGAGGCTTCTTAAAAATCATATGGTTGACTATTTGTTGAATTAAATTTCATATTTATATTTGGTTCATTATATAAAGTCTTTAGTTCAGATGGGAATTGATATCCACTTAAAATAATGTAATTTAATCCTTCTTAGATATAATCTATGCTAGATTTCATTTCGCTTTTTAAAATAGTTTCATTTTAGATTATTTAGGCAGTACTATTACCATACAATTGTTCATTAATCAATTACAGATCTCTTATATTTTCAAGCAGATAATTCCATTCAGCAACTAAATTTGTTTGAGTATTGTAAACTTCAAGTGTCAATTAGATATCTTACAATTGATTAATCTACATAATAATTATAAAATAATTACATCTAAAAAGTAATCAACGAATGCCAAGACTAACATAGATAAAGTTAAGAAGGTTTCAGCTATTCGAATAAACTTAATAGGAAATGGAATTTAATTTTAATTGATTGCTTATTCTAATTTAGTTCTACTTTAAAAAGCATCCTGTTCTGATTATTATTCTTCTGAATCATCATACAATAAATTTTAATTTACACCTTAATATTAATTGCCTTCATATTCTTATTCTTCCTCTTCCATTACTTAATCATCATCATTTACAATTTCACCAACTTTATTTTAAAATAATCTAACTGTCCTTATGCCTTCATCATATCTAATTTTATTGCTTGTAACCTATATTTCTTTAAATTTTGGTGATCCTTCTTAAGAATCTGTTTTTTCTTATTTATTGGATATTGTTATGTCCAATTTTTATGGTGTTAAGAAACTATCATCTACTTTTGATTAATCTATTCTAGATCCTAAATCAGAATAACTAGGTAAATCTTTATAAAATCCATCAATATACATGATGTTATCTTCATCAAATTTAGATTAGAAAATAAATTTATTTTAATTCATTTTTAATTTCTTATCCATTAATTGATTTCCTGATTTTTTTGAAATAATTGAACTATTAAGTTAGGAAGCTGCTAAATCAGATACTCTTTCAAATTTAAAGCAATATCCAGCTGGGAAATTGGCATAAGTAAATTAGATTTCTTAACAAAAGCATTATAATTAGATTGGTTTATCATCAACTCCTTTATATATGTAATCTTTTTCTTCTTTTTTTCTAACACCATCAATAGTTTTTAATATTTCTTTAGGAATAGTATATGAAACTACACTACCTAACTTATTCAAAAATTGATCCTTATCAGTAATTTATGGGAAAAGATCAAAGAAATTTCTCTTAGTTTTTATATATCTTATATCCAGTTTTAATAAACTTAAACATCCAGTACTAATACCTTCAATTTGATTTTTTGGATTAACTAAAATAAAGGCATTTTATCTATTGAATTTATCTTATGTAAAAGTTCCAAGAAAAGAGATTCCATTTTTAACTGAATTAATTGGTTTAATATTTAAATTCATTTAGAATAGATATCCAGATTTATTCTTACATATAACTTATCTATCTTTACTAACATATTTATAATCAGAATTATTAATGAAATCTTCAACAAATCTATCATGTGATTTACCAATCATATCTGGCATCAGAATTTATATATTTTAATTCATTAATTCACTTTTTGTATAATGAAATAATGCTGCACCACTAGAATTTATTTATTAAATTAATCCAAATTTTTCATTGTCACTTGATAAAACAATAGTTGGAGTAGGATCATTACTAAAATCATGATTATCTATATCATCTATTTTACTATTATTATATCCTTATATCATTTTACGTAAAGTATCATTCAAACTAACTCCATATTCTTTATCATTAAGTATTTCAATCAAAAATGCTGAATATAACATGATGCTAGGTTAATGATTTGGACATACTCTTTTCAACTTTTACCATAATTCTTGAACCAATCTAATACTATCTGTAACTTTCTTGCCACTTACTTCTAATTTTGCAACATCTGGAGTTTCTTCATTTAATTCTGACCAATATTCCATATGTAAATAAGCACATTTCTCAATTTACATAGCTAATCCACTAATAATAGGTGGAGCAGCTGATATTGGTAAAATTTCATGATTAGAAATAGTTTTTTCATTTTAATCATCTTATATTTCACTTTCAACTATTCTTTTATATTTATATAAAACAAACTAAGTATCTAAACTTGGTTCACATTCCTCAGCCTTTTATAATTCTTATAATGCTTTATGTTTATATGACATTACTTCCAATAAAAAGAAAGCATATTAAATTCTTAGATCAACATTTTTCTCAAATTTCTCTAATCCTTAATCCAGAATTCTATAAAGAGTTAATATCAATAATGCTTGTTTATCATTTTTAACTTCAGAATTATTTTATTTAATTTATTATATTAATCTTTTATTCCATCCAGGCTTGTATTTCTTTAAAGGACAATCTGATTTTTCACAAGTTTATCTATGTACTTCTATATAACCATCTAAAATAACTGCATATTTAGTTTAATTTTGTAATCTGAGTAGAGTCAATAAGTATCTAACCTAGGAAATGATTTCTTCAGGACTATTTAATTTATTCACATTTGCAACTAAACTCTCTAATTATCTGTCTCTTTAAGTTAAGACTATACTTATAACAAATGGTATTCCAACTAACCATGCCACAATAGAACCACCTATCAAATTACCTTCCATTGCTGTTGCTACTGCTAACATAAATGCACTCCACATAAGCAAAGAAGAAAGTGTAGAGTGATATCTTGTAAATAGAAAACTATGATATTAGGTACCAAGAGAAAATGCAAGAAATATAATTAAACTACCTCCTAATGTTATTACTAATAAAATATATGCAAAGTTGCGGTTATGCATTATTGAAAAAGCAATCTCTTATACAATAACATAACTCTACATTATAGCATCTGCTCTACCATTTATTTTGGCTGTTTAATCATTTGCTCTGAATCTACATTCAAAATAAGTAAAAATGATAGTCATACACAATGTGATATACAACACCAAGTTTAGAAATGCTGCTATACAATATCCTATATGTGTTGCAGTAAAGCATTGCAAATCATAAAATTTGCTTACTCCATTTATATCATCTACACATTTCCATGCAGATGTATTGTAATTTATTATTGGCATAAACAACACAGTTATTAATAATAATAAGACAACCCTCAAAATTGAAGATGCTGTTCTATTTATATATGAACTTGTGTGATATTAATATCCAAAGTATATTATTATACATATTAATGAAATGAACAATCCTGTTTGAATGAATAAAAATATTACATAACTTTACAAGCTACTAAAGTAAACTTTGAAAAGCAAATGCTCTAAAAAAATGTTTATTGCATTTGAAATTCCATCATTTTACCAAACATAACCTATTTCTTCTCTAAACATATAACTATGCAATTATATGTATTGAATCAAATTCAAAATTGCTAAAAATAATGCATTGATTTTCGATTCCTTTTATAAAATGTACAAGAATCCAAATATAAAGTTCTTTACAAAATTACTCACTGTTTACAGTAATGAATTATCATCGTAATTCTTTAAATTATTCATTAAAATACTTTATTATAAATTTAATTTTTTATTTAATTATTAAACTCATTTATCACTCCCCTATTATCAAATTCTAAACCATTAACATTATTAAAAATCTCTGAAAATACTAATTCTCATCAAATTAATTTATTTATAATATTATTTAATTTGATAATTATCTATGTTAATTAAAAGAGAATTAAATTAATAATTTAATCAAGAATAAAATGAATAAACAAGATATCCATAATAAGAAAAAATTAATTATATTTCTATTGAATGATAATAATATGAATTTCTTTAAAGCAAACATGAATATATATATATAAATAATCACTTTTTTACTTTATGCCATATATGTTAAACAAAATTAAAAATTTTTTGTGATCTTTTAAATTGATTTTTATCTTGATATTAGCATTAATGAGTACTGTTTTCATAAAAATTTAATACTGTTGATTAAAGACAATGAAAACAAAACTTGAATTTCTATCCTTGTTTCATATCAATATAGTCAATCCCAACTTTACATTAATCATCATGTTCAACTTATTTACATTTCAAACAACATACTATATTACATTTTTTACACATATATTTTAATTATCCAAAATAAATGAATTCTTCATCACACTCTGGATTAGGACAACAAGATTTAAATGAAGTAGAAATTTTTTTTAATATTTATGTTTTAATGTTGGGTTCTAACTAAATTTAACAAATGTAACATGTTTGTAAATTTTATTAATCAATTTTTTAGTAAAGACATAAATTATGAAATTCATGTCCACATTTATTAATTTTGCATTTTTCATCCTCTAAATCATTGATGTAGAATTTACAAATTCCACAAATTGATTAATTTAATTCTAATTTATTAACATCTACCTCTTATTTTTAGTTTATTTCAGGATTTTACTTAATTTCTCCTTTAAATTATTTTTTTTTATTTGCATTCTCATCTGGAAATAATTGAAAATTCTAATTAAAAAATAAACTATTTACTTCATCTATAAGAAACTATTGAAACAAATCTAATTTTTAGAATGGAGACTTTTATGAGAGTTCAACTTCTTAATTTAATTGGTATAAGTATTATGTAGCTTATTTAATCTCTTGTATTGTATTAATCATTCTAAATAGGGTTTCTTTCTTACTTTCTACCCCATGCTATTCCAAGAACAAAAGAGTCTATCAATAATTCTTTGCCTCTGTTTCCTGATTCAGCTATTAATTCTATAATATTAATAATTTCCATCTTTATTTTTTATAATTTTATTAATTTTTATTAAAAAAATGAATAATTTAAAAGTCATAAAAAAGTGATACTCATTTTATTAAATTGAAACATGAATGTAATTCTATCAATTTTTGAATAATTCAAAGTTTAAATTCATATTAAGTTAACTATTCTTCCTATTATTAAACCCAAGGATGAGTCATTGCCTATTTTGCTGTCATTCTACTTTTCGAATCAGATGTAACTAATTTGCTAATAAAATCCTTAAGTTCACAAGAAAATGAATCAGGCATATTAATAATTCCATCTTATATCATTTATTACATTTCATCCTATCTTAAATCTTCCCAGGGTGTTTCCCCACAACATAATTCATAAGCTAATACTCCAAGAGACCACATATCAGTACTCTTATCATAATTCTCACCTCTTATTATCTCAGGAGATAAATAAGCTAAAGATCCACATTAGGTTTATCTTTAATCTTCAGGTGAATATACTGAATATGTGAAATCAGCAATTTTAATTTGATTCTATATTAAAAATAGGATATATACATAACATAAGAATATATTCTCTGGTTTTAAGTCTCTATGAATGATGCCATTTCTGTGTAAATAAATCAAAGCACTTAGGATTTAACGAATGTAGGAGGAGGCTAATTTTTCTGGAAAGCTGCATTCAGGCAAACCCTTGAGTATTTTATGTATTTATCCATTGGGACAGTATTCCAAAACAAGAACTATTTCATCAGCTAAAATATTAATATAAATTTAATACCATTTTGAAAAAATGTATATAATTTAACAATATTTGGATGATTTAGTAAATATTAAATTTTAATTTCTTGGGCAATAGATTAGGACATTGATTAAATTTAAGCCTTCTTCATTATTTTTAAAGCCACATGATAATTAGTATTTTCATCAATTGCTAAGTGAACATTGCTATAACGCCCTTTACCCAAAAATTGCATTATTTTAAAATTCTTATATCTAGGTTAGGCTATAAGTGGTAATGTTTAGTTAAATAATCTTCTATTTTAAGAACCTAAAGTTGGAGAATTGGCAGTTTCTAATTTATAAAGTCTATCTTCAAGGACTCTTTATTTTTAACCAGAATTTAATTAGGATCTTGCTTTTTATTGTCTATTTTTATTTTCTTTGTTTCTTTAAGTTGGTTATAATCTTAATGTTTAAACTAATTTGTGAATGAGATCTTTTTAATTGATTTAACTATTTTCAATTTAGGTAAGTGGAGATTGCATCCTTAGTTGTTGTTGGGATGTTGTGATATTCAAAAAATTACGGTGTCTACTCGATGATGATCGATGTTATTAAATTAAAGAATTCATAACAATATTATCGTTACAATCTCAATTAAAAATATTTGATTAATTTATGTAATAATAAATTTCAACCTTAATCACTTATCTCATAGATTTGATTATTTTAATAATTAGAATTGATATACATAGGATTATTGTTTATGAATACTATATAAAATTAGGAATTATGTTTAAATTATATAAACATAATATTGACACATAAATAAAATTATATTAAAAATGGCTAACGTTGCTTTTTTGGATCCTATGAAGAATGAACCAAATCTTCAAACAGCTCAAGATGTTGATGATTATATAAATACTTTAACTTAACATTAAAATGCTTGTGAAAAGTAAGGGAAATACATGGAGGCAGAAGATGCAAGGAAAAGAATTATTGAGTTGAGGAAGTAACTTATAACAAAAAAAAAGAAAGAATTAATAATAAATTGGTAAAATCAAAAAGATTAAGCTGAAAGAGCTCATATGGAAGAATATAATTAATTCAATTAGTTTTGGGATAACAAGATGTTAAATTTCAATGAAGAGGCAAAGTAAGTAGAAATGGAATTACAAAATCGTTAGTAAAATGAATATAAGCAATTATAAGAGGAACTTGAAAGATCTACTCCTTATAAACCTAAAGAATCTTCTGAAGTATTAAATTTAAAGAAAATTGAAGAGCATTTAGCAAAATAGAAAAAGTAAATATTGCATTAAATTTATAGTTATGTAGAGGCACATGCTATACAGAATAAACGTGTTTAGTTGGAAGAAGAAGAGCTTAAGGTTTATACAACATAGAGAAGTTTGAAGATAAAAACACAATTACAATAATTGGAATAGAGACATTTAAATGAATTAAATGCATTACAATAAAGAATAAAGGCAGGATAAGATGAATTAAGAAAAAATAGAAGTATTGATTTGGAGAGGTAATTAATATAATTATTATTATAAAGGTTGTTATAAAAGTATCAAAATATGAAAAAAGATTTAGAATAGAGAGAACAAATGGATATTTTAGCATTTGATGGATAATTTAAAACAAAAGGGTGTAGTAGTTAGAGTACATACAAGAGTGTAATGATGATGGCTAAAAAATGATCATTGTACATTTCCCTTTATGTTTAATACTTAATATTCATTTTGTGACTTGATATGATCTAATCTCTTATAATAAAGCTCTTGCTTCAGGATCTTTGGTAAAATGATCTCTAACAGGCTAGATTAATTCATTGAGAACTAAGGTGACAGCTGGTTTCAAATCACCTGGATGAAGAGCTCCTGAAATAAAGTCTGATTCTAATTCAGCATAAGATGTATATTCCTTATCTCCACCATTTTCAGGTTTTCTTTAAATTAAGAGTTTATTTCTCCATCCAAAAATTATTTCTTTTGTATAATCTAAAACAGGATTATCTTTAATAACTTAAGGTGGACAATAAGCATTCTTTATTTTTTTCTTAACATCTTCTGCTGAGTCTTCCATAAAGATAGCTGAGTTTAAATCAGATTTAGACATCTTAACTTAACCTTCAAGTAAACCCATCATCATATGATGAGACATAATAATTGGTTTATATGCATCTGATGCTTTATCAGCATATTCTCTTGCTAACATATTAACTTTTCTAAAATTAAATAAATAGAATTAATACCTCTAATCCATACCTAATTAACAAATATCAGCCTCTAAAAAGAAGATGTCATTACATTGCATACATGGATAAAATAATTAAGCAACAGCCATCTTATCATCTTATTCATCATCATTTCTACCCATAATTTATCCACATCTTTTTATTCTTGAAACATTAAATTTACGAGCTAAATCTAATACTCTTAACCAATAATCATTAGGTCTTTTATTGATTTCATCTGAAGCCCATAAGAATTTACTATATTTATATTATTATTTAGTTATACACGTTATGCATTTTCATTCCTGCAGCTTTCCAAACTTCAATGAAATATCTACCAACATTCTTTATTTTATTTAGATCTCCTCCCATTTTATTATTAAGTAAAGCAAACCAATCAGCAACCCAAAAAATGAATATACATCCTGCATCAACTAATCTATTCACATTTAATGCTCTAAGTAATCCTTATGCAATATGCATTCTTCCACTAGGTTCAAATCCATCATAGCAAATAGGAAATGTTTTTGTTTTTAATAGATTTATTAATTCATCTTTGTTAATCAATTCTTCTCCTATTGGCTCTAATAATTTAAGCTTCTCTTCCAATGATAATCTTATAATAATTAATATTCATTAATACCTACTAGGTCTAGGATTGAATTAGATATTAACATCCTTTATTTCAACATATTTCACCTTGTTTTTTTCCTTCTATTCTTTCTCTTTTTATCCTTCTACTTCCCAAATCAAACCTCCTGTTAATGGATCAATTGTAGCAAACATAAATAATTAAATTAACTAATTAAAATCATTTAAATATAGTTTATGAAAGAATTTATTTCACTTTCGAAAATATTTTTAATTACAAAAAATCCTTAACATTTCCCCTTAGATTACAATCATTTTATTTAAATATATGAACCATATTTCTAATTTCATTACTTTTACATTTTAATTCCTCTATAATTACACCTAAACTATAACAATCAGCTTTAATATCATATTCTAATCCTTTAAATACTTCTGGTGCCATATATTATGGAGTTCCACAAATAGATTTCATTTTTTCTTTTATTTTCAATTTAATTGCTAAACCAAAGTCTCCCACTTTTATATGATTCTAAATCATCATGATATTTTCAGGTTTCACATCTCTATGAAGAATACTTTTATCATGTAAATACGAAAATGCTTAAAGTATTTCAAAAATTATTTATAATTTTTACTCTTCATTTATTTAATCTAATTTATCATAAAGTTTGTATAATGAAGATTCACAACACTCTAAAATAATAGCCAATTCTTTATCATCACTAATCACTCCATAAAATTTCATAATATTTGGATGACTCATTTATGATAATATTTTTATCTCTTAAGTTAACAAATTCTAGAGATTAAATTAATTTATGATTGACTTCTTTATTATTTTGATTGCAAATATACAATTGGTTATCCTATCACTATAAAAATCCTTAATAATTATTACACTGCCATATAAACATCACTATATTTGCCTTTTCCCAAAAATTTGATTTTTTGAAATCTGCTAGATATTTAGGAATATTCTCTCCTAGGAGTTTTAGGCAATGGTACAGACTTATTTTTTTTGTTTTTTGTATTAATAATGTAAGGTTACCTATTTTCATAGGTTGGCATTCTAAAATAGGTATAGTTGGTTAACATTTTATTAAAATTTAATTGTATGTATCAATTATCCATTAAAATATACCCAGAATATTTAAGATAATTTTATTATTTAAATTTATATTTAGCATCAACATAATCAAGCACAGCCTGGACATACCTTAAATTTAGAATGGATTAAAATATCACAATCTCTAAAATATAATATAAAGTATTACAAACAGAAAAAGTTTTTGCATCTCTCACATGTAGAATGAATAACAGTAGTTGATTCTAAACATCCATAACATATATGATCTAAACCATCATTTATAATTTCAAACACAGCTAAAGTATTGAAACCATCACTTCTAAGTATCTAATGAGGTAGAACTACCCAAGTTGAACAGATTGGACAT